AAATTAATTTAGGAATTGAAAACCAATTGTATGATTTAAAATATATGTCTCTTCCTTAAATTTGAAATTCAAATCAAGGATGGAACAAACACTTTGCATCATTTTTACAAGTAGAATTCGCCAAATTTGGATTTTTCGATTTATATTTCTCACCCTTACGCAAAAACCGTGATAATTTTCTTTGTATCGTTTCCATTTTATTAAATATCCTCAAAAACACTATATTCTTTAAATTTTATATCTCACAACTTCTGCATTTAATATCAATTAATAAACTAGAATCATAAAAAAATGAATTCAAGAATTACTTAATGATTTTTTATATTAAGAATTGTTCTAAAAATCTAGTAATCAAATTTTTTCTTGTTCTTTTTATAAAAAAAAAATTCCAAATCTACATTAATGAACAATATAATTAACAAACTACTTTTTTGTTCATTCAATTGTGGGTCAAAATATCAGACTAGGACATGTTAAAAGGCACATGCGTAGACTAGTGATGGTGATACATTGATATGATATGGTGATAAAAATGATATAGATCAGTCCAAAAAAAAATGATTGAGAATGCATTGTATTGAACAATTTTCTTTATCTTTACCATCGCTATATAATATTAATGTGAATCTTTCATATGCTGTTCAAATATAATTGAATAATACATAACGGATTAAAGTATTTTATAAACAAATCAAATTCTATTTTAAAACGGGTTATATATGAATTGTTAAACATGAATTAAATATAAAATTGATAAAAAAATGATGAAAAAATATTATTAAACATGAAAGTCAAATACCAATCTCAAGCGTGCTATTGTGTTCGTTCATTTCTGTAATGGAATAGTTTGTCGAATTAATATATATATATATATATATATATATATATATAGTTTCAATATTAAATTGATCATAAAGGTAAGTTTTTGTATTAAAAGAATATGAAAAATTGGTAATACAAATATATACAACAATTCAAAACTTGGTTATTACTAATATTGGTAATATATAATATTATTTCGTGCAAGCACAGTTGGCTTTAATTGTTGGTAATCATGTAGATCTAATCGGACCACATAAACGTGGATACCACATATTGAAACAAAATCTAATAATTAATTTCACCAGTTGAAAAAAGCAGAAGAGGACAAAAAGGGTACTCAATATATATATTTAAACTGAAAACTGCACGGAATTAAATCACATTCGGACAAAGTTCATCAATATTCTGCACGTGTTTGAATTCGGTACCACTAGTTAGATACCGTATTCACAAAAACACGCACAGACAACTTGCATGATATCTCCCGTGGAAATTTGCAAACCGGGATCCAAAAATATCAACTCGTTATAAATTTATAGCAAACTATACCTTTTTATAATTTTATTGACAAAAATACTTTATTTTATTGTATAATTTCAATATTGTCATTAAACATTTCAAAAAAATTACAGCATAAAAAATATATTTTATTGAGAAACTGTGTTATCTCGGAAAACTGTTTTTTTCATCCGTGATAATTATTTTCCATCTGTGAGAATCTATTTTTATTTGGTTTAACTGTTTTTGTATACGAAAAAATAATTTTCTTCATCAAGAAGAACTGTTTCTCGTCCGAAAGAATTGTTTTTTCATTCGGGAAAGATTTTTTTTATCCGAAAGAACTGTTTTTTATCCGAAAAAGTCTATTTTCGTCCGGGAGAATAATATTTTTTTGAGAGAATTGTTTTCATCGGGGAAAAATGTTTTTTATATGAAAAATAATTTTTTTTTATATGTGAGAACTATTTTTCATCCGGACAAAAAACGTACACTGCCGAACGAAAAACAACTCTCTCGGTTTCGGACAAAAAAACAAAATTTTCCGAACGGAAAACAAATTTTTCCAGACAAAAAACAATCATCCCGGACAAAAAAAAATTCTTCCGGACAAAAACAAACTCTCCCGAACAAAAACAGTTATCCTGGACAAAAACAATTCTCCCAGACAAAAAACATACTCTCCCGGACGAAAAACAGTTCTCCCGAACAAAAAACAGACTCTCCCGGATGAAAACCAGTTCTCCCGGAAAAAACAGACTCTCGCGGATGGAAAACAGTTCTCCCGGATAAAAAACAGTTCTCCCGGATAAAAATAGACTCTCCCGGATGAAAAAACAGCTCTCCCGGATTACACATTTTCCAAAAAAATCTGCTTTTTATACTGCACATTTTTCGGGACGTTAAATGACAATATTGAAATTATACAATAAAGTAAGGGTAATTTTGTCAAAAATTTATAAAAATGTATAGTTTTCAAAGGATAGAAAAAAACGGCATAGATTTCTAAACATGTCACCTTTTTATCACACTTAGCCAAGAACCCCTACATCTCTATCCATGTTTTAAAACAACTTGCGTGGAGGATTTACCCAACCGACGACACTTTCTCGTGTTCTTGACATTCCCTTTTTTAGCTTCGGCTATATATAGTTTTTAACACATCAGATTTGTCCAAATCTGGTTTTTTCAGGAGGTTTTAAAGATCTGATTATATATATATATAAATAGAGAAGGGTGGGCAGGGCTATATATATCACCGATTTATATATTCTCAGTGGTTTATCTAAAAAGAATTCAAAAATTGAGGGTAATATTAGTTTTAAAGATATTCTTAGAATTGACAAAATCAAATCAAATATGTAGAATTTTATGCAAATTGGATAAGGAAAACGAAAGTTAAAAAGATGAAATCTCTGAATGGAATTTTTATTAAGAAGAAACCAATTTCTATTAGGATATATCCATCAATATTATTAGTAACCATATAATCTCTCGTTATCTCTATCTCAATATTTGTGATCTAATTCTTTAGTTAATTTATCTTTTGTATATTTAAACATTTATATTAACGTAGTCTGAAATTAACATCCTAACATGGAATTATTTTTTTTTCTATTATTGATGATTGCAATATTATACCCTAATATATAGCAAAATACAGTAGAATATTTTATATATAATATATAGGAAAATCATAACTATATTATTGATAATATTCTAGGAATAATATCTTCGTATATGCCCCTCAAGATGAACCATCTACGATGAATTCAATCTTATTACATAAAAACGAAAAATTGAAATTGTGATCGTATTAAATGAAACATCTTTCACGTGATGTTGTGACTCAGACTTGAGTTTGTATTGCACGCTTGATAATGTTTGAAGAGTTTGAGAGTTGTAGTCTCAGAGATTGATGTAACATAAAAGTGCAGCGCGTATACATGAGTTGGATTGCACGACAATGAGGTCGGCAACGCAGAAAATTACGATGTATAAAGTGACTAGGCCGGAGAAAAAAATAAGGGAACAAAAGCGCGACACATAATGCATGATAGTTTAGTAGTGAGACAAGAGAGAAGACGAAAAAAATGATACAAATATGTAGATCGACGATCGGAATTTTCCAATCGAAATGGGTTAAAAGTCAGGTTTAAAGATAACACAACATTTAGGGTTGACGTCAATAAACGAGCATCGTTGGAAAAAAAATAAAATAGCACATCGGTTAGGGTTGGCAGTGATGAACACCGCCTTCGAGAAAAAAAAACTAAAGGACTAAAAAAAGAACAAAATGAATGCAAGATGACAGAACCCTTCGAAATGGGATCAAAGCCTCTCGTGAGGTCGCGAGCAGCCCGATCTTCAGGGTGAATTCGCCGTTACGGAGATGCGAATACACCGTTGCTCGTGCTTTTTTCTTTAATCAAAGAACCCGACCTCGGAAGGAACCAAGGTTGGTGAGGAAGGTTACTCCAGTCCCAACATAAACTCCTGCGTACATACTCAAGACGATGATATTATTGGATTTAGTATATCATTATCATCTTCATCATCATTTTCAGACGCAATCAACATTATTAATGAGAAAAAAAAAATCTGAAACAAAAACCAAATGTCTGATAGCATAATGGAAAAAATGTTTTTTCAACTATTAATGATTGCAAGATTACACCCTAGCAAAATACAAAAGAATATATTAAATTATTGGATGCTCAAGTGGAATTTGGAGCATTCCAAAAACGTGGAGATCCAACTACAAAAAGGTAAGCAGTCTGATGCAACATTGCTTTTTTTTTCCTTCTAGTTTTTGTTTGCAATTTTAATTTCTATAGATCCAATAATAACTTTCTACAATTTTTTTTTCAATTATAACAATTTCACCGTCTATATATGTATATAATTTGGAGCTATTTATGCATTTCTTATATTTTTATTAGATTAGAAATGTTTACACAATTTTGATTTAGTGAAATTAGCTCTGCATGGTGATCAGTCACTTGGGATTTTGATGTGATACACTTGTCGTTTTCTTCATAACTGCGCAAACATCACATTGCCAGAAGTTATTTCAGGGCAATAATATGCTTAAACCTCGCATATATTTTATTTTTTAAAAAGAAAAAAAAAATCATTTCAATATGTGGAGCTCTTGAGCATAGTTAGTTAACGACAAAGAGATTTAATGTACTAAAGTCAATATCTTGAAAAATCGGTGAATAAGCTCGTCTGATTAACGATCTCTTATTTTATTTATTTTTTTAACATGAAATGTGACGGATTATCTAAAAAAAATTGTTTGCACTGGATGGAACATGAACCCTAAAACTTGTTTTTGTGTAACCATGAAAGTACAAGTGATTCCCTAATTTGAACGTAGGGGTGGGTATAAATACCCGAAAATTGGATATTCCATCCACAATTATCCAATTTTCGAATATTCGATATCTTTCATAGATATATATGAGATGAATTATTTTATTATTATTATCGATCCAACTAATACAAATTATGATTAAAAATTGATGATGAATAGTCATAGATATCTGTATACATTAATAAGTGAAAAATATACACACATGAATTTTTAACATTTAGGGTATCGTGAATTATTCTAATACTAAGATTTGTTTTTCATTTTTATGTCGTTTTTTAAATTATAAATCTGATTTTTACGATATAATTTTTGGGTTCGCTGATTTACGGAATGCATAACGGAACATTTTTGTGAGATATGATGATTTTATTAAGTTTTTGTCGCCCCTCTGAAGAGTAATTAAGAATAATAAATACCCATCTAATCGGAAAAACCAGACACGAAAACCAAAAAATACATGAAATGTGGATATGAAACATGCACGTCACTCCCCTAATCTCTCCCCATTTGTATATATAATATATGCACTCTATTCACAAATATTGTATCCGCCAAGGACTTTGGATACTCTATACACTCTCACTATAATATATACAACAATATAAATATATATACATATATTGATATTTTCATATATTTCGTAATGGAGGGTCGGTCCCAAGGGTTGAGGAAAGGAACATGGACTGCCGGAGAAGACAGTCTCTTGAGGAAGTGCATCGACAAGTATGGAGAAGGCAAATGGCATCAGGTGCCTTCACGAGCTGGTGATACACTCAGACTGACACGTCATACATACATACATACATACATACATACATACATACATACATACATACATACATACATACATACATACATACATACATACATACATACATACATACATACATACATACATACATACATACATACATACATACATACATACATACATACATACATACATACATACATACATACATACATACATACATACATACATACATACATACATACATACATACATACATACATACATACATACATACATACATACATACATACATACATACAACAATACATACATACATACATACATACATACATACATACATACATACATACATACATACATACATACATACATACATACATACATACATACATACACACACACACACATACATACATACAATTAATAACATATCGTGTTTCCTTTTAAAAATTGGCTTTTTTTTAGGGCTGAATCGGTGCAGGAAGAGTTGTAGACTGAGATGGTTGAACTATTTGAAGCCAAGCATCAAGAGAGGAAAACTTGTCCCTGAAGAGGTTGATCTTGTCATTAGGCTTCATAAGCTTCTCGGAAACAGGTAATTACCAAGTTTCTCCTAATTATGTATACATATATACAATTATCATTAACATATATATATATATATATATACACACACATGTTTAATATGAGTTCTAATCAAGTAGTCATGTTCATATATATGCGCAGGTGGTCGTTGATTGCAGGCCGATTGCCCGGTCGGACTGCTAACGATGTCAAGAATTATTGGAACTCCCATCTTAGAAAGAAACAAAATCCATCGTCTAATTGTAAGATCAAACCGACTTGCAGGAAACAGATCAATGTCCGTTCTCTGACAGAACCAGTTCAAAAAATCGACGTTATAAAGCCTCGTCCTCGATCCTTCTACGACAACAGCCAACATCGGTTCCTCAATGCCCCACCTCAAATCACTTTTACGGGCGGCGGCAAAGACGAAGATTTCAATGAGAATAATAACAGTGATGATAATTATAAGAATGATGATATTCCTCGTGGTAACAAAACATGTGACAGAGATTATGAGTTTGGTACCATGAAAAGCATAGTGAATGATGAGGGGAGGGAGATTATGTGGTGGGAGAGTTTGTTGGAGGAAAGTGAAGGAGCTGCGGCGGCGGAGGAGGACGAGAATATCACCGGTGCGGCGGAGAGCTCGCCGGTGAACTTGGCGGCGGCCACGTTCGATGTTGGCCTTTGGAATCTATTGAATTGATATATATGTATGTATTGAGGATGAACTCGTCTGTTTTCTTATTCTTCTTTTCTTTTTCTTTTTTGTGTGTTTTTGTGTGTTTGCTAATTAGGGTTTTGAATTCATATTCTAAAACGATATGTTGAATAATGTCGTCTCAATTATGTTTTAATAAGTCTCGAAATTAGTTTTTTTCATGCGACCGAAAATTACACTATGACACGTCGGTAACTCAAGTGGTTCTAAAAAGGGGTTGTATGTCCATTAGAATTACCCATGAATAAGTAATACCACCTTCTTCTAGAAGAAGGCAAATTTATTAAAGAAAAAAATCTTTTGCCCAAAATACCCTTTATGATTACTCTTATTAATGATAATCTTTACTTCCCAAAAAATTAATAAGGGTTGAATTTGAAAAAAAACATTAAAAACGTCATTTGTTTTTAAATAAAAAAATTCCCTCTGAAACGTCATCTAAAATTAAATGGAGGGAGCAATGACTTAATATATATGTACATATAAGCATACACATAATTATATATACATTAATGTCTACAAATGTATAATAGTTTTAAAATGGATTCTTAATTATTTATATGGATCAGAGAACAAAGTACAATGAAAAAGGTGACTGTCTGGAAGCAGTCTTTAGAGTACATCTAAGAGTCTAGAGAGCAACACTCTAAATGTACTACTATCTAGTAAGTAGTGGGCGAGTGGTTGAAAATGTATTGTTTTCGGGGTTCCGGTCACCAGTTCGAATCCAACTGCTGAGGAAGGAAGGGTGCATTTAGGGTGTTGCTCTCTGGGCTTTTAGATGTATTCTAAAGATTGTTCTCGGACCGTAGAAAATATAGTCGGAACGAAGATTCGGGAAACTTCCTGGTTAACAAAAAAAATTTAACTAAAAGTTATTCGATAATGGCGAAAACATTATTCAAAAACGAAAATATTAAAACGTCGATAACACAATTAAATAATTAATCAGAATTTAAAATATTGTTTTCATTTAAATATGACACTTGTCAACAAACTAATTCTTTGAATTACTAATAAAAATAATTAAACGAGGAATGCGTCGCAACACATGGCAAAAAGTCAAAGCCGTGTTGAAATCAGCATATATTTACACACACATGTATGCAGACGCAGTTCGGAAAGCTTCGCTGTGTTGCCTTAATTAATGCCACGTGGAGATCTTGAATACAAGAAACATACCGAACCTGATAGGCTACTTGCCATTATTCTTTGCCTTTTCGCAGAAGAAAAATTAGAGCCACATATATAAGGATTTAATTAGTATACGGGATTAGTTATTTAAACTATATATTAGCGGTCAAGTTATTGCTTAAATTAGCACATTAATCTAAAGATGTAAGTAATACAATAAAAAACTGTTTTTCGAAATATAGTTACGAAAATGTTTTGTTTTTCAATTCTTGCTTATGGTATATTATCATACGAAAATAATTGTCGAGGAAGATGGACTAAGTGCACATGCACTTGGCCAACAATTAACATATGTGTATATATATATATATATATATATATATACACACATATGGCTTCTCATTATTATGAATGTGCCAATAGTTAAAAAAAAAATAGTTAAGGTTTTGATACTTGGAGTATCATACCTTTGTTAAGTAATGAATAATCATAGGATTTTATTCGATATGATTTTATCATTTTAATCTAATAACAAAATATGTGAGAGTTAAATTGGAATTTTATAACTCTTACAAGAACCACAAGAATGAAACTAATATATATATGTCATCATCACTATTTTATTCGAGATTTATAAAAATAATCCACCTTATAGATTTTGTTAGTGCGCACTATAGTTTCTTATATTTAGGGCGATATTATTGAATACTTATAAATATTAAAACTCCCCTTATCAGTATTAGAGTTTTAATCTGTTTATGGTATAATCAGTTTATTATCACATTAAGCCACCATATCAAGGCAGTTAGAGAGAAGATCCCAAAGCTAGAAAGAAAAACAAATCTTACAGTTACCGAATCGAACACAGAGAAACGGAGGAAGCAGACAAACTCGCAGAAACCTTCTGGAGTATCTAGAGGCTTTGCTGGAATTTCTAGGTTTTTCCTGAACCATTCCTAAATCTAAAAGCGCAGCCGTCACGGTTATCAGGAAGGCAGTTAGAGAGAATATCAAACTACGAAGCAGTCTTTTACATACAAAATGGATTTCAAGCCCCGCCGTTGATCATCATCCTCTTGAACTCCTCGAAATTGACGTAACCATCGCCATTTGCGTCGACCTTGCTGATCATCTTCGCGCAATCCCGGACGGAACATTTCTCCCCTAATCGCTTCATTACAGCGTGCAGCTCACGCGCCGAGATTTGCCCGTTCCCGTCCAGATCGTACATGTCGAACGCGTCTTTTAGATCCTTCACGTCGTTGTTATTGCTTCCGTTATTATCTCCGTCGACGTTTTCTCCGTGATTTTGGACATCGATTTGGAAGTGAGCGACGAACTCGTCCAAGTCGATGAATCCGTTGCCATCGCGATCGAGCTCCTCCATCATACGCGCCGCTTCCTCCGGCGGATCCGAAGGGCTGAGGGCTCGAATCACGTCCTTGAGCTCGTCGCCGGAGATCTTTCCGTCGCCGTTCTTGTCGAAACGCTGAAACACTTTACGGATTTCTTCCATGGACCCTAACGAGGTCCGAACCGATCCGTTCTTCGCCATTGCTCTAGAGAGAGAAAGAGGGAGTGAATTTGAATTTTGAAAAAGAACTTGGAAATTAAAAGAGCTAGTTAGGTTAGAGGGGGTATAAATACGGGAAGTCAGACTCATGGAAATAACGCGGTTTTCACGCGCTAACATTGCGTGAGTTGGACTCTATCAGTTGCAATTTATGAAGTGACACTTTTATATACACACACAAACATCTGTACACACACACACATATATATATATATATGAAATATTTTCTGATCCTTATTATTATTATAATAATAATTTGCTAAATTCGCAGAAACTCATAATAAAGGGTAATTATAAGATACAGTTGTTCTATAAATAAATGGGCTCCATATGTAAGATTTAGTTAAGAGTAATTACTATAGTTGAATGGGTGTTATAGTTATGGAGACGCAGAAACGGTACAAATGTAACAGGGCAATAAATGCTATATTTCTATGGTGGTTCCATGTCCTATACACGAGAAGACCATAATATCAAATAGGAAACAACGTATATATCCCTTTTTAAACCGAATTTTATTTATTTTAATTTAAATTTAAGTACTTTCTTATGAAATAGTGAATAAAATATTTTTTTATATATAAATGGGTGCAAGAGAAATATAGAACGGGTTTTGTTTCACGCAACGATACTTATAAAAAAAAAAAAAAGGTTTACTTTGTCGCATGAAACATTGCTTGCAAGTTCGGAATTGGACTTCTCTCTTTTGAGATAAATAAATAAAAAGATTAATAAAAGTGATTTAATTTCTGATCGAAACCTTACTTGAAAGACCAGAAAAAGAGATCGTCTTATGCCATCCCACCACAATCGCACACACGCCAAAGAAACAGAGAGTGGCGACCAACTATAACAGCCACTTGTCTTTTACACGTGTCGTGTTTCTACTCGTCGAACATCTAATGAATAAATCAGAGTTTATCTGTTAATATATATCTATACCAAGACTTTAAAGCTAGTAATAATACGTATATATTAGCTATCAATGGTAAGATTTTATAAGACAAGTGGAATATAATGGAATAATGTGAGCTATTTCAATCCCATTCATTCTACCTCTCTAAAATAAATTCATACACAGTTAATATTATACGAATCTAGTTTTATTTTTATTTTTTACTAAAGAAACCTCGGCAACGGCAAACACCTTTCGGATGGGCGGGCACTACTAAATTTTCTAGATCGAACAATGGTCAAATATTTATCTCGAAATATGTTGAGATACAATTTTTCTAAAAAATAAAAATAAAAAAATGGATTCGAACCCTATACTTTCAAAAATATTTTCAAATCATCAAAGCACATTAAACCAAAAAAAATAATAATCAAATCATCGTACTCATTCGAGAGTCGAAGATATTTGAAAATACTCTAATTTATTTTCCGTGACCGAATTTGGAAGTTGTACTTTTAGTGTTACCATGCGTCCATCTGTATGACTTGACAACAAAAACACAAATAGTCCATTGAGAACTTACAGAACTGAATAAAAACCAAATTAAAAATTTATTTTTTAAAAAAATACATGAAAATAAACGAATGGAATCGTAACTAAAAGTCTAAACTTTGGACTATATACCCTACTTCTAATAATTAGAGAAAATTAAAGCCGCTTTAAAAATAGAAAGGAAAAAAAAAGCCCAGAAGTTTATGCAAGAATTGCAATCCAACTTCCATCAGAAAAAGACCCATCACTACCAAAATCCCAACTGAACCAATTTAATTGCATCATATACCATTTATCGTGGGATAAATTTTGTTTTTATAGGAAAACCATCTTTGGTATCACAACGAAATATTATACCAAAAAAAGCTTAAAAAATAACACGAAATATTTCATCTTCTGCACCAAGAAAAAAACATAGCAACACAAAAAAACATAAATACTAAACCCCAAATTCAAAGTCCGTTAGAAAAGCCAAAATCACTCCGACCATTTCACGCAAATACTTTCGACAACTCCCTAAACAAAACCAGTGGAATCCATTTAGAGATATTGATAATGATCATAACCTTGGAGTTATTGTGATAGTCATGAGTTCTTCATCACTTAGCCATCATGATCTTCACGAACTCTTCGTAGTTGATCTGGCCGTCCCCATCCACGTCAGCCTCACGGATCATCTCGTCCACCTCCTCGTCCGTAAGCTTCTCCCCCAGATTGGTCATGACGTGACGCAGCTCGGCCGCTGAGATGAAGCCGTTCTGGTCCTTGTCGAAGACCCTGAATGCCTCCTTGAGCTCTTCCTCCGAGTCCGTGTCTTTCATCTTACGAGCCATTAGGTTTAGAAATTCCGGGAAGTCGATGGTCCCGTTCCCGTCTGCGTCAACTTCGTTGATCATGTCTTGGAGCTCGGCTTCTGTTGGGTTCTGCCCGAGAGAGCGCATCACTGTTCCCAGCTCCTTGGTGGTTATGCAGCCTGTGTGTCAAGATGATACAGTTACCTAAGGTTTTGTATGAGAAAGATACAGGGAAAAAAAAAGAGAGAGAGAAGAGATCTCCAAGGACAGATATATTGATATATAGCAACAAGGAACCACACCGCAAGTGAAATCAAAATATTTGTTGGAACTCTTCATGAGAAATGGAATACATATGAATGTCCACAAACCAAACACGAAGTGAACGCATGGAAGAACAATGATGTTATTCATACATATGCATTTGGCAATTCTATCAGTCGAAGAAAAAGCAAAAAACTTTCAAAAGGAGAAGCCTTTATCCTACCCAAGAATCTGTTTTCTATACCCTTGAGGAAATTACTGAGGCAAAACAAACATATAACAATAGAATCTAATCTATAAGTTGGAACTGAACAATATAAACTGCGAGAAAATGAAGATTTCTTGAGTGCTGATCCACAAAACAATCACATAAAATTACTATGGTTGAAGAAAACAGACAAATGGAAGAACCTGAGATCTGGTTTTTGCATGTAAGAAACCACCTTGACGCGAACCTTGCACCAGATAAACATCCGATACGCAATTAAATTTTAGATGACTAAAGATGTATTTTGTCAACCCATCTTCCCCAATCTCTAATTGGAGAGAGAACCCAAAGGGGGTTCAGATATTCACTGACTTCACCAAAAAGGCCATTGACCCTTCGTCATTTTCAGCGTAATTTGGAAGAATCATATGCGGTTAATCCAATAGAGAAGATAAATATACATTAAGCGTGGGATGAAACTCAGCATCGATCGCCCATGGAAATACAGAGGTAAATCAAGATGGAACACCGGGTCTCGAAGCCAATAAACGGAGGAAACAAGAACAATCAAAACGCCAAAAGTACTCAATCAAAGGCTACAATCACCGAAACATAGCCTAAACGTGGTCGATAACGACGGATTCGAACCAAAACCCTCGAACGAAATGGAAGAACGTTGATCTCGAAGCAAAAAAAACGCATAACAGGCAATATAATCTAATCGGAGGTCAGGGATGCCGTTCAAACCGGTCAGAAACACCGATAAAAGACCAAATCGAAATAACGAAACATAGATATGTTCTACGAGGGCAGAGATTCAGATTCGGGGAAAACATATAGAGAGCAGGAAGGGAGAGGAAGCGAACCATCGCCATCCTTGTCGAAGAGGCTAAAAGCCTCCTTGAACTCAGAGATCTGGTCGTCGGTGAGTTGATCCGCCATAGCTGCTGCTTGCTTTGATCTTCGTCGAGAAATCTCCTTCGATTTGGTTCTTCACAAATGTTCCGTCGCCCCTTGGAATCTGTGACCAAAATATCAAAGCAACGGAGACAAATTAATAAAGAAATTTGGGGGAAAAATAAAGGAAAAAGAAAAAAGAAAATGTAACGTAATTAAAGAAACAGAGTAAAAGACGGATTGACCAGCGGGAGGGAAACATTTCTTCATTAAGTTCCTTTTAGAAATTTCATTAGTAAAATAATAAATAAATTACATAATATATATAAATATATTAAAATTGAATTTAATATAAAAACAGATTCGTTATAATTTTTAGAATTTAATTAAAAATTCGAAACGAATGATAACATAAAAATAACAAAATTTTGAATAAAATTAAAATCGTCGAATACAAAATCAATGTATACAATTCGAAATTAATTGTAATTAAATATTTATGATTAAAAATTAAATATTAAAATAATCGAAAGATGAACTAAACTAAATATACATCCATAAAATAAATGACTTGGAATAACATATTTATTTTCCCATAGTTTGAAAATGATATGTTTTTATTTAATTTGTAAATATGTAAGAAATTCATTTTTTTCCGTAGTGAAACTGAGATTATGGATCTTAATTTGTTAATGCATGTCTTTTCATTTGCATTTGCAAGAGCAAATGGATCTTAACAAAAATGGATATTTTGACAAATTTTATTTTCGACTTATTAAGATGCGTTTTTTTACTATTTTCTCATAATAATAATAATAATAATAATAATAATAATAATAATAATAATAATAAATTATTAAAGATTTGGGCCTGGCCCCAAAAGGGAAAAAATCTTCTGCTACAGGGAGAAATGCAATTAATTGATGAAGCGCTCGTCGCCAATGAAGGATCTTGTACTTGTACGCTTCTTTACTCGACGAGTCGGCTCACCGAGTTCACCGTTTCTCTGCTCTCTCGCTGTGTTTTTGCCTGAGAATCTGAAACGCCAAAAGGAGAGCACAAAGGTAGCGTCACACAAACGCACCTCCGAGTAAACAGCGGTCTACTGTCTGCGTTAGCGTTCTCTTTACCATTCCGGCGCGCCTGCCATTACGATGGCCCTTCAGGCCGGTCCGTTCTGTTTCTGCGGTCCCAGCTTTAGATCTGTTCCTGACCCACTGAGTTCGAAACGACGACTCGCCGTCAAAGCTGCTTCTTCAGGACTCTCTTCTCTTAAGCCCTTCTCAGTCACGCGATCCAACTTCAAAGGTGTTAATGAATCTGCTGTTTTGCCCGGAAACTGGAATTTCTTGGATCCAATTTTTGAAAATTTTCCAACTTTCTTTGGGAATCTATCTGAATGTAGAAAAAAACGTAGTCTTACCGTTTTTGGGTTTTCAGAATAATTGTTCGATTTGTGCATTTTTGTAGGTTTTGAGAAGCTAGTAAGTGTAATCAAAGACTGAAAATTGGATGCTATGAACCCTAAGAATGGCAATCTACCGACTTGCTTTTGTCTACGGATCCTGTTATTAACTTTTACAAAGTAGGGCTTAAAGTGAATACAAAAGTAAACATTTTTATGAGCAATGCATGGAAATGGAAGTGCTTGGAGTTTGTAGTTGTCTCTCTCTCTCTGTCATTCTGTTTTATCCCACTTATCAGGTTTTGGCATTGTTGCTGATGAAATTGCCTTTTCCTATGTTTGCAAGCTTCAATCATATTCTTACATTCTTGAAGGAATGTGTGCCCACAAGACTGGCATTGTCGTGCCAAAGTTTGCCAAGAATCAGTGTTTTTGCTTCACTTTGTTCTTCTGATTTGATGCATTTTGTAGGAAGAGCAGTTTCGGGTGATGGTGGAACAAAGGAGGAATCCCCTCTTGTGGTGTGTTTTGGGGAAATGCTGATAGACTTTGTACCAACAACTAGTGGCCTTTCTTTGGCTGAGGCTCCTGCTTTCAAGAAGGCTCCTGGTGGTGCCCCTGCCAATGTCGCCGTGGGTATTGCTCGTCTTGGCGGTTCTTCAGCTTTCATCGGGAAGGTGTGGCATGAATTCTGAACCTTTCAATTATGTTTTAAGACCAAACCCTTGAGCCCATATAGGAGAATTCTGCGGTTGAACATGTATAGAGTTGCTTTCTCGTCCCAATGTTGTCTATTTGTGATAGCTCACGTAAAAATATCGTCTCTTTCATTTGGGTAATGTTTCCAGTTTGTGATGACTTTGCTAAAACATGAGTAATGAGTGAGCTTCTCATCTCCAAAAGAGAGCAGCAATTTAGTAACAGAGAAATTGCATTTTTATATACAAATTTTGGACCATATAGTGATATGATTCTCTTAAGTCTTCTTAATGCCTACAGGTTGGTGAAGATGAATTTGGTTACATGCTCGCAAACATTCTAAAGAAGAATAACGTGAACAATGAAGGCATGCGGTTTGACCAAGGAGCACGAACTGCTTTAGCTTTTGTGACGTTGACACGAGAAGGTGAACGAGAGTTCATGTTCTACAGAAACCCCAGTGCCGATATGCTGTTAAAAGAATCTGAACTTGATATTGATTTGATTACAAAGGTATGCAAAATTGGTTTCTAAGAATATGCACTGGCACTAAATACGACGATCCCTATGTTATATAAGATTCATAAGCTACAACTAGCCTGAAAAAGTTTTGTGTTTTTCATTTTGAGTAAGTTTTCGGTGGACTTGGGCATACAAGGCCATGGTTTTGTTGCAAACTAAGTACTCCAAGAATGTACAGTTACAAAACCAAGGCATATGAATTGAGACAAGATGGAGAAAATAGTGTTTCTTTTTGTTTGCTATATCTTCCCATTAGACCCATCTTGCCTGCACCAGATTATATGATCAAATGGCTGCATATTTGCATTTCAGAATCACATGACGATTTATGTTTCAATGTGGCGATAAATTTTTATCACCGATCTGATTATTTCATTTTAATTGTCCCTCGATCATGTGGCAGGCGAAGATATTCCATTACGGTTCCATAAGTCTTATTACAGAACCGTGCAGGTCTGCTCACATAGCCGCAGCTAAAGCTGCCAAGGATGCTGGTGTTGTTCTGTCCTATGACCCCAACCTTAGGCTTCCATTATGGGCTTCTCCCGACGAAGCTAGAGACGGGATTTTAAGCATTTGGGATACTGCTGATATCATCAAGGTTGTCGGCCTGTATCATTGGAATGGTTTGCAATATCTGCCTGTAAGTCACACCTGAAATATCTCGTCTCTCTGAACTTTTCAGATCAGTGAAGAGGAGATAGCTTTTCTAACTAAAGGAGAAGATCCATATGATGATGAAGTGGTCCGTAAGTTATTCCATCCGAATCTGAAACTGCTTCTTGTCACTGAGGGCCCAGAAGGCTGTAGGTACTACACCAAGGTGAGGCTTCTTACAGTTTTCTTGTTCTCTCGACACATATGATTCATGGATATGAATTGGTTATCACTATGTTCCACATAATGTGGAAATGTTATCGCTATATTGCGCCATACATTTGAAAGAATGGATATAACTAGCAGTATCATATGCAGGGGAAGTACTAGAATTTTTAAAGATGAGAGCTTGATCTTAAAGATTGACAAATACGGAAAGAGACTGCAATTATAAATAATCTGCTCGTATACATTTTGGAAATACCAGAACTTGTAAAACTTTCCGTTGTGTCACATACCGTGCAAATATTTCTGTTTTTGCAGGATTTCAACGGGAGAGTAGGCGGATTAAAGGTGGAAGTGGTGGACACAACAGGTGCGGGGGACGCTTTTGTGGCTGGAATATTGTCACAACTCGCTCGTGACCTCTCCTTGCTTCAGGTACCGATCTCAATCTCTCCTCACGAGCATTTTACACATTGTGTTTTACCCATTGAAGAATCTTGACAACCCATTAGACGTAGCCTTATCCCAAAACTCCTCTGTTCACAAAGTTTGAACCTTTCTTCTTGGGTACCCATCTCTCTACCACTCTTTCTCTTCCAAAATTTGTATAAATCAATCAAAACACCATTCATCGATTTCCCTGTATTGTTTGCTTCATCTTTGACGAGTTAAGAGGTTTGAACTGACAATGCAGGATGAAGATAGACTAAGAGAAGCCCTAATGTTTGCGAATGCTTGCGGGGCCTTAACCGTGAAAGAGAGAGGCGCAATCCCGGCACTTCCTACAAAACAGGCCGTCCTCGATGCCCTTTTGAAATCAGTTGTCTAAGATCATTTGTCTTCTTCAGGGTAAGCCGCCGACATGAAGAACCCATTGTTCTACCACGTCAATGTGTTTCTTCTTCTTCTTCTTCTTCCCTTGTTCTTGTGGTTCTTGTTGTTGTTGTTGTGAAACATGCGAGTTAATGTGTACATCATTGTTAGGTGTAAAGCCGAGTTCTGTTTTTTTTTCTTTCTTGAAATAAAAATTAGGAAAACACTAATCTGAGAAATTGTTCATCTGTATTGCAGAATTTGTTTAAGGAATTCTTTTAGTTCTAGATATCCATTTTACTCTTTCCTTTGACATGACTTTAATCTTAGTTTCTATGGTTATATTAAAAAAATTATATATTACTATTGGTTTTTCAAAGAAATTAAACATAGTCTCCATCTGATCAAAATGCTTTGAAAACAAAAAATTGAAAAAAAAAGAGACTTTATATACATTAGAATAGTGACAAAAAAATGTACAAATTCAGTGGTTGAAACAAAAGAAATAAAGACGAATTGCAGACATTTCACATTTCATTATACAAAAAACCAATTCAACCCTCTTTTATTTTTATTTTCTCAAAAAAAAAACTCAATAATATTAAAAGACATTACCAATACACACAAATATCTTCCTAAGGGCAACTTTTCTCCACCTTCGGTTTCCTTCAGAGACCGAAAACCGGAGAATCGGCTTTTTTCTTGATAACAAAACCGGGAAATAAAAAACCAGAACCGGTTTTCTCAATTTGAAAAACCGATCATAAGCATTTACACAAACACACGAACATATCAGTGGATCATCAAACTAAAAACTCTGTCTGAATCTTTATCCTATTTACACTTTCCCAAAATCTACGATGAGAACTCAACCAAGCTTCTTTTTTTTTCCACCTCCTTATTGTTTCTGAGCAGTTCTTGATAGTTTTTACCTTCCGTACAAATGGTCTTAGTCTTCAAACTCTGTAACTCCGAGCATGGCGAGAGCCAGATGACCCTTCATCTCGGATTTCGTCTGTTGCAACTGCGTATAGCTATCGATCATGCCCGAGAAATTGGTTTTTTTCCGACTAGAGTACGTTCTCTGTTCCAATCCTTCTTCGCCCCTGAGAATCGAGACGATCTCTTCCATCCCGGGTCTTCGTGATTCCTCGTTTGTCACACATGCTGCAGCAGCTCTGATCACCCGGTTTATCTGAACCGAGTTTTTTCGTGTAAATTTGACCCGTGGATCGAGCAATTCCTCTATAGCTTCCATTCCTCTGTGCAACAATGGTTTCGCCTGCTCAACACAAACCCACCATAAAGTGTAAGTCTTTTGTTCAGAACCGAGCAATACTGTATCTTCACAATTAAAGTTCACGGTTTGATCCTGGCCCAAATCCAGAATCTACAGGACAAGTTCCGGGTTTAGGTTCATTGAAGTTTACTTCAATGGTCAGTTCTTGGTTGGAAAGTAAGGCTCTTACAAAGAAGATCACTTTCCTTTAGAAGGAAGAGAAGACAGGTGGGGAATAAATTCTATTACAACTAACAGTCAACATGTTTGATGGCTAGTTAAGGAAATGTGTAAGAACATTACATACCCAAACGACCAAATTTTCTTCCCCAGATGGCCTCTTTGCTTCGATTGGCTTTCGTCCGGTAAGTAGCTCAAGCAACACAACCCCAAAGGCGTAAACATCAGTCTTATCAGATATCTTTCCATGTTGAAAATACTCTGGAGCCAAGTATCTGCAAGAAAGATTTCGAATTTATCGCAGCAAATCACTAGGAATGTCTGTGAAAGAAAGGAAAAGATCTCGGCTCAAGGCTCTTTAGAGATATATACCCGAATGTCCCTTTGACGGTCTTGCAGAGGAAAGGAACTGAAGGTCCAGCCGTCCATGTAGCCAATCCGAAATCACATAACTGAAAACCAGAATCAGAAATCCCGATTAGAAACAGCACTGTTAGTATCTTATGTTAGAACAAGACTACTTAAGACAGAGGAAAGGAAAAAAAAAACAAGGCTTATGTCTTTACCTTGGGCTTTTTCTTTGAGGAAAGAAGAATATTTGAGGGTTTGATGTCTCTATGAACAACACATCGATCCGTTCCATTATGCAAATAAGCTATAGCATCCGCTATTCCCACCGAGATCTTGTACCTTGCTGACCACGGAAGACTCGAGGACGAGCCGCTCTTCACTCCCTTTTTCTTCTTCTTATCTGTTTGAACACCAAACCAATTCATCATTGTTTGCACCGAGAAATCGACAATCGAGAAAAGTTTAAATCTTGATCTTCACAGAGGAAATTACCGTGTAAGTAATGTTCGAGGCTGCCACCGGAGACATACTTGTAAACCAAGAAAAGACCTTCTTCCGGGTCGATACAGAACCCTAGAAGAGGCACAATGTTAAGGTTGTGAAGAGAGCTTGCAATCATCAGCTCTCTGCAGAAGGACTTTGGAGTTTCTTTGTCTTCCTTATCGAGTTTCTTGATGGCCACAGCCGTTCTCCAAATTCCGATTCTTCCCCTGAACACATAGCTACAAGCTCCTCTTCCCAGCACTCTCCCTAACAAAGAAACAAACTTTTGTCAATTCAATCATGTTTCAGAGATCAACCCAATCGAGAATAACGCAGGCCGCATCAAACAATCTAGTTTTAATAGAACCCAAGATCATAAATTTCAAGGAGACAAGTCCATCTCGAGCAGAAACATTGAAATTCCGACATGTGAAGTGAACTCAGCAGACAGCACAATGGTTTTGTGCAGAGGAATCGATTGGTAAAGATGTTTTCGGTTACCTTTCGAGAAATCACGAGTCGCAGAGAGGATTTCGCTGTAGCTGAAGCGGACCAAGCAATTCGCCACCGGAGAAATACTCTTCTCGAGCGACCAAGCCCTCTTCCACTTCGTCTCCTCCGTCGGTTTCCCTGTCTCCTTTAACCCATTCTCCAGATTCACCAGCAAAACCGTCGCCGACCCAGAAATCGACAGGTTCCGACACAACGATGACGACGACGACGACGAAGAATCCTCCATTTTCATCTTCTCGAGCTCCACTTGTGAGCACAGACTGAACCTAAACGAAGAGTGTACGGAATGTGGGTCCGGGTTCATAAGCTCCGGTCCGGTTTCCGCCAACAGCCACGCCTTGTTCTGGTCGGCGCAGCCGTCATTTTCGCCGGAGCTCTTTCCGGAGCTGGTTTTGGCGAGAGGAGGAAGGAAGCAGGAGAAACCCAAATCAAAGATCATCTTTTTCAGACGGGTTTTGAATTCTGGATCATTGTAGCCACTGTTCAGATCCGGAGCTGAAGAAGAGGAAGAGGAACGAGGGTTTATAGAGTCGCCATGGGAATTTGTATCCGAGTGTCGTGGATGAACAGACGCTCCTTCATAAAAACCCATGTTTTCTATCAACAGATTTCAAGAAGAGCGCAAATACCCAGAAATCAGAATCACTGAGGAAAGAAAAAGCAGAAAGAACGTGAGAGAGAGAGAGAGAAAAAAATCTTTATTTTTTCTTGAAAAAGGTAAAAGGTTGATTCTTGGAAGCTTTGCTTGATGGGTGGGGAGAGAGATTCCTTTTGGTTCTTCCTCTTCCAAAGAGATATAATTTAGGTATATAAATCGGAAAGGTTATCGGGAGGAAGAAGAAGAAGATTGAAATTAAATTTAATGTATGATTAGTGGGAGAAGGTGGAAACATTTTCTTTTCTTTTCTAAATCGTTTTGTTGGTGTGTTCTTGAGCAAGAAAAAACAGGGGAAGGAAATAATTGGGTGTATGATTAATTAGTTTAAAAATGATTAGGAGGATGATTAATTCGATAAACATTTTAGAAAAAAAAAGTATATATTTATTAATTACATAACTAAACTTTTGGTGGGGAACAAAAAAGATGGTTCACTGTTAATGTCGTAAGTAGGGACAGAGCAGAGCCTACGAGCTGATGGCTTCTCCGTAATAGTGAAGATGTGTCACTGACTGTAATTTAAAATTTGCTGTTTTTATAAATAAAAAAAAAATTAATGAGATTATCCATCCATTTGCTGCAATTAATTAAATTAAATGCTGAAAACGGTCGGTCATAGTATACAACTTCAACATAATTTACATGCTCTATGATTTGCCAACACATTCTCTGTAATAGTTTTTTTTTTTTTTGTGGATTTTGTAGTTTAGTTTGGTGACCATCCAATCTTACAAAATCAATGCCCTTTCTTTTGCATGTCACTCCATCGCTATTTATTTAATTATTTTTACTCTAATACTCTATAATATGTCGAATTTGAATTTTCCAATTTTGAAAAATTTATAAGTATTTAGTTTGGTTAGAATTTTGTTTTTTTATCTAGATTGTTTTCATAAAAATATGTATTTTATCTAAAAAAGTTTTTTAAACATTGTTTGTGAATTCCATTAACGGATAAAAAATTACACCTATTTGATTTTAAATAAATTTTAATTTAAATACATTACATAATATTATGTTTGGGATTCGGTTACGTATATTCAATCGAAATATATCGGTGATTCTAGTATTAAATAAACGAATTTTAAAATTTTAAATTGGACATTTAAAAGGCATTAATGTGTCACTTAAGATTAATAGGGTGCAAACAGGTTTTATTTGAGAATGATGAGGAATCGGTGATGATGGCTACGTTGATGATAATATCAATGCCCTTTCTTTTAGGAAAATTATTATTTTGAGGTCCCATGATATTCCATTGCCTGTATTAAATAATGCAATGCCAAGGTGTCACGAGATAATAATTATTTGGAAATTAAAAATAGGAGAAATGGCCACTTATGATATACATTGTTATAAATGACCACATCAATATCATGTGAATTAATTAACTGATTACACCTAATGAAATTAAATGCATGCATTTAAGTGATAGGCGTCGTTAATATATGAACCAAGAACCATACATATATTCCGGGATACATTTTATATTTGTTATATCTTTTTTTTTTGTAAGGATATTTGTTATATCTTCAAACGCATTTAATTGGAATTAGTAATTCTTGTGCCAGAGGGAAAAAATCCGTAGTTTTTTTTTCATTTTAATCTATTTTAAATTCACGCACATATATATTAATATCAAAGAAATGAAGACACGTATAATAATGAAAACGGCTCACCGGTCCACAAACTTCACAATATAAATAGATGAGAAGATATATTATTTCTCCAAATCATATTATTATCAATTTCTCTTTGTACTCGAGCTCATTCCAATGCCATGATATTTCCTTATTTGGTAGTAGTAATTATTTCTACATAAAATTGATACAATTTTACATATTATAAGGTTTTTATTGACGGTGAACTTATAACATGTATATTAAGAGAGAAAGTTTCATTTCATCATCATCATCATCATCATCATTAAAGTGGGGTCCATCAGCATGGACCGGCCCATGACCCATGTTGGTTAACGAACGAGAGGAGTTGTGGTTGTAGGTTGGGAGGGGTCCATTACCGGTAGGTGCATAATACGGTGTCGGTTTGGTCAACCACGAATTTATAAAACATAATTTATCAAAATTTAATTATTTATTCTCTATATATTTGTTTTATTATGACTACTATGTTCGATGAATGCAACGTCACTTCGCACGTGTGCAGCGATTCCGTACCTGCTCCCCTCTCTCTATTTTGCATGTTATGAATTTTGTTAATGCATAATATAATTATGTCTCAGTTATTTGCAAGAGAGTTGTCCATCATTTATTCCGTACCTGCTTCTGTCATAAAAATCTGTGTGAGAATTTGACAAAATAAATCTGTAATACAAATTGTAATCTGATATATCATTATTATTTGTAATAACGATTGTTATTGTAATCGAGATTAACATATTAATAATGGGAAAAAAAAGGCATTAGTTGTTTATTTTTCATTTATAATTAGAAACGCTTCGAATTATTTCATTTTTTGACACTATAGACTATTATTCTTATATTGAGTTTTAAATACTTTTCAGGTTTAATATAATTCAATGCAATTCCAAAATGAGGGGTGGGTTCAGTACAGATGGTTCGAATATCATAACATTATGACAAATTAGTACTATCTTTGATTTTTTTTTCTAACTCCAAAACCAAATATTTTATATATAAGATTCTTTTTTTCTATTTTCTAAATACATATTAAAACATTTTTCAACGCATTCCTCGAATCTTCGTTGATACAAAAAAAAAAAAACTATAAACTTCCAAGAAAATGTCGATCCAATCATATGAATATACAATGTAAAAGGAAGTATGCATGCATGCGTATGTCATTAGGGATAACACAAAATCAAAATCCAACACATGTGTGTTAAGTCATCTGCTAACATTACAGCTTGTCAATCTCGGTTTTTAGATCGGTTGGGCTGTCTTTTTCTTTGTTCTTGTTAATTTAATTTCCCACTAATCTTTCTCTGTAAAAATGTATAATTAATTTTTGTTAATTATCTGTCTTTTTATTAACGGTTCGCTAATAGTTCACGTCGTGTGGGTTAGTCCTTTTTTGTTTAATATAAAATTATTGTTATTTTCTTGACTTTTAGTTTTGGAAACTTCAGTTTCTGGTTGTCAAGTATCATTTTCATAAGTACATGTTTTGACTTATTATCTTTTCTACTATTTTGGCATGTTTACAAACACTTTGCTGCGTGTATATATATATATGGTTTAAAGAATGTATATGGGGTTTTAATTTCAATAAATATGTATGAAATTGTCTTGCTAAAATATCTAAAATTTTAGACTTGATCTTATTAGTCAAAAGGCGGAGAAAGATGGCTAAAGTTTTTACGCTATATATTATTCTCTTATTACTATATCTAAAATGGCTTTATAATTATAACACATTTTTTTAATAAAATTGTGATTATTTTAAAAACTTTATGCAAGTGAGAAAGAAACTCTAACACATTATAAATAAAAATATATATAATGATATATGTAGATGATTTAACAAAGGATAAGGTCACATAAAATAAAGAATATGAAATACAAAAAAAAAAGAAAGAAACGTGTATAGTAACGTGTGTGTGTATATATATACTTATTTGGAGATTTACAACTATTTCTTACCACCATAAGTTATATTAATATTACTTTCAAGTGAACCAAAAATAGAGAAAGTATAGAAAACATGTAGATCAAAATTGGTTAACAAACTTTATTAATTTATTTTTATACCAATATTGTTCAGATTGCAGGAAATATCTGAAAACTAAATTGATTAGGATTCGACACCGAATTAGATAAAAAAAAAAGTAAAACAAACAATTTCAATGGATACAAAACATATAATTATCATTTCCTATACGTTATTTTAAATTTAGTTTTTAAGATCATTACAATGGTAAAGAAAACAGGAATATCTTCTCCCATGTTATCCAAGTCGGACTATATCTGGCCGGCAGCGCCGTTGACGGAGGAGCATGTTGCGAAATTTCCATGTACAACGAAATCATTTTAATTAAAAAATGTGTTTATTTTTTCAGTAATAAAATTATATTTTTCATTAATATTTTACGTAGGAACGCACATGCTCATGGGTTTTCTCTAACTAAAACTTTAGTTTATATACATGTATATATATAGTAAGATTGTCTCTGAGAATTTAATTTTATTTTACAGTTTTAAACTTGTTTTGTATAATCGATTTGGTTATTAATTTTTTTTTAAATCATCAAATTTAAAATTTATATTTTCTAAATCTTAACATACATAAAGAATCAAACTTTGGATCATAGAAAACTCTTATAAACAGCATACAATAATTTCCAATCACAAACTAGTCATGTGATTCGGTTAGCAAATCTAAGAGCACATGGTGCATTTAATTGTATAATAATTATTTGGGTGATTATGTCTGTCCATACGATATGAGGTCCAAATAGATTCTAGAAATCCCAAGAGTTGTGAATTGAAAACTTAAAGTTAATTTTCTCAATGTTTTTGAAGCATATTTACCGATTTGATTTGACAACAGCAATAGATAGAATATTGTTTTATTATTGACTGAATGTGCTGTAACCACTTTAACATATTTATATATTACGTGTTTAGACATCAATGCCAGTTATGGACCCATTTTTCCAATTATATATGTGGCCTTCAAGAAATTAAAACGATCACAAATATACGTATCCGGAATCCGGATCAAGGAATGTAGAACATATATATCTATCAATAAGACCCGTTTCATTAATGCGTATGTGTTGAGTTTGGTTATGATATATGATGGAGATCGTTCATTATGGTTGGACCATCCCATTTAATAAAGCATACTTCCTAATCATGTATCATATATGTATGTATATACACACACACACACACCAGTTCTATAAAAGAAAAATAGTTTGAACCCAATGCAAACATATTCGTGAATTGAGCAAACACCATAATCACTAGACCCCCAATGTTTGGTTACTATAACAGAAAAAAAAACCTTATCTGTTCTATGTTTTTTGTCAACATATAAAGTATCTAACACAATTTTAAGTTTTATGTGGTATTTTTGGCACAAATTAATAATTATTTTGAAAAGTTCAAATTATTTAGAGCAAGTAATTATGCATTAACTTTACCAAAAAAAAAAGGTATTTTTATGCATTAGTTTTTTTTTTTTTTGATATTATGTGATGTATGCATTAGTTACTAACACAGAAAAAAAGGTGATTTAAATTAGGGTTTTGGATGGAATCCCCTATTTCGAAATTTAACAAATTACTTTATTATAGTTGAAAAGGGAGGAGAAATTGCCACAACAAAAACGATCAGAACATTAGTACAACAAAAAATTCGAGGCATATAGATTAGTCTTCACACACCAATTCCATAAAGCAAATCCACGATTTCTTAACAGAAAAAAAATGTGAAAAAAGAATTATATGCCAAATTGCCAATGGCAGAACCGAAAACCTAAAATTAAACCGACATTTTTTCTCGGTAAAAATGGAGACTTCTCTATAGCGCGCTCTATCTCTCTCTCTCTCTCTCTCTCTCTCTCTCTCTCCCTCCTCCGGCAGCTGCATTGCTTCCGCCGTCTCACTCTCAATTGCCGCCGGAATTAATGTTTCCTGCTTCTGCTTCTACTTCTGCTCCGCCGCAGGGTGAGGCTCAAGACCTCCCTCAGGCTTCTTCTGCTCCTGCAGGTAAGTTTCCATGGCATCCTGGAGAATGTAGATGTCCTATTTTTTCTTATTTATGGGTTTAGGTGTTACAGTTCTTGTTCGCGAGTTTTTTTTCCCATAGAAATGGTGAATCCGTGATAGTTAGAGAAGGAATAAGAATGAGATTGCTTGAATGTGTCTTATGGTAGTTTGTTAAATTTGGGTTTCTGATGCGATATTCGTTGTCCAAGTATGATCAGTGGCTCCATTGGTCGGACTCTTACAATTAGGTTTTGTTGAAACGGAAGTCTTCTGCTTGTTCCTGTTTCTAAACATTTTGCGTGTGAATTTACTCTGAAAATTTATTGAAAAGAAGATTCTCTGTTTATGTTAGTTGATACGCATTCGTTGGCAGACCCAGAAAGAAATTTTCCTTTTTCTTTTCGAATTTCAGGTGAAGAACCAAATAATAGCTTAATCCAGTATTGCCGGAACATAGGCTTACCAATGCCAGTGCTTCATGTTGTAAACGAAGACGAAGTGTCTTCTCATGCCCCGAGATTCAGGTGTTCTGTTTGGGTGCTTTGGAAAAAATTTGCTTCCCAATACATTCCTACAACAGAGAGCTGCCGAGCAAGATGTTGCTAAGCTCGCGTTAGAACAGCTACAGCCTATGAACAATGCTACTGTGAATAAAGCTGCATTGTCTACCGATCTCTGCAAGGTTTGTTATGCTTGTTCCCTTTTTCCGTGGCCTTTGTCTAACTTTACTAGAGTCTAGAAGTTGTGGCTCCTGCTATGTTATTACGAAAAATGTCTCATGTTGTAGCATCAACATTATGACTTATGAGGTTAGAACATATGTCAAAAACTCCCTCTAGTCATTTTTCTTTTCATCTTCTTTTGACTGTTTCAGATTCAATTTTAGGGTTTATATAGGGATGGCGCCTCGCATCCCATAGGGGCACCTAGGGTCGCCTCTGAACTTTGCTTTGCCCCCAGGTCTGGAAAAGCGTCATCATCTCGCTTGAGCGACTTTGTAAAACCCGGTAAGCCGGAGCTTCTAGAAAGATAAGAACTTCACAACGTGCTTGTCTAAGTATTTTGACGTGTTTTGAGATTGTGAAGTTGTACTTTAGTCTTGATGGCTTAAAATTTTATAATCATAAAGGAATTATCCGTTTTTTTGGGTCCTCAGTTTATTACAAGATGTCCATATGGGGACGTTCTTAATACCCGTTGTGGGTGATGTAGATAGTAACTACACCTGAGGGATCAAACTACATTCAAGAATACACGATTTCACATAATTCCTTGTAAACCTAAGGTTGAATGAATCAATGAAACCTGAAATGTGTGGGTAGGGAGACCGGAGGTTTAAATGTGCTTGCCTTGAGTTTTGGGTCTGACGGGTTTCAATTCTATCTTTCTTCATGAGACCAAAGTACTATTTTGTGCTGAAATTTGACATAAAGCCTTTATACTGGATCAGCAAGTGGCTGCCGTAGAACAAAACAAGTCCAGAGTTATGGCCAATAATAACATGCCAGAAGTGGCGCATTTAGAGGCTAGGCTAAGACTGAAGGTCAAGGCGGTTCTCGAGTCCTGGCTGATCAGCAAGGCGATTCTGGAGCTTTGTGCAATGAGACTACACCAGAGATGGTCAATTCACAGGCTAAGATGCATCATGCAGGAGAGAGCTGGTCATGGATCCTGGCCTGTAAGCAAGACTGTTTCCGAGTCTTGACTGATAAGCGAGGTGACTCTGGAGTATTGGGCAATGAGAAAACTCAAGGGATGATGAATCCACAGGCTAGACCAAAGGAGCAAGTTGGTCATGGAGTCCTTTCCCATAAGCAACGCGGTTTGAGTGTCCTTGCTGCCAAGACACTGAACCAAACCAGGCAAACAAGATATGTCAGGTCTGTTTCATGTCTTGAGGTCCTCTATGAAGCGACAATGATGTAGAAAGTACAAGGCAAACAAGAGATCGCAGCAAACGGAGAGCAAGTAAGTGTATCCTATCTCCCTGTTTCTGCCCGGTTCCAATATTTCTTTTCTTTTGTTATAGTCCCAAAGAGAAGCAGTGAAAGAATCTATCTTTATCTTATGGAAGTTGCCAACTTTTTAGCTATTTCCAGAGTCAATCATGGTCAATAGTATGCCAGAATCAATGAATTCCGAGTCTAAGACTGAAGAGCGAGGAGATTCTGGAGCAGTGGGCAATTGGGACTACTCCATATGTGGTGATGAATTCACAGGGTAAGACGCAGGAGCAAGCTGGTGATGGAGTCATGGCCCGTGTGAACATGGAGTGATTGGCTCATGGACTGACGCTTATGAGGAGAAAAGGCTCTGGCAAGAGTTTCAAAGCAATGGCGATTCTGGAGCATCGGGCAATGGGAATACACCATGCTGGCACGTCAGCAAACCTTCTTCTCTCAAAGGGTTTAGGGTATAAACCCTAAACGCCGAACTCACCCCGTTCTCGTTCTGACCCCGTCTTTGCCCTATCGATTCTTGATTGCAAAGCTTTCGCCTAACCTTTTCTGCCTTTTCACGATTTCGCAGGACGGTATCAGTATGTGTGGTTTCACCCATTTCGGTTTAGGGTTTTCAGATATGTAAAGGTGAAAGTACGTATTTTGCTTGAGAAATTGAACTTCGATCTTGTTTTCTTGTTTTTAACGCTAATTTTTGTTTTTTTTTTTTGTTTTCGATCGATAGAATTGTCCGAACCCGAAGTTGTTTATAATATAGAATCCCAAAAGTCGGTTATATTATCCGGTCTCATATGCTATTTTCACCGTGGAATCTTATACATCGAGAAAGAATTAGCAATTGATGACATCATTATTAAAAAAAAAGAAATTCTGTTTATTTATGTAATTAAATAATTTATGAAGAGATGGAATTTCAATTCAGTAGTTAAATGATAGCAGTCGACGTGTCGGCAAGAGAAAGGGGGAGGAAAGTAAGAAACAGCTTCCCAAAGACGTGTAGATTGCGGAATGTACGCCGTTGTTTTTGCTGCTTCCTTCCTGTTTCTTAAGTCTCTATTAATTTCACCTTACTGCCAGCTAACCAACCATACATACATACATACATACATACATACATACATACATACATACATACATACATACATACATACATACATACATACATACATACATACATACATACATACATACATACATACATACATACATACATACATACATACATAAACTACAACACATATATAATTAATGTGATATACACTTGTAGCGACATTCATTAATATCTACATCAATGTCAATGGAGACAATTAATTATGTTGCATATATATATATATATATATATATATATTGTCTCGCATATCCATGATGTTCGATTCATACACTATATATTTTTTTAAAAATATTGATATTAATGTGTGTTTGGAAGCCCTTTGGTGGCCATTCCATTGATTTTAAAGCTATAGGAGTTATGATGCGGAAATTCTCGTAAGAATTTGAATAGTAAGTGATTTATTAAAACGTATGTATTGAATATATTAGAAGAAACAAGTTGAGTTAGTCTCACAAGATATTATATAATATAATATAGTTTTAATTGCATTATATATATATATGATTGTTAGATAAGATTTTCAGCTTGCATTAAAAAGATCGGTAACTATAGATAAATATGATTTGGTTGCAGTAAATTTCGTGATATAGTGGTTTATATTTTCATTTAGGCTGCAGAAATTATGAATTAAAAACAGCTAACTTTTACAAATTTAATGTCTTGTGAATACATCATAACAAAATACATTCACTTGGTAAAATTTGATTCTAACAGTTGATTCAATCTCTTACGAATTTTGCTACTAAACTTCTTATTTAATTTTTTTGTGTGTTCACTAAAACATGTCGTGCAAATCTTTCGAAAGGAATATAACCCCCCAAAAAATATTCAAATATTAAATATACTGCCAAACTATATAATTGTATAGAAATATCTTTTGGCTATTTAGACAACGTAAGTGATACTCATAAGTTTCAAACTAACCACTAGTTCAATGGCATAATCTTAATTAATTTTTTAAATGCTTTTATTAAATTCCGTCCTAATGGTTTAGTTGTCCGAAACATTTGTTTTTATTGTACCTTTTTTTAAATATAAAAACTATGGATAACGATAATACATTTTTTTAAAGACAAATTTTCTTTTCAGTTACGATAATTCCAACTTAACATCTTGATATTTTTTTTAATCTCTCATTTTACCAGATAAGTTTTCACTACATGTGTTATATATATATATATATATAGTTCTTCACTTTGCTATATGAAGGAAATGTAAGAAAATGTATTTACAGATCACTTTACATTCATGATTGAAGTCGAAGCTTCACTTATGAGATAAATTAAACACATTGTATATATATATATAGTTTTAGATTAAAATAATAGTGAAAATACGTCACCACCTTGCATAAAATAATAGACATAACCGCTTATATAAACCTTAACTCATAACTAAACACACCATTGTCTTGTCTTTCTTGCATTCCAATAGACAACCTTAAACCACTTCCCACTACTTCTGTCTAACATAGGAATCAAACCAGAAAGAGAAAAGAAAACCCTAAAAATCTCTCATTCATAAATTTCCCTACTCAATTAGTATCTAAAATGGCACTCCTTAATGACCATTCCGATGTAATTACAGAGCCTAATTACATCGCTAAACCGAACTCCTCGTCCTCCGACCTCTCCTCTCCAGAGTATTACACCGACGTGGCTTACGCTTCGAGCTGCAGTACGATGAATTTGGATCATCATCGTCATCAAGGGTTTGTGTTCTGCCCTACCGATCAATCACCGGTTCATGAATATTCTTTGATAGATTTCAATGGATCGTTTCTTAACTTCGATCACGACGATGATCATCAAAAGAGTTTTGTTCCGGTGGTCATGGAGGGAAACAACAACATGAACTATGGCTACACGAGTTGGAGTAGTCATCAGTTTGATAGCCCGAACTGCTTTGAAACAACGAGCAATCTCGGATTATTGGCAGAGAATTCTGCAAGTAAAACCACTAGCCATGGAAATGGGCATTGGTTATACTCGGATTCGACAGTTGTAAGCACCGGTTCAAGGCAAGATTCCACATCTCCCAAACCAGCTGGAAATAAGCGGCCTGGCACGGTAATTTCGCGTTGAAATCTCTCTAAGTTCTGATCAATAACACGATTTGGTTCAAAGCACATGCTCTTAATAGATCATTTCACGTCCAAGAGATAAAGAATATAAGCTTTTCAATGGACAGGGAGAGAGCACTCAAGCTTCGAAGAAGCAGTGCAGTGGTAAGGCCAAACCAAAGGCAACAACTTCAGCAAAAGATCCACAAAGCCTAGCAGCCAAGGTTTAGTGTTTTTTGCTTTTCATCCAAAAATATAAATCGGAAAAACTCGTAATTTTTTTGGCATATGATTATGATATCATGAATGTGATTTCTCGTTCAGAATCGAAGAGAAAAGATAAGCGAACGTCTCAAGATATTGCAAGAATTGGTCCCCAATGGAACCAAGGTACATTACATACATTTTCATAAAAGTCCCATCAAATATATATACCTATTTATATAAACCCTATAATCATATGATAACTTGCTTTGATTTCTACGGAAATTTTGTAGGTTGATTTGGTTACTATGCTCGAAAAGGCCATTAGTTATGTCAAATTTCTTCAACTACAAGTTAAGGTACATACCATTTCATTCATTCCTGACAAATATTCCAAAAAAAAAAAGTTTCCGGATTTGAATTTAGGGTTTCATTAATCGTCCTCGGTATATACGTAATGGTCCAGGTTCTTGCCACTGATGAATTTTGGCCGGCGCAAGGAGGAAAAGCTCCTGATATTTCTCAAGTTAAAGAAGCCATTGATGCAATCCTCTCATCACAACGAGACAAGAACTCATCAAGTCCCAAACCAAATTGAAGACTCATCACAATCAATGAACATCTATGTAATAATAATATCATGAAAAATATAAAAAGAACAATAATTCTATATATAACTTCGACGCTCGAAATAAAATTATATATGAAATCCCTAACGCATTGATATCTCCGAGACAAGATTTTAATTGAGGCTTCGAAGTTACCGATGATGGGTCCAACGGTCCACATTAGAATGGAATCTTCATTAGTAGATAAAAAATATAAATGTATTTTTTTCCCTTTTTTTAATGTACTTTGTTATTGTTGTATGGTTAGAGAGCTTCAAATGGAATTCTTTCACCAAAAAATGTGTAATGGAATTCTGCAACTTTTGGATCTTTGTGAGTTTTAAGCTGCAAAGCATCTTTCTATTTTGTCGTTTCTCTAACCTCTCTGTCTTAAATGGGTTTCGGCTTTTGTCTTTTTAGCACTCTTAAAATATTTGTAAGTATGAATTAAATGCAAATAAATAACATTATATATATAGAGAGAGAGAGGAAGAGAGAGAGAATATTGAAGAAAATAAAGAGTAAATACAAGAGAAAAAATAAAAGAAAAATAATATAAAGAAATTGAAAATTTTGAAAAAAGGAAAATATAAGAGGAAAAAAAAAGGAGAAAGACTACGAAAAAACTAAAGAAACAAACGAGAAAATTACGAGTGCATGATATTAAAAGTGATACACATGAACCATACATATATGCATGTATGATGTTTATGCATTGTGTTTGATCGTTATTTAAAATTATCATTACGCCTACTAAATTCATCAGTTATATCGCTCTGAGAAACATTTTTTTTGTGGACAAAGTCAATTTTTTTATACAATTATTTTAATTAAAACATTTATTTTCTGTTTCTAGTATGCATATATTAAAACATTTATTTTCTGTTTCTAATAGTTTTAATAAAAAACTATTAAGAAGGAAAAAAAATGCGCGGGTAGATAAATATTATCTGTAATAGTTGTAATACGACTAAATTTGCAAACTATGTCCAAGATGTCGTTGATTTCACAGATCAAAGAAGACGAACCATATATACATATGGTTTTTGTTTTTTTTTTTTAATTTATTTATTTTTTATTAGCTTAAAAAATTATTGTTTTAATTATTCTATTGAAAGACAAAGTTAAGATCTCGATCATCATCAAAGGTCAGCGTGTGTCCTTTGGGTAAGATTAGGGATACGGGTTTTGATTATACAATAACATTATCATTATCTAAGCTGTATTATATTATATATAGTTCTATCTTATTAAATTCATTAACCACATGATTGGCCACATGGATAATCCCTCCTAAGCTGTACTTGTATGTCTGTGTACTTGTAAGTTCCATTAAGTGAATAAGACAAAAGAAGTTATTGACAATAATATTTTTTTGTAATTCCATAGAAATTTTTAAAAAAACTCTTTGAAATTCCATATTCTGTCTCTTAGTGAAAGTATTTTGAATAGTTATAAGAAAATCTTCTATGAGTTGGATTTGAACAATTGACTCTGTAACGACCCGAGGCCGCCACGGAATGATAGAACTATCCCACACACCAACACGAGACCTTTTAGCGTGTTTTGTCCTCACTCGCACACATCACGGAAAGTACTTCTCAGGAGGTCACCCGTCTTAAGACTACTCCAAGGACAACACACTTAACTTTGGAGTTCTCTCGAAATGGGCAACCGAAAAGGTAGATGCATCTTGTTGCTATGAGTAGCTCAATTAATTCCTTTAAGTTATCTTAGATTGTGTAATCTCATACCTACACAGCTATTGGATCCCTCTCATTCCGGTGCGTCCGATTCATCCCTGTACCTCTATCCAGAAGCTCGTCAGGAGTCGCTCATTGTCCATGCCTCTCGTACCGGCGATCACTCCCCGCTCTCCTACGATATCTTGGTCTGTCACAGACTCTATATTCACTTCGTTATTTGTGTTAAATTGATTGAATATATCATTACAAACACAATTTTATTTTTTATTAATAAATACAATTGATTTGCCTTAATTAGAGAAAGAGAAGTTATCCCAAATTTACGAGGCGCAACCGGATTAAACCGGAGGATGAGTTGAGCTTGTTGTTGCCTCCCCTAGTTCATACAGCATAATTAAGATTAAACAACTTAATAAATTATAATTTCAGAAGAATCTAACTACGTCATCATCTCATTAATTTGTTAGGATATTCCTCGAGGATCCTTTTGATCTATAGGTCAATATTTTTCATCAATACATATGTTTGGATGTCTCCATTACCAAGAACATGAATCAATTTTCTATATTTTTCATTGGCCCGATCATTTCATGCATACATTTTTTAGAAGACCAAAAAAAAATCATTAGTTATACGTGTAATTATTCGTAATATATATATTTTTCTTTTGGCCAACGATATTTTTTAGTATTATTTTCCCGATTTTTGAGTTGTGGAACTAATTTAGCAATATCGAACATAATATGCTTTGTCTTCATGACAGTTGTGCCATGCATGATTAATTTGTCAAAGGGTTTTTTTGCCATCAAGTTGATTAGTGGTAAGTGTTACATTGGGCTATTTAATTATATGCTACTGATAAATACTCGTACTTTGAATATGAATAGAAAGTCTACAAACCTTTCCGTATGATTTATTTACATTTTTGTGTTGTAATATTTCGGTTTGTGCAAGATGCAAATTAACTGTCGATATAGTCAAATAAATGGTTATGAAGCTTCCCGTTGTAGCATTTATAACGGGAAATGTGTAGTTGTATAATAATATTAAAAATATTTTATTCCATCTCTATTGAGTGGTATATATATTTAAAATTGGTAATATATGAGAAAAAAATAACACAAACTCCTTACGAAAAATATAACTTAAAAACATCCGGATTATAAAGTTGTAATTAATGATTGCATTACTTAATTCGCAAATAATTGTGAAGCATTCCAATAATATAGTGTACTTCCCCCAGGTCGTATCCTACGAATCGAATCAATGAAAGCGAGTTATTAAGAGAATGGCAGTCTGGAATTTTAATCATGTATATTTTTTTAAAAACAATTATGAGTTTGAATCATAATAAATAAAGAAATATGAAAGAGAAAAATGACAAGCATGCATGCATGCACGTCCACGTGCACAAAGATTTCATTAGTACAACGTTAGCTTCGGTGAAAAAAGAGTTGTTCCTGCAAGTTTTACCCCCAATTCACACGTACTTTTAGATATTTCTTTGTAAAGAATATTTTGTATTACTAAAGCAGCAGGATAATTTCTCTATATATTATAAATGATTCATCTTTGTCCCACAGATATTTATAGATTCTTATATAAGATATTGATATAAGTGATTTTGGTATATGGTGTTCCAAATTTATATCTAAAGTGGAATACATGCAATTAGGAGTCGGGACTAGTCATTTATATTAACTGAGAACTAAAATCTAGATAAAATATTTTATGAAATAATAAATCCAAATGTAGCACCATCCCGCTAATCTTTGATCGGTACTTATTTTGTCTATTTATTTACCAAGATTTCCAATTAAATAAGAATAATAGTATCATAGTTTTTTAATGCACCCAAAGAGGGGACCATTTTGAATAATGAGTGCGATTTTTACTGTCCATAATCAGATTCACATGGCTAATCACATAACAAAATGATTGTGTATATCTATAGTATCGATTAATGTGAATGGTCCAAATTCTTTAAATATTTATGCTATTATTGTCATTATTAGCATTAATAGTTGCTGTTAACCTTCTGAGTACATTATTCAATTAATTGCACGGCATTCTTCCCAACATTATTGGCATCTTTGAAAATCGAAATATTTGGGGTATATATGATTTCTAGCTAATGGTACCATTCATAATCAAAACATATATTAATATCAGACAGCTAACAGCTAATTATCTCTTACCCTCAATTATATATTTCTTTTCATTCTTAAAAATGATGTTATATTTCATTTTAAAAGGTAAAAATTAAAATTGTTCATACAAAATTTGTTAAAATTTTTAAAATACATTATCTACAATAAAAATAATTAATTTTTTTAGCGATGCTATTCGAAAAAAGAGTAATTGTTTGTACATAAAATAGATAGTCTAATATCGATAGTCAAATATTATGTTACAGTCAAATTTAACAATTTGCAAAAAAAAAAAACTAATAATTGCAAACAAGAATTTTAAAATCCAATGAACTGAAATTTCTAAAGGTTAATACTAATTAGGATGTATGAAGCCTTCTGAATGCTATAATAACTAATAATGTTATTCTTAATTTTTTAATTCAGAAAATAATTTTAATTAATCAAACAACTATTAACTTTTTTTCTGAGCTTTCCGAAAATAAAAAATAAAAAATAAATGGAGAGAGACGAATTTGGTTCGATTTGCGTCCATCATTCAAGTTGACCCATTTCAATTTCTTGTTATTTTTTTTTGACAATTAAAGAGTCCATAGTGGTGTTGAAAAAAAAACAATTTTACAAATAAATCCATGTGTCTATATATCTCTTTAATTTCAAAGTCGATTTCTAGAATGTGTGGCTCTATAATTGAGGCTTTGTCTTGGCAAAGTTGCAGATAAATATTTATTTTAATTTATCCTAATTAATGCCAAAGTGAATTTTGACGAACACAAGCTAGTTTTTACTTTTTAAACAAAATAATTTCATCATTTTTTATTTTAAAAACTTCATTAGAACCCCTCATTGGTCCATTGATAATGATTGGAATAATTTGCAGACTAAAAATTAAAAAAAATAGGTAAAAGTAATTTAAATCAAGAACTTCTTTAGAGACAGTAAATAAACAAATGCTCCGTCTAGGAGCATAACTCGGTTTATATAAAAATAAAAAAATCGACGGGTATTTATTGGATTGTTCGTAAGTAGGACCTGTGTGTCCCAATTTCGGAAGACGAAATTTCAATTAAAAAAATACATAACATTACTAAGATCACATTATTTAATATTTTTGTCTTGCAAATTATGGTTTTTGTCAATGATATGTTTCGTTGAACTTAAATTTTATATATTAATATATCAATATGCCAATACTTATTCGTGTATATATCTAATGTAGTCACTCGCAAGTGCCGTAAACGAATATGTTAGTAAGATATATATATTTTTTTGATAATCTAGTAAGATATATATATATATATATCTGTGCGTGACACGTCAAAATAAGAAAAAGAAAATTAGAAATCAGTATAATATGTTTCTAAAATGCAGTTGAATGTGTGCGTCTGCGTGTATATATGTATATATATGCGCGTGTGTGTGTTGAGGATGAAATCATAATAATAAATGATATCTCTATCAAGAATTGTCAAAAATGTCGGAATTAGTAGTACAGAACGTGGCAAGCAGAACGTTATGGGGGGTGGAACTGGTTTTGTACCTTCCAGCTTTCCATGTTTGATCATTTTTTTTATGCGCAGCCATTATATATCCTTCGGATGTGTATCGGGTAAACTCTGCTTTCGTGTAATAGCTTGCAAATCATACGAGAGATGTAAACCAACTTAAATTAGACTAAGAAGATTCAAACCCTAAAGTTAAAGGGTCTAATACCCACGCCGGATCATGGTTTCTGTTCCTCTTATACATGTTGATATCCAAACGTGGATAGTTCAACCGTTGAAAATTGGGGTAAAATGTATATCTGTTACGAATTCGAACCTCAAGTTTGGAGATATGATATATATTTCAAATCATATTATTGATCTTCGGTTTTAAAATTAGTATGGATTTCGGTTTATGATATTCGATTATTTCTTGATGGTATGATCGAGTGAATTTAGACACATGTCCTTATTAAGTGCAAAAAAAAAAATAGAAGAAGAAAAGAGTTGATAGACAACAAGACAAAGGATTAAATTCTCGCACGTCTTCGATATACATAAATTAAGAGCAAAGAATTCATGTGCATGTCCAGTTTACATTAGTGCAGAGGCCTACGTGAAGACCATGCATGCATATTCCTTGTCGAATTCAAAGAAGTGAGCAGTTGTCCACGTGGGATAGATTGGCACGTGCGTCTTTAAATGTGTTAATACGGACAAAAGAGGATATGATCACATGGACAAATCCCTTGTAAACCGGACTCTCATTCTTTTCCAATGTTGATAACTTCACTTTCATGAATCTACTCACTATATTATTTATAGATATCATCTCCCTTTAATTTTTCTTATAAACAATGACTATATAATGTATATATTCTTTATGGAATTTGTCATTTTCTTCTTACAGATTATTTCGCTATGTATAGTTATACAAAATCGAATTTAATTTATGTTTAAATTTATATTAAAAAAATCAAACTAAAATATCTAACAAAATCATCCCATATTATAATAATTAGTCAAAAAAAAAAGAAACCTAAACATATTTTATAACCCTCGGCATGGGAAAAACTAGCCCATGTTTCTGTATTGGGCTTCGTTAATAACCATGTTTCAGGATTGGGCTTTGTTTATAGCCCATGCTTCAGTATTGGGCTTCGTTTATAGCCCATGTTTCAGTATCAGTCCATATTGAAATTGAGACAAAATGTCACAAACACCCTTCCAATCGGAATATTTCGTGCTAAAAAATAACAAATAATAAATTGTTTATTCGTTTTACACGTGTTATGCGGCTAATTATTTCATAATGTTTTTAAAATTTTCTAGTTGAAGTGACATAAAATAGAACTAGTCAAACGATCAATGTTAATTAAAATTCACCGTATACATTTACAATTAATCAAGGAGTGAAAACTATTCGCGCGATAAGATCAAGAAAGTAGATTAAATATATTTTAAAATAAATATAAAAATGTAATTATTTAATATTTTTCTTTTTTAAAACTTCCTATAAAGTTGTTTAGTTTAACGAGTCTTAGGGAAATTAAAGGAGAGATAATCACTCCTACATTAATGCTACTCCAACTAAACTTCTTACTCTAAACTAATCTATGTCAACATATCCTATTTTTTATTATCTAAATACCAAAAACAATTAAGAAAATGGAGCATATAAAAAGTTTATAAAACCTTAATCTCTACTCACATTTCAATTTTTTTTTTCTCAAAAATATATAAAATCCTCAAAATTTTCTTTTTACTCATATCCTTTAAATAAATAAAAAAATCGTTTGTTATTATCTTTTTTTTCTACATTATTTTGGTCGGGTATTTATAAAAGTCCTATATCCCTACGAGATAAAATTATTTCCAAATCAACTTAGAAAAAGAGAGAGAGAGAGAAAAAAAATCTCCATCTTCTTCCTTTGGATTCTTCACAAAAAACAATGGCGTCAACTTCAGAAGGAATTCAAGAAGAAGAAATATCAAGAGCCGAGAAAGGCATCGACTGCCAAGGCGGCATCAAGAGAGTCCTTTGCACTTCTTCCTCCGTCGTTACTCTCTCCCAAAAGGTTATAAACAAACTTAATTAATATGATATTTAATAGGAAAAAAATATTAATTAATCATCATTAATATTTTTGTTATTGTTGCGATTTCCTAATATAATAATATTTTTTTTTGGGTTTGGTTTGGGTAGTTGATAGCAGAGGTGATTGGCACGTACTTCATAATATTTGCGGGGTGTGGATCGGTGGCCGTGAACGTGATATACGGGAAAGTGACATTTCCGGGGATATGTGTGACGTGGGGCCTCATCGTCATGGTCATGATCTATTCCACCGGTCATATTTCCGGTGCCCATTTTAATCCCGCTGTTACCATCACTTTCACCATCTTCCGGAGATTCCCACTTTCACAGGTTATTAGTAGCCCATTGATTACAATTTTTTTTGTTTTATAAATGAAATCCAATTTATTTTATTCAAGTTTCTTAGATAAGGTTGAGTTTAATCTTGAGAGATACCATGAGTAAATTTCTATTTTATTGGTTTATATAAATTAGGGGTGTCAATCGGTTCGACCTGACCCGAATCCACATTCGGTCCAAAAATTTCAGGCTCGGGTTTGGGACGTCCGGAGTTTTTGGACTTAATAAATTAAGAGAATTCGGGTTCAGATCAAATAAGTATAAAACTCGCTATTTTTCGAACGGACTCAGATGGGACTTTGGTTTTTAAGCCTTAGTAAATAAATTGAGATATATTATTATGTCTTGATTTTGTGTTTGAAAATAAAAAAATGGGGAGGATGCAGGTGCCATTGTACATAGGAGCACAATTGGTGGGATCGTTATTAGCGAGCGGGACACTAAGGTTGATGTTCAAAATAACGCCAGAGGCATTCTTTGGGACGACCCCTACTGGTTCCTCCCTTCAGTCCTTCGTCGCCGAGATCATCATCTCTTTTCTCCTCATGTTCGTTATCTCCGGCGTCGCCACCGATAATCGCGCCGTTAGAAATCTTCGTCTTACTAATCTTTATTTGCATTCCTTTATAAAAATCCAACTAATATACTCTCTAATCTTGTTATTAATACCCCCAAATATGTTTTGTTTCACCACAGATTGGAGAATTAGCAGGAATCGCCGTGGGAATGACCATAATGTTGAACGTCTTTGTCGCCGGGTAAACTCGTTACTATATATATCCATTACGTGCACTATATATATCACCTAAATATATGGTAAACAGCATGAGAATTACATCTACGTATGTAAGCGTGTATGTATTTGGACGTTGTAGACCGGTGTCCGGGGCGTCGATGAATCCGGCGAGGAGTCTAGGGCCGGCGATAGTGATGGGAGTGTACAAAGGGATATGGGTATACATCGCAGGGCCTCTGGTCGGAACCATCTCCGGGGGATTCGTCTACAACCTGATTAGGTTTACGGACAAGCCACTCCGAGAGCTCACCAAGAGCGGCTCTTTCCTCAAAAGTATCTCTAGGGCTCGCGGTGGCAACGAAGGCAATTGAATATACTTTTACTAACATATATATATATGATCACATCGTCTTTTTTTTAAAATTCATGGTACATTTGATTTGATTCTTTTGTGTTGATTGCTAATGTTAGTTTTCAAGTGGTTAGAGTTTTCTATAATTGGATGCAAGTTTACGTTTCACATGTAGTTTTTGTTTACTATTATGAAATCATATAAAGAGATTGTGTTGATCCCTTGGATTGAGGACGAACTTTTACTGCATTATTAAAAGCCCCGTCTTTTTCTCTGCGAAAAAAATAATATATAGTTTTAGGTGAAATCTTATATTCACCACATCACCTGTAAATAAATAGGGAAAAATAACATTTTGGGTCACACTCAGTTACCTTCCACAAATAATTTGTTATTCGCATCCCGTGAATTTTGTTTGGAACTTTCTCAACTATTGTTTGAATATTTTAAACAAAAAAAAAACACTATGGTTTGAATATATATTAGAAACAGCCAACATAAAAAAAACTAATTTCAAAATGATATACACATGGAATGTTTAATATGTAAAAGATAATGTGTGTCCTAACAAAATGAAATATACATAGAGGGGAAAAGGGAAATGAAATTTTCTGATCTAATAATGAATATTTTTGGTGTTCTTTGCAATCTCCCTTCTTTCTTCCACCGCGAATGTCACATGTCTCTGCACATTGTTTGAGAAATAACATAGTAATTTTAGTTTGTGGAAAGAAAATCTTATAAATGTTGAACAAACCAAGAGATCTTATGAAAATAAAATATTCTTACGAAATACCAATTACGATGAAGGGATGAGTTAATCATGGAAATGGAGAAAAATTCGCACAAGCCCTCATATTATGGAACATTATTATCCAAGTCATATACATACTTATGAAACGGATAAAAAAATAAAATATATAATTTTTATAAAATAAAAAACTCTAACCAATAAATAGTTGACTCTACGTATAACTAAAAATCCGAAACACAAATACCTAATTATCGTTGATGATGATGTGAGTATGATTGTTTGACCGACAATATTTAGATTTTATTCAAATTATTGACAAACGTGATCTATGAATTATACACATGATCTATTGGCGTTACATCCAAGGATGAATAGCTACGAGTAAGAGTTTCAATAACAAGTTAATATACACAAATTGTAATATAATAATAATTCCAATTTACCTAATACAAAGATAGCTTTTATTAGACCGTTGATTCAAGTGTACTTTCCTTATAAATGTAATCAACATGACTTTCTATTTACAATAAAGAACTTGGTCCAACTAGTCCAAATAACATTGTTTTTAGTTTTAATTAGAGTTACTGTATTGGTTGAACATAAATACGATACGATATCATTTTAATCAGGATTTTATATGGATTCAGATATTAAAAATAATTCGAAACAAATTAGCAAAGGAACCGAATTTTAACTAAATTCAAATCGAAAATAAAAATAAAAATAAATAAATAAATGCAATCAGAGTTCAAATCGAATTCTAATACAAAATAAACTAAAGAATAATGTAAACATTAATTGATATTTAAAAAACAGAGCCAAAAATAATAATAAATTGAAAACAAAAACCGAAATTCAAACTATATACGTTAAATGAATGTTTAAAATTTTAGGAAAATTATGAGTTAAAACTATTGACTATTTATAGGCTAAAATTGCAAATTTTAGTATTTCGTAACTTAAATATTTCATGGGAAAAAAAACAATCTTTCATGACTTGGGTACATTAATTTGCATATCACATCTATCTTTATTGGTACACAATTACATACTTTTCGTGTGTCTATGCTACAAAAAATAGATAAATACATATATCCAAGCGGTCGGATTAAGATTAGGTTTTGTCCTATATCGAGAATTAAATTTTCTTGGACTATCCTTCAAGAACTAAAATTTCTTGGACTATTCTTCAGATCTGATCCAATGCGGTAAAAAAAAATACCTAGACCGTTTCTAGGTTTTCCACTCATTTGACCAAATTTAAAATAAAAGCAAAGTAAAATAAATAAAAAATTAACTGTTACCTCTTGCGATTTGAAATTTGAATTCCCACTCACCCCACCAATTCCAAGTTTCCGGCGAAAATCTCCTCCGTCTCCGCCGTTGATATCGCCGGGATTCTTCGCGTAGAGGCCAATTATCCTCTCGGCGATCTCGGAAGCGTCGTGGCTCTCTTCCACGAGCTTCGTCACCTGAGACCTCGGCAACCTCAGCCTCACCCTCACCGGCCCAGCCCCATCTCCGCCACCGCGTCTGTCGATCGTCACGTCGGAGACGGTTCTCCGGGAGAGCATAAGCATCTCTAACCGCTCCTTCGCGCTGATGTGGATGCCGGACATGACTCGCCGGTACGGAAGCCCGCTTCCCTCCTCCGCCGCCACTGCCGTCGTCTCCGGCGGACGCTTCGGGAGCTCGACGAGGAAATACGTCTTCTTCGGCTTCAGGATCTGATTCGGATCGAGCGGCTTGGCACGAACGCCGAAGCTTTTGACGGCGTCGGAATCTAGGAGGACGAATCCGGGATATTCCTTAGTGGCTTCGCTCGCCGTCGCAGGAGTTTTTAGCCGGAAGGTCTCGCCGTCGATCTTCATCACCTTCGCCTTCTTTCTTCTGTACATGATGGCGTTCCCCATCTTCTTGAATTCTCTCTCTTTCTCTGTTTTTTGATTGTTTGGACGTTGGAGATTGTGGGAAAGCTACGGTATTTATATATGTTGTGGGGGTAAGCTTTCCGAGATCGTAGTGTGTGAAGCTTAGAAATTTTCTGGAGATGCTTTCTTTGTTAAATAAAAAAAGTCTTTAAAGTTGAAAATTTAACTCTAACGACGTTTGAAAAAAGCTTGAAAATGTCGGCGGCCCATTGCATTACATTTAAATTTTATCCCAACTTTACTCTTGTTATTTTGATGTTATTGATCCAAAAATGACCGCCCGTGGTACATTATTTCTTATTCTTGTCGCTTTTCTATAACATTAAAAAAATTCTTAGGATTATATAAGGTTATCTTCAGGGCACTCGAGCAACTCCAAAATGATTTCAGGTACATATTTATATTTACCTAAAACATTGATGTGAGAAGTCTTATTTATTTACGTAAAGTATCCTTAATATTATATTTTATAATATAATCATTTACCCCTTATCCTAATTGCAGAAGGTAATACTTGTACCTTCATAAACAAAATTTATTTACGTAAAGTATCCTAATTGTTTAATATCTATAAAGTTTTTGTTTAGTCTAACTATAAACAAAATTTATAAAAATATTTAGACAGTATTATAAAGATATGATTTTAGAAAAATAAACGGAAAATCCGGCAAGTAGCTTAAAATACACAATGATATAGAATATTTTGTTCCAAAAATATGGTTTGTATGCAGAAGAGAAACTTACGTCGGTAGGAAGATCTCCGCGTTGCGTGGGCCTCACGCGCGAATTTAGAACGCGTTAATGGTTTCTGGGCTAAATATTAATGGGCCTTACTAAATGGGCCGAATAAACTAACCAACTCTCGTTTTCAATTCGGAGAGTATACAATTAAATAAACGACCGAAATGTCGACGCTCGACCACCGTGATGAATTTAAGGGATTTGTTTTGCTTAAAATGATGAGATTTAGAGTGTCTTGTCCGTCGTTACCAGAGAAAGTTATGTGTTTTTTTATATTTAATTTATTTTTAATCAAAATTAACAAAAAGTTTGATTATGTGTTACTTATAATTGAAGTGTTTGGTAAATGTAAATGTGAAATCAAGAAATTTTGTAGGAAGATTCGACCGTTTTCAAATTTTCACCGAAATCCAAAGCTATGGTTGTTTATTGATTGCTGATTTTGAGTGGAATTAACACATTAAACAGAATCAACTACTACACCTGAATATAATTCAGATCGATTATAAATAATTCAGAATTCGGAATATTTAGGATGATTTTTTTTTATAAATTCATTTGGAATGATATAAGATGTTTTAGTTACTCTTAATTATAAATTGATATAAGATATTTAAAAAAAATTATCATCTTATTATCGTTTTTAAATAAGGAAACAATAGGGGATGTATTTGAAAATTTAAACTTTTTACTTTTTAGATAGATATTACAAAGTTGGAGGACCAATTAGTTAATTTTACAAAGAATGCGGGAGCGGGGGAGAGAGAGTGGGGGTCCCTCCGTGGCGGCGATGCTTCTCGAGAGTACGTTTCGTCCCGCTCTTCTTTCTTCTGTGTAGTAGATTCTCTTTTTGTTCTTCTCAATCAGCGAATTTGAACTAGAGAGAGAGAGAGAGAGAGAGAATGGATCCTGATAGAGCACTGGAGCTTGTGAAGCATGGTGCTACACTTCTGTTTCTCGATGTTCCTCAGTATACTCTTATCGGGGTCGACATCCAGGTGAGTTGCTTCCAAACAAACGCTACGCTGATTCGTATTACCCTGATAAGCAGGCGGGAATTTTGGCAAAGACTGTCAATTTGAATCTGATGCAATGCGTTTTTGGAGTTGCCGAGGTGCCTAAATTCGCTTTTTTGAGAAATGGGTTTAAGTTGAATACAAGTATAATGGCGAAAGTTTTCGAATTGTAGAGTTTTAAGTTGATTACAGGGTTTATCTTCTTAGTTTCTCTGTCTCTAGTTTGATTGAATTTGAAGCAAATGTAGTAAACTTTGCCTTGTGAGAGATTTTTCTTGTTGAAACTTTTAGTGTCAAGTAGAATTCGGAAGAACAAATTGATGATATTGTTCACGATGTGTGTGCTTAAAGAATATGATTTGTGAGGAAGAAACGAAACCATTTCCGTATTTATGTTGTAATATTATTCACCAAAAACTTGACTATCACTTCATATGAAGTGTTTGAGGAAACTCGTGGAAGAGTGAATTGGGAAAAGCTTAGTCGTTTTAATGGCAGCTTTGTGGTCAATTCCGAATCTGGTTTAACCAGATCGTCCTCTAGTTGATTTGTGACAATATATATTTTTTAGTTATGATTTTTTCATTGCAGATGTTTTCAGTGGGACCTGCTTTCAAGGGGATTAAGATGATTCCTCCTGGAATCCACTTTGTGTTCTATAGCTCATCGAGCAGGTTTGTTGTACTGCTTTCTTGGGCTTCTTTGACTCATATCTTCTTAGACTATCTATGTGCTTCTGATCATGTTCCCTTCTGATGATTCAGTCGCTTGCTTGGCTCATTCTCTTGATGGTTGCAACCCCTTGTGTTTTTTTGTGAAATTGAGCTCGTGTATAAATATTTGGAATTGATATCCATTCTTTAATAGACCTGGTAACTTGCTATATTGATGAAACATTGGCTGATAAATACTGTGAACTTTGTGTTCTTTTTCCAGGGATGGTAAGGAGTTCTCTCCTATCACTGGTTTTTTTGTTGATGCTGGTCCTTCCCAGGTTTGGGTTTTGTTTAGTCTTTAAAACTTCTTTGAAAATTATGGTACTTTATAAACCAACTATGGATATATGTAAGCATTATGAACCTGTGTGTTATCAATTCTACCAGGCTATTGTACGCAAATGGGATCACCAAGAGGAGCGCTTGACTAAAGTATCTGAAGAAGAGGTTTGCATTAATATTTCTCTCGATTTTCTTCCCAATGCAATAAGCTTTTTCTCAATGATGCTTGAATTTGGTTCAGTAGATAAAAATCTCTTTTTAAATGGAAATGATATTGAGTTATTTGTTTTGATAATTCCTGTAGTAGGAGTACAACTATATCTTTCTTATCTTTTTTTTCTATGAATTGAATCACAGAAGCTTACAAATATTTGTTCCTTTCTGCGAAACTCAGAAGTCATACATCAAACGATTGATGTAGGGCTCGGAAATAATGTGGGGGTATATATTTTTCAATTTTGTTCCTGTCCTGCCAGGAAGAGAGATATGCCCAAGCAATCAGGAATTTGGAGTTTGACAGATATCTAGGCCCATACAATTTAAGCCAATATGCTACATGGAAGCAACTATCTAACTACATTACAAAGGATATTGTTGAAAAAATCGGTATGCATACCATATATAACCATGATATTTCTTTGTCCACATTGTTAATATTCTCCCTCATTTGAATGGTAAGCACAGCAAAATTATTGATATTCTCAAAACCATTTGTTCAACTTTGCAGAGCCAGTTGGAGGAGAAATTACTGTCATCTATGAATCTTCTATCTTAAAGGGTGGACCCAAAACTTCAATGGAGAAAGCTCTGGACGAGCAGCTAAAAACAAGCAAGTTTAAAGTGACATCCATTGAGCAATCCACAGGGCAGAGGTGTTATTATACTTCTATTCCTCGGATTATAAAACGGAAGGGAATGTCTGGGCAGGAGCTGACTTCTATGAATCTTGACAAGGCAACTACCCTCGACAGATTTGTTTTCGTTGGCCTTTGTTTGATGGTTACAACTTAAAAAACTCGGACATGTGATTTCTTTTCTGTGTGCAGACTCAACTGCTGGAATCTATATTGTCAAAGGAGTATGGAGGTTCAGAGGAATTGCTTCTCGGGGAGCTGCAATTTTCATTTGTAGCTTTTTTGGTATGTGCTAGTGCTACCCAATGTGACATATACGCCTTTGCATAATCACAAATGAAGATGTTCTTCAAAAAATTTCCCTTAAAGTTGGTTACTTTCTCAAATAAAGGTAGCACATTATTGTGCAGATGGGGCAGTCTCTTGAAGCCTTCATGCAGTGGAAATCGTTAGTTAGCCTTTTACTAGGATGCACTGATGCGGTATGTGATTTTTAGATTTCCTTTTTCTATGTAATTACTGTACCGAGCTTCTCTCTGCTCTATCATATACTTGGGAGATAAATTAATAAATGAAAATCCATGCTTTCATATTAATACAAGTTCATTTTATTTTCAGTCTCATGTTTTCTGCTAGGTATATGATTTCTCTACTTACAATCTTCATATCAGTTTCCAATGCCACATAGGTTTTGTTTGGCCATGACGTGTCTTATATGTTTCTCATTTTTGTTTATGGTACTGAATCTTGCTTCTAGATGTGGTACAATAGTCTAAAAGTTAAGCAGCTTTACAATTCTATTTGAGCTTTAACCTTAGCATCATATTCTTTTTGCCTTTTTGCAGCCCTTTCGGACAAGGAGCCACTTATTTACTAAGGTATACTTCAATTACATTTATGATAGAGTATCTGAAAATGCATAGAGATTATATATCATCATATTTTATCATTTTTTGGCATCTTTTAGTAAAGCTGCTTTACTAATTATCATTCTGTTACTCTAGTTCACTCCAGTCAACTAAGGTATAATGTTAGTAATATTTCTATAGTCCTAAGGGAGAAGATTACTATTAATTGATGCACTCATCACAGTTCGTCAAAGTCATCTACCAACAACTTAAATATGGACTTCAGAGGGATAGTAGCAATCCAGAGGTGGGGGCACCTGCACTTCTAGATGATTCTTGGTTATCCGCTGATAGCTTCCTGCACTTGCTTTGTAAGGTAAACATCTGACTGGCAACTTGTTTTCTGTGCTTAACATGTTGGAGGATATTCATATGTTTGACATAATTGCTTTTACAACAGGACTTTTTTGCATTGGTGGAAGAAGCCTCTGTAGTTGATGGAGACCTGCTGTTGTGGGTGTGTAGCAAAACTTCTTATCATCTTATTTTCAGTTTTTTTTGGATCAATCCAAAAAAGGAAAATTAAACTGCTTCCATTGTCTATGGTGGTTCTAGAGCAAACTAAGGAAATGGTTTTGAAGCATATAATCTAACTTGCACCTTTGTTGAAACTTTATTTCGTCTAGACAAGGAAACTCAAAGAGCTACTTCAAAACAGTTTAGGATGGGAGTTTCAGAAGAAGAGTGCTCTTGATGGGATTTACTTCGAGGATGATGATGAGGCAAGTTTTTCGAGGATAACTTTTTTCAATTTTTATTTTTTTTGACTTTCTTCCATGCGAGATTTTCACTTTTTTTTGTCTTATGTTTCCTTTATTTCTTTGTTTCTCACACCTCCTAGTAATTTCACTTGCTGCAGTATGCTCCTGTTGTTGAAATGTTGGATGAAAGTCACGAAGAAAATATGGCCGCTTAGGCAAAGATGCAGGTATTCCCTGATCTCCTTTGGCATGGTTGGAGGATGCACCGGCATGCATGCTTGTGTATATATGTTTATGCTACTACTTGTGTTTTCTTACAAATGTTACTGTTGTTCTGCTTATTTCATGGAAATGGCACCGCAAGTGTTGAACAGTATATGTAGCTAACAGCCTAACACACAATGTAGAGGTGATTGCATAATAAATAAAAGTTTTTTTTTCTCATACTTAGTAAGCATAGAAAATAAGAATTATATAATCAAGTTTGAAAACATTGCAAAAGCCATAGAAGTGAAAACCGATGCAAGATTTTAACTGACTGAGTTACATAAATCTATGAGACGATAACATTTTCCTTTGTCTTCCCTTTTTTTTTTCCTTCACACTCCTCATCTGCATGGTGAAAGCAATTAGTCTAATAACATGTATTAGATATATTAAATGGAAACACTAAGCACCATGATCAGTAGTAGCATTGATGTGGCATGTAGCTGAATTGATCATTCATCATGTGACCTCCATGCACATGGAAACCTCTCCCATCCATTGTCATCATAGTATTATCTGTCCTGCCTTCCATGAACATGTTCATTGTTTCTCTTGAAGGGTACTCATTAGAATACCCAAGCGGCATGTTCCTTAAATTCAAGGGTACCTGTTGATACTTGTGTACCGGCATTTCTTGGAATGGGTTGTGAAAGTTTTCAGATTTAGCCACAGGGTTGTTCATCTGAAAGTTATCTGCATTGACCATCATTGATTCCGCTCCGGGCAATGCTTCTTCTCTGTTTTGATTGAGAATGTGCCTTTCATCATCCGAGACATTGATGTTGCTGCTTATATACTGCATGTTCCTCCAGCTTCTGTTATCGTTATTGAACTCAGCTTGTTCAAGTTTGTTCATTTGGTGCGGGCTCATAAACAAGAGCTGGGCATGCTTGCCTGATTTTAACAACTTCTTAATGAGAATTTCAGGATCTAAGTTCCCTACAACTATCACCATTTGCTGCTCGGTGTCTATATCAACCGAGTACACACCTGAACCAAGAAGCGCAGGAAAAAAGGCATTAGGAACTCTGGAGTCGAAAAGATCTGATATCAAAGAAAGAAGTCTCTAAGCTGACAAGTTGGGCAAAATATGCAGATTTGTCTGTTCATTACATTTTCTGTTTGTTTTTCTTTTTTTGTAAATCTTCATCTTCTTATCTAGGAAGGAAAAAGAAACCCAGTTTTTGGTTTTGGCTAGAGCTAAAGGAGAAAGTCACCTTCAACTTTACTTAGCGTCTTCTTCACTTTCCGCTTGCAACCTTGGCAGCATTTGATGTTTGCCTTGAGAACATATGTCTTTGAAACAAAACCAAAGACACACACATAAAACAAAAACACATTGAAAAGCAAAACATTCATGTTTATAAGATTAAGACAATGATTTGCAGGTACCTTCAAGGGCTTGAACTCGTTCCTCAACATTTCTCTCCGCTGGGTTCAGAGATCTCTCTCTGTTGTTTCAGTATATCCTTGATTCTTCCTTGGCTTTTGCAGGAACAAGAAGCTGTTTCTTCCTCGCCTTGGCGGCTTCCAAGGAAATGTGGTTTAAGAGGATAAAACAGAACAAGCTTTTATGCATGTAGATATACATATATCCATACGTATAAGGATGGAGAGAGAGAGAGAGAGACAGACAGAGATTCTTTGAACTGAAAAATCTTGGTTTTGTCAGCTTTTTTGCAGTGTCAGTTTCAGACTGTACGGTAAAAACACTAATTTCTTGTGAGGGTCAACGGTCATGGCTCAACAAAGTATCATCAATCCCTTGTAAATTTTTGAGCTTCGAGACATAGAGATTATTATCCATTCGAACTTGCAGAAAACACAGAGTAAGAGACTTAATTTGTAGTATTGTTAATTTTGATTTTAATTTTTAAAAATTTTAAAATTTAATTTGGCATGGACCACTAAAGAGATGTGGAGAAACAAAATCAAACACTGGCAGATAGTAAGCAATGGCAAGAGGGTGTCTTGACTTTTGACTTTTTTTGACAAGAGACATAACTCTGTGTTCTAAGCTATACAACTTCACTTCAACTCAAGTCTCGAGTCTTTGTTACAGCTTCTTGCCCGGACGCTGAACTTCCAGTACCTTGTTCAAGATCTTTAGATCCGAAAACAAATCCCCAAATTTGGATGCCCAAAACTTGTATATGAAATGGGATCGGATTTGTTTATAACGAAAATCCGGTTTCAGATTCGGATAACATGATCCGAAACTTGTGTTATCCGTGAGAAATCAACCTTTTCTTTGCCCTAAATTGCATGTAAATTTAGGGTTATCGAAATTTTGGCCTCGTAACCAAAAATCTTAGATACTCGACCTTAACCGACTCGCGCATATTTTGAAAAAAGTTTGAAATTTTTACATTTAAATCTTTGATAAACGCCCAAAAATGATCTCAGAAACCCGATCATATCTCGGAAGATTCGAAATGTTCGGATTTGGATTCATGACTATGAGTATATGAAAGATATAGATAGATATCAATGATCATATGCGCCGCTGGAGCACACTGGTTGAATTCCGGCGGCGGAAATATTTTTCCTTAACTTGGGAAAAAAATCGAAAACACAAATCAATTTGGACCATCAGATTTTTTTTCTGGGTCAGAAAATTCGCAGGGCGAACCTCTCGAATTTTAATTGGGCCTAGTGATAAATCAAAAGACGAATTAAAATAGGATTTTTCAAATATTCCGCTGTAGCACACTGGTTAAATTTCTGCTGAGAAATTCCGGGTTCGACCCCCGGCAGCGGAACGCATTTTTTTCCTTAATATCGCACAAATTGTAAATTAACCGAAAAAAAATATCAATGTCTGCCATTTTTAGAATTTTTTTTGGTCTTAAAATACAAAGAAGGATCTGAGTTTCCTTGCAATAATAACCCGTCATAACATTTATATTTTTATATATAAAGAAACATTTTCACTATGCTATCATTCATGGTGGAGTGGCTGGATTTAAAAAAAAAAAACACAGAATCTAAGAACTGGCTTCTCCATGTTCTTCAGAACTCCATATACAAACCTCCAAGCTGATCTCACCAGAATCTCCGATGAACCTTAGCGGGACGAGAAGGAAATCCAACGGTGGAAACCCTTCGACCCTTCCCGGAAAATTCTCGGCCGTAGATTTCAGCCGAAGAGAGCTATACCCTCTTCCTCTAACCGTCAAATCATACACAAACCTCTCCTCGAACAAACGAGGCTCGACCCGAGTTAACATCACTGCAAACCCGAGTGATTCAACGGTCTTGTTGAGAACGAAGAGTTTACCGTCTTCTTCTGCTTGGAGAACAAGAAACCGATCTGTCGGGGACAAGGAGATGGATAGAGGACTGTTGTACTGAAACCTTCTGCCTGAGTCCCAGTGTTTGGAGCTGAAATGGAGAGACAAATGTTCTGATGAGCCGATGAAGGAACATTCCGGAAGAGGGCAGGCGCATCGCTTGCTGGTTTGAGCAGAACCCGAAAATCTATCAATCACCTTGGAAGTTTCTTTTGGCTACATCAAGAAAATGGTGGTGTTGATGAAATTTGAGTATGAAACAGCAAACTTTTACAGTCAAATATGATCTCACAGTTTCAGAAAGCTAAATGGACTGAATGAGAAACAGAAGCATGTAGAGAAATGGCTTCTGGGTTTGATTATAGTCAGTGAAAGAACCAGACTTTGAGCTCACAATTATCGAAACCCATTATGCGGAAAAACTTTTATGTTTTTGCAACGAAGATTAAATGGTTCTAAGCATCTAAAGCTGAAGGTGAGATTTAGATATTAGATAGCAAGTTTCACTAGATGAAGCTATTCTTTGTCAATCAAGGGACGAGATGCAGAATAAAAACTAGAGATGCAGAGATCATTTGGGTTTTTAAGGAAAAATCAAGAAATATGTCGGAAAAGGCAAGGGGACAGCATCTTTTACCTCACGGACACCTGAATCAATCGGAGAAACATCCTCAAACTCTTGCACACTTCTATCAGCCGACAAGTCATCTCGATGCTTGGGGTTTTCATGCAGTGGCAGGTTAACGTATTGCTCTTTGCAAACAACCTATGAATGGAAGGTCGTTTTTTTTTTTTATCTTCAATGGAAATTTTCCAAATGTAGTTACAACAGTTGCAGAACAAACATGGTGAGTGTCTAATAACGTGACAAAAAATGATCCATCTGATTGATGACTTACATAGCCAAAGCCATAACCACCAAGCTGCTTCTCTCGCTTCTCTCTTTGATTGATTTCATCCTCTCCCCAAAAGGATAAGCATGGAATGGTCGTCGGGCATGGAGCTTTGGTTCCATCGACAGAAACATTCTCGTAGTAGAAAAGCTTAGATGTACCCATGAAAACAAACACAGTGAGATATTTTACTCGCTGTGAAAAAAAAAAATAAGAGAAAAAAGAGCAAATATCCCAGAGGGAGGATGAACCTGGAGAAAGAGAAGACAACCACCAACAGCATGTTGCTTGCGCTGTTGAAACCGAGAGACCTCACGTACAAGTCGATCAAGCAAGAATTTTCCCCAGTTGAATTGGTGAATCACATCTATATTGGTCAAGAAATGAAGAAATGAAGGGCTAACATCTAGTCTGGCAGTTGGAGAAATGAGTGTTCCCAATGCATACAGAATGAAAGATCTCTTGAAATCTTCTCCAGCCTCGGGAATCAACAACTTTTCCTCGAGATTGTGAACTGAAATCCCATGGTTAGTGGCATTGTAACTCAAACGCAAGTCCGAGATTACATCACCGGGTCCCGAGTTAATGACTTCCTTCCCATCGGAGGCTAAACCCATCACATGTTCCACATCTTTTGGGTGCAGAGGAATACAATGGCCACAAATTTTCAAGCAACATTTTCTAGTGTCGAATCTTTCCAGCAGCCAAAGGCACAAACTTCGGCGAAGGGTCCGGCATCTAAGGTCGAGGAGGCCACCAAATCCCATGTTTTTCACGGCCTCCTTTTGTTCAGAAGTCAGACGCTGTATCACATTGAGCAAGCGTCCTGGCGAGCACCTTGTTACAAGTTTAGTCTGCTTTCACGAGCCATGAAAGACCTTCTCACTCGCCGGTGAAACTTGAATATTCCATAATCTAGTTTCTTAATCTTAAAATTATAATATCAATAATTCGTTTATGACCAGAAGTTATGTACCTGTTTCTTTGGCTTTGGCGGCTGAGAAGGAGCTGCAGTTAAGTAAGTATTCCATACTTCACGAGCTTGCTGAGTATATTTTGATTTCTCTTCAAGACTCATTGATTTCCAAGCATCCGATGCTGCTTTTGTAGCCTGAGAAAAAAACCTAACCACATCTGAAAAATTCCTCTGGAAAATGACGTGTTTGTTCTCTTTCGAGGGTTCTTGAAGGAACTCACAGCCTTTAGACCCGACGACAGTTCCTTCTACGGAAGGGTACTTCCGAGAAATAGCATTCACATTGGACACACTTCCTACACGCTTCACTGGCTGTCTAAAGCTCCCGAAGATGTCGGCGATAGAAATTCTCCGGCTTGGAACAAAGACAGCATACAATGTACCAGTTTGGTAGGAGAAGCGAGCAATGCTTATAGGGTGCAATTCAAGAGAGATATGGCAGATTTTATTGAAGCGAGAGCCGAGGAACTTGTCCCCGGAGGATTGATGATCATCTCGGGACAGTGTTTGCCTGACGATGTATCGATGGTTTCGACGTGGAAGGGTGTTGTCATTGACATGATAGGAGACTGTCTTTTCGACATGGCGAAATCGGTAAGAAATCTTTGAAACTCCAACTTTAATGGTTCTTGATTTCCATAAAAAAGCAATCAAGATTCTTGAATGCTATGGAATTCAAGATAAATACGAAAATGGGTTTAACTAATTCGTGTTTTTTTATTATGCAACCTGTATATGTAGGGAGTAACACGAGAAGAAATGGTCGAATCGTTCAACTTGCCGATATATTTTCCGAATACAAGTGAATCGGAATCCTCGGCGTCCAGTAACAAGAGCTGACTTATGATCAAATCGGAATCATTCATGTCATGCCCTCATCAGAATCATCACAGCTAAACTGATTTCCTAAAAGAGAATCTCAAAGGAAATAATAGCTTTACCTGAAGAAAACCCAAGAGCATGAAGGTCGGGGAACTGCATCTTGCTTCTTTCTTTTCTTCCTTTTCCTTTTCTCTTCCAACATATGTTGGTCTTCTAGTCTTCCTCCTCCCGACATCGATGCATCTCCTTCACTTGGTACCTAAAGATTAACATTTGAGATGTATAAACACATGAAATGGGATGTGATTTTTTATTCCATGAATGGAAAAACTGCTTAGATTGCGAGTTCGATGAGATGCACCTAAAGGAACTGTTACTGTCCTCTATTAGCTCAATCATCATCTTTCTAAACATGAATTTCAACAGAAAAATAAATTAAAGATTGATTTAACAACTATTCCACATAAGGCATATACTAATAAGCTTAAATAATCGAACTTAGTCCACCATGAACACTAGATTCATTCCCGAAAACACAAGAAATGCTTAGAGAAATGGCAAAAGACACCAAGCAACACCATAAACTAGATAAATGGAAAGAATCATTCTTGTGGTTTCAAAACAAGAAAAGATACGGGAAATTAACGTGACGACGTCATTGCTCTTCACTCTGATACACTTCCCAAGAGGACTTTCAACACAGTTCTCAGCAAATTCATCAATCCATCTTCAAGTTAAATAGATAGGAGCAAGTAATATAACCGCAACATTGATCTAAAGGTTCGGCCTTTCTCCACGGTATCCTACACCCAACAGCAAAAGCTTGCCTTTTCACCAGAAATATTAATTACATGAAATTTCTACATCAGCTCATCAGCACAGCTTTATTTTTAGTCACCGCCAGAAATTGGAATAAGGGCTTGTTAATAACAGGTTACAGGTTTCTCAATTGTTTCACAGAACCCAGACGGAGAACCGCGAAACAAAAAAATTCAACAGAGCAAAAGATTCTTGTGAGATAAAGAACCGAATTTGGGATCACAATGTTGCCTCTACAACACCAAAACCGAGCTTGTATTACACCAAGAGAAAGCACAAAGGATAATTTTTAATGAAGTGAAAAAGGAGAAATAGGGTTTGATATTTCACCATTGACGGAGTTTGAGCCCTCCAATACAAGCAGCAGCTGAAAGGGAGAAGACATGGAAAATAGAAATGTGGTGGGAGACTAGTTAGGGCTAAAAATGGTCGTGGCTGGAAATTTTGAGTCTCTGACGAGGAAGACGACACGGTGGTCAAATGCCAATAAGAATACAATGATTCAAAATGAAAGAGTCCGCTGTAGCAGGCTGGCTTAAATCGGCGATTTGAAATTTCCGGGTTCGATCCCGGGAGAAAAAAATGTTTTTTCTTAAATTACGAAAATTGACAATTACCCAAAAATTCATCAATTTCGACCGTCGTTATATTTTTTTGTCCGTATTGGGCTAATATGGGCCTGTATAGGTTTTCATTCGCCTACGGTTACGCCTCGGAAACACGAGCCCTAGAATTTGGGGATTTCTGTTTGAACTCCAATTTCGAAGATTTTGTTTTCCCTTTTTTTTTTTGGAAATTCCAGAGATGGAGAGTGGCAACGTCAATGGAGAGCCGAGCACTGCTCCGGAGCCTAATAGATGGTATGATATCAAACTGGGACCTTCGTTCAAAGACACTCATTCTTATTCTCCCAGATTCTGCACCTTACGATGTAAGTTGTAATTTCGCGATTTTCCTTTGCCGGAAACGATTTGGTTTATGGGTTCTGTTTGTTTCCTGAGAAAGTGCGAGAAAATTCGAAACTTTTGACACTTATATGTACTTTTAGTCGTTTGGGGATTCTCTTGGATAACGAATTACGTGGAAAGGTACGAACTTGTGTTCGAACATTGCTTTTCTTGCTTACTAGTGTCATAATCCGAGTGAGAATTTCAAAGAAAATGAGAGAATTTTAAAAATCACATTCTGATGCTATGGATCACCAAAATGGGATGTTTTGATTTCCCATGCTAAGTTAGTAATGAAACGATTTTTAGCTCTGTATGCTCATAAATTTCTGCTTCCTAATGAATTTCAGATGAATTTAAACCGGCGTCAATTGATAATACCCAACCAGGATCATTGCACAAGAGCAAGGAAAATCGGGTCTCCGTCGAGTTTCAGAACAATCAACGTGGAAAACCCAAAGTCAGCTTTGAGGGTGTTAGTGAGGATTATAAGGATAAAGAAAAAGATGCTATCCTGTTTTTCGATGGTGAAACTTTTCGGCTTGAGAGACTGAACCGGGCTGTTAAGCGGTTAAGATATGTGCGTGTTCCTGGTGAATCTGTTCCTGCTCCAAATCCGACCACCGTGTTTGGTCTGACGGAAGAACCTCATCCACAATCTACTAGTAAATTAACCATGGTTGACCTTCCTGTTACTGACACAGTTCAAGCTGTAAGTCTTTCTCCTGGATTCATGTATAACATTTTCTGTCTCTTGGAGTCTATGCTGAGAATCCTTTTTCCACTGTTGGATCGTTGCATGATGCTAGATTTTGACATGTATAATGATCTTCTTCATTATGTAATGTCAAGGTTTTTTTTTTGTGTTTTGTTCGATGATGCAGGTTAAGGTGGCAGAAATTGACATCAGCAATCCTGTTAGTTTCGGTATGAGGAAGTTTACTGAGTTTTCTTCCTTTTGGTATCTTAGTTTTGTACGTGGGACTTTGCTCTGTCAAATTACCAGAAGTTGCATGATGCATGCACTTGCATGTACATGTGCATGCGTATATCTGATTCTATGTATCCATGTTTTGGAGGTAGGAAGTTATATATTTTCCTTGTTTGTTGCCACAGAACACAAAAACGAGGACGGACCATATTCCTCTGGTGCTAATCCTCCAGTCACAGCACAAGACGCTAGCGCCTATGAATCGGAGGAGGATGTCAACATTGATGATGATGAGGACAACGATGATGGGCAAAGAACAACGGAAATGGAAACTACCCCTTGCAAGGAATTCCGGAAAGGGGGACTCGACATAGACATAAACCTTCCACATCCAGCTGAAATGGAGGATGAAGAGATTATTGCAGATGTGGACATCAACGATGATGAATCCTACAAGGGTCTAAACGCAGCGGAAGCACTGAGAGCTCAATTGAATGCAGAGGCAAGAGAGGAAAGACAGAGTTCAAGTTCGAGCAGTGAAGGAAAAAGCGAAAGCACTGAAAGCAAAAGTGAGAGCAGTGGCTGTGGTAGCGGAAGTAGTAGCAGTGAGAGCAGCAGCAGCAACAGCAGCAGCAGTGAAAGCAGTTCTCCTAATGAAACTGGTAGCTGTGCTAGCCTCTAGATACAAAATTGTATGACAAATATATGTATGTATATGTACATGTATGTAGCTCCTTGTGTTTATGTCTGTATGTAAAATCTTAGTTCAATCCAGATTAGGAATGTGGTAGACCTGTGTCTTAGCTTTTAGTTTTAGGGGTTAATTCTCATGTAAATTCTTCCATGTTTGTAACACTACGCACTATAGATGTCAGAAGCCTGATTTTCTATGATAATCTGACTTTTGAAGAACAAAATGAAATTTTCTGGTGCACATATGATCTAAAAGCTTGAATCTTTGAACGATACAAATGAACAGAACTCTTCTTGAGCAGACTTTAAGGTTGTAATGGAGCATTCTTCCTTAGAATTTTTTCTGAAATCTATCTGAGAAACATCACAAACATAGAAAATGCCAATTGTATCAGAATGGCTAACTCTAACAGAAGAATCATAAAGCAGCAAAGGCAGAAATTCTTATACAAGAGGAGGTGTTTTGTGTCACTTAGTTATCTTCTTCCGTCCCTCCTTTGTTGCCATTACCATTCTGTAAGGTGGTCTGTTCAGACGGCAAATTCTTCAAGGATCTCTTGGTTCCTTCGACTTTCCAGAGATCCCAAACCTTTGTTTTAGGCGGAGGAGTGGTTTCACCAACAGGTGCAACAAGTCCCGGTTTGCCATCATCGATGACTCCATCCACCAACCCGTATTCCTTCGCCTCCCACGGATTCAAGAAATAATCACGATCTGTGTCTGCTTCGATCTGGAAAAAGGGCCAAAATTTAAGGATGTCCTATCTTAGCAATGTCGGTTTGGGGATATCGAATCCGGGGTAGAGGAGAAAAAACGAGTATGAACAGTAATGGATGAGGGTTTGATGTTTTCAAACCTGTGATTCAGGCTTCCCAGTGATCCTTGAGAAGATTTTGTTCAGCTTAATCTTGTGATACATCATTTCTCTTATCCGTATGCTCATCTCCGTTGCCTGAAAACAGTACAACCAAGATCAACGAAGACAAGATAATGAAAAAAACCCGAACAATGATTGCTGAAGGAATTCATTGAAATTACGGTCTAACCGTGTTGCTATCCCCAATGCAGGCATGATACGAGTTATGGGTTGATTTAGAAACACGAAAACAAGATCAAAGATGAAGGGGAGGGATACAACTGGAATCATGGAAATGTGTCCTTTCAGAGATGCAATTGAAGCAAATGATATAAAGGAAATAAATTTACGTACTGAGCCTCCGCCTGTTCCAAGGGGTTGATGGATCATAACTTTTGAATTAGGCATGCAGAATCTCTTCCCTTTCGAACCAGACGCAAGCAGGAAGGCACCCATAGATGCTGCTAGACCCAAGCAAACAGTCGATACATCGGCCTTGCATTGTTTCATCGCATCATAGATTCCCATACCTAGAGAATTAGAATGACGAAGAAAAATTTCAGAAGCCAAGTTACGTGCCTCGAGAGGAGAATTCTCTACAATAACAATGATAAGAAACGGGCAGGATGTGAGGAAACTATACGTAAATGACGAGATAAGTGTACCGGCTGTAATAGATCCACCGGGAGAATTGATAAACAGCTTGATGTCTTTTTCGGAATCCTCGGCGTCCAGTAACAAGAGCTGACTTATGATCAAATCTGCTGTCATATCATCAACCTGGAAAATACCAATTTAAAAAGCGAAATTAAGAATGCCGAATGCTGAAGAGCAAGAATGATTGAATGTTACAATGTCTCAGGGACTATTGCAGAAAAAAACGGAACTTTAAGCCTAAATACTCATCATAATGATTCTGATTCACACTAAATCAAGTCACACTCACAAAAGTTGGTTCTTTTTTACGGAAAAATCATCAAAACAAATCGAATTTGTTCTATCAACAATGCATACAACAGATGATAGCCAATAATTGGTAGAAACCAAAAATCTAAGTTTCAAATAAACAAATTATCATTTCTTGAACACGAATCTCTTCAAACCTAAGGATCAAAGAAGAATACAACTCAGAAAGCCGAAACTTTCACAGAAGTAATAATCATAACCGCTTCAAAACCTCTAAAAAAATGTATATATGTATATACATCAATCCGATTTCGTCCAGCCGACGACTCCACAAACGGACCCAAAATAAAAATCTAAACTTTCGACCAAAATCATAATTCAAGACAGCAAAAACAACGGAATTCCAGAGCAAACCTGTGAACCCAAGAAGACGATTCTCTGACGGAGAAGCATGTTGGTGGTGTCGAGCTCTTTGAAACTGGGAAGCCGAGAAGGCGAAGGAGTAACAGCTCCGAGGGAGAAACCGGAGACATCCCAGTTACTGGATAGGGTTTGTCTGGTTCCAGACAAGCTTCCCGACGACTTAACGCAAAAGGGTTTCGTCGTTCTTCTCGTGGTGGTTCCATGGCGTCGATTCGGTGGCGATATTTGTTCTCTTGAACGAATTGGGTTGCAAATGAATACAGGGTTCGAGGATGAAGACGTGATATGTAGATTCATCTCCATTTCGTATGATTCTCGATTTTCTTGTTCGTTTTTGTTCTCAGTATATTGAAGACTGGAGAGACGAGGTTAAAACGCTGTCGCATCAATTACGTGAAGAAAAAAAAAATTATAGGTTACTGGAAAAGGCTCGCATCTTATTGAGCCTTAGGGCCTGCCGATAAAGGAGAAATAACCCATTGGGCCTAAGATCCAATTTCAAATGAGGCCCATACATTTTCTTTTTCTTTTTAAATTTCCTTTCGAAAAGCTTACATATATCAGCATTAAATTTTCATTATAAATTAACAATTGAAGAGGAAATTGAAGGTTCTAGTCTTATAAAAACTATATCTGATATTTTGATATTCGTCACCAGACTCCCCACCCCGTAACCTACAAATTGTGTAGGGGCCTAAAAGACATGAAATATATAAATTAAATATGTAAAAAAATGATAAAAAGCTGAAAGAAATAAATGAATTAAAAGGTGCATGTATGTCACGTGTCATTGTATCGCCAAAGGATTCATTTATAAATCTTGGACCAAAGGGTTGACAGGGTAAAAAAAATGGCCACGTTGCCACTATCATATCCCATGTCCGGAGGTGACGGCCCACACAGTTATGTTCGCAATTCTTCCTACCAAGTAATCTCGCAAAACTGAATCCATTTCGTATCCAATAGATCGTTTTCATATGAATCTACATATATATATACGTATAATATATATATATATATATATGCATGTAATCTGTATTTTTTTTTATGTGATGAAGAAAGCAGCAATAGACAGTGTTAAGGAAAAGACCAAAGAAGCAATCTCAAAGATATTAGATTTCCATAACCAACCTTTCAAAGGCGAAGTCTTTAGAGTTGCGGATTTCGGTTGTTCCTTTGGACAAAATACGTTTGATGTGGTCGGAAACATCATCCAAACCGTCGAACTCAAACACAAACAAGAAAAGACCGAAGAGGAGAAGATCAAGAACCCTAAAAAGGAACTCGAGTTCCACGTTTTCTTCAACGATCAACCCAACAACGATTTCAACACTCTCTTCAAAACCCTACCTCTCTTGTTATCTACCCGCAGGTGCTTTGCCTATGGAGTTCCGAGTTCCTTCTACGGAAGGGTACTTCCGAGAAATAGCATTCACATTGGACACACTTCCTACACGCTTCACTGGCTGTCTAAAGCTCCCGAAGATGTCGGCGATAGAAATTCTCCGGCTTGGAACAAAGACAGCATACAATGTACCAGTTTGGTAGGAGAAGCGAGCAATGCTTATAGGGTGCAATTCAAGAGAGATATGGCAGATTTTATTGAAGCGAGAGCCGAGGAACTTGTCCCCGGAGGATTGATGATCATCTCGGGACAGTGTTTGCCTGACGATGTATCGATGGTTTCGACGTGGAAGGGTGTTGTCATTGACATGATAGGAGACTGTCTTTTCGACATGGCGAAATCGGTAAGAAATCTTTGAAACTCCAACTTTAATGGTTCTTGATTTCCATAAAAAAGCAATCAAGATTCTTGAATGCTATGGAATTCAAGATAAATACGAAAATGGGTTTAACTAATTCGTGTTTTTTTATTATGCAACCTGTATATGTAGGGAGTAACACGAGAAGAAATGGTCGAATCGTTCAACTTGCCGATATATTTTCCGAATACAAGTGAATTGGAAGAAGTGATCGAGCAAAATGGATGTTTTAGGATTGAGATCATGGAGGAAGTAAAGCATCCTATGGAGGATGAGACATTGAGCAATGACTTCATCGTTTCTAAGTTTCGAGCCATCTTCCATGGAGTTATCGAGGAACATTTCGGAGGTGGTCTGATCGATGAGTTGTTCGGTCGATTTGCTAAGAAACTCACATCATACCCTGTTGATTTTAAGAAATGCCGTAAGGATATGCAATATTTTATTGTGCTCAAGCGATATGTATTTTAATATATTGGCGAAGAAACTTTTGTATCATCAACCCTATCAATTATCCATTTGTCAAAATAAATATTTTTAAGGGAGAGAGGAAAGAAATTTCCGATATTATTGTGTTTTATTTTAGATAATAAACTATAAAATTAAATAATTTTACGTATAGCAAAGATGATTTTCGGTTCTTCAATCAAATTTATGCTTACGGCTAACGGAGCAGGGGAGAGAAAAAAAAACAAGAAGAAGAAGAGAAGGTGAAACCTTTCTGTTTCTTTTTCTTTTCTTGCGGAGATTCCAGATTCTGTCCTCGCATCTTCTGATCGCATTTCCGGGACTTGTCCGAGCAGATTAGTCCAGTGCCGGATTTGTCACGATGAAGAAGAAAAGTCGAATATGGAGCCGCCTTGTTCTTGTTCCGGGACCTTGAAGGTCCGGTTTTATTACACCGATACCGATGAACCAGGCCCAGGCCCGGTTTACCAGTTTTCTACTTCGAAATATCACAACATATAGATTCTTTACAAACTCTGTTTCAATGTTTCCCGTGACTGGTTTCTGCAGTTTGCTCATCGGAAATGTGTCGAGAGATGGTGTAACGAAAAGGGCCATGGCCCATACCGTCTGCGAAATTTGCTGTCAGGTCTGCACCACAAAGCCACTGGCTTTCTTATCTGTTTCTATGTCGGAAAATCCCCTGAAATCAGTCTCTTCTTCACAGTCTCTTGTTTCATGAACTGCAGCCATTCAAACCCGACTACACCGCTCCTCGGCATCCCTTCTTTCATTACGCAGGAATCTACACGAATTTCGGGTACATTTCCAATGTCGAATATTCTTCTTCTTCTTGAGCTTGTGCGATATAGACTGGGCCTTTGGAGAGCTTTCGCGGGGGACTGGACATGCGTAATTATAATTCCGTACATTGGTCTGGAAGTGATCACGAATTTCTAGGTCCCGACCATCATGAAATCTTCTTGGTTCATAGCCCTCAAAGCGTTTTTTCCTGCCGCGTAATTGCGCTACTCGTAAGCTGCTTCTTATCTAATCTCCGGAACACACTTCATGCTCTGAACTCTGTTTTTCCAGATTGTAACATTTCCTTCCCACGCCAATGTCTTGTGCAGTTCATACTTCTACTGTTCTTACGTCATTCACTGCCGGTGATCCTAACAGTATCCGAAGATTTCTCACTAACCTTGTTCACTGTAAGAAACTGGCACCTAACGTACATAACTTTGTCTTCGCCTCGTGTTTTATATGAAGCCTCCTCGCACTGTTCTTTTCATCCCAGCTGCTGTTAGGGAAAACCACAGGAATCTTGATAATTGCGTATCTTGTCATTAAGGCGGTAGCGTTTCTTCTGCGCCGCATAAACCAGAGGGTAAGAATCACTAGGTTTTGCAGATATATCGGAATTCAAAACCCGTTTTGTCGTGTTATGCAAAATCCGAAACTCACTTTGTTGTCTTCAATTGTTGAAACCAGGATTTTGGATTCTCTTCTGGCTTCACCTCAGAGGAAGAACCCGAGTCGCCACATATGCCCTCTCCACGCCTTCATACTGGTCCTGTAAACTAAACACGATGAGAACTCGCCGAAAATCACAAACATAATATAAAATATATCATCAGTTGCATTAGATGTAAGTATAAGCATTAGGCAGATGCAAGCTTAAACTTAAAACGTGTACTTGAAGAACTTAGACAAAGAAGATAATTATCTAAGTGATAAATTCACAAAATCAAGTACGGTTGATCAGAACTTGAGGTGCTAAAGTAGCAGTAATAGTCTTCAATAGAAGGAACAAACTTCCAAAGGACCAAAAGCCTATGTATCTTGGAACAAAAAGGATGATATTGTTTCATACAATCCCACGAGATTAGAAATCTGAATTGGGTTTTCACTTCCGAAGAAACGCAACCGTTGCAACACGTGATCCCACTGATCCGCCGAACATGAAAGTTGGGTATGTCCGGACATGGCTGAGGTACTCAAAAGGAAGATCGAATCTGGTGGAGGCTTCAGAGTTGGAGGAGGGTGCCTCAGTGGGGTCTCGGGATAAGTTGTTTTTTCTTACGTTGAAATTCTCCACCTCTTCTATGAGCTCATCTTTCGTGTTGTTACAGGACGTGACGACCTAGCCACAGAGAAGTAAAGATGGTAATAAGGATAAACAGCTATTTTGGCGTGACTTTTGGTGCAGTTATGGATTCAAGTAGTATTATATGACTTGTAAAACACTAATTTTACAGATATTCAAGCTAAATGTTTCAAAGCAGAGAGATGTTTTACCAATATTCCGCCGGGAGCAACTAACTTGGAGACTGAATCCCAATACATGATTCTGGAACAGAAAATTTGTTTCGTTTTGGTGAATTGATGACATGGGGATATGCAATATAGAACGATTGAATTAGAAATCTAATCAACCTGGCTAAGAATAAGAACATTTTGTGACAAATACATTAGATGAAAAGGTTGGCTTTGTAGATACCTTTTTACGGGGCCATCAGGATGCAACCCAATGGCATCTAAAGTTCCTTTATCCATGACCAGCTTGAACTGGCGATCCAATTTCGTCTCGAGGATATCATCAACCTGATTTTTTTTTAATCCGAACAAGAAGTGAACCACTAGTTCCAAGCCAAAAAGTTTTAACATGTTCCATGAATCATGTCGTTGTCTATGTAACAGTCACTAATAATCTTGAAAACAATTTAATTAGTTCAGACAGAATATTTTCAGTCATTGGTAACTAGAGGTAATTTGTTCATACATACGTACATGTGTTCGAGTCGGTTCCATTCCATAGGGAGAGATAAGAAAAGAAAAACACAATGCTAATAGCATTTGAACTTCTATGGCATAACAATCTGTCATGGACCGAATGATAAACACAGAAACCATACCAAGAAACTAATGTTTGGCAGTCCATCACGTTGGGCAAGACGTTGTGCGAGTTCTATTGCTCCTTCGCTATAATCCGTCCCAGTTAAATCAGAGAATCTGAGCAAAATATAAGTAAAAAGAACAATTAACTACTAAGAGATGAAAGGAAACTAATAACTATTCGGGTTCAAGAATCTGGTGCAGATTTTGCAACAGTCAGGTTATAAATTTTCTAAGTAAAACCTTTCTATGATAAAGCAAACAGGATTGTTTGGGCTTCCACGAAACATGACTGAAGATCCCTTATAGTTGCACTGAGAACACTTTATATTTTGCTTCCAATGCACATAAGCACATAATTTAAACCTCTAAAAGCGCCTGACTCCCGGTAACGCCACATTTCTAATGTGCATAAAAATTTAAATGAAAGAAGAGAAAATGAAAATTAAGATGACTGAATTTCGCTTACCCCTGCTTGGCAAGTTCGTGAAGGAGTAGGCCATTCCCAGTACCAATGTCAAGAACATTCCAAGTAGACAAATATTCAGTCGCCTCTGTCTTGTTATCATTGTCAGAACTTGGCATGTTACGTTGAGATATGTCAAAGCATGTGTCTTTGGTCCAAGAAGCAACAATTTCCATGACATCGTCTCCAAACCTAATATCAGCAAGAGAAAACAAATCAACTTTCATAAGAAAGTAAAACTCCATGAAACAATGTCATAGAGAAGTGAGGAATCATCCCTATAAATTCCATGAACAGGGATCAACTGGGAGATCTCAAAGTTCATTTCTTTAACAAATATTCACCGTCTAAAGTAGCATAAGCTGGTAAAAATTCATCATTTTTACACCGATACACACACAAAGTGTCCTCTTCCTCTTAAACTTCGACTGTAACTTAAAACTATGTAACCAAGAACCAAATGCTCGATAACTATGATCTTGAAATCACTACCAAACTTCACCGGCATGACCATGGTCCCTGAAATTTGTCAACTCATCGGCGTATGCTGCGTCCCAGTAGCTTTGAAGACCAAGCATTGATTGTACTCCATCAGCATCTGGCTCTTCCTTGTCAGAACTGTGCACAGAACGTCATTTTCAATCAGCAACAAATCCCTAAACCCTAGATCCGCCACAATGCAGAACTCATCATAAAGATAACAAAATTCGACAGGCTTCACAATTCTCGAATTCCTCCCAACTTCGACATTTTGGACAGACAGATCGGTCTAAATTGACCATAAATTAATTCAATTGGAACATATCAATGACATTAAGCCAAACACCCAGCTTGAGTTTAGGCCGTCTAAAAGAAATCGAAATTTCAAACTTTACCCATTCATTTTCCGAGAAGGTAGAAACCGATCTCAGAGAAAAAGACACTCGATTCATTTTCCGAGTACTGGAAACTGATCTCAGAGAAAAAGACGGCGCGACAGAGGAAACCTGTAATCCGACGGAGCACGGAAGTTGCCGGAGGAGAGGGCCTCAGCGGCGTCGGCGTGTCGCTGCTCGTCGTCAAGAGTGCTCCCGTACTCGCTCTTGATCGACCACGAATCCGCCGCCACAGAGCGGTCGTCGTCGGACGTCAAACTCTCCACAGCCATCGCCGGCGGTCGGATCTGCTGGTGAGGAGTCGTATCCGATTCATCCGGTGGCAATCGGATTCCCGCCATGGGATTCAACGCTTCAAAGCTGAGGAGGAAAAGGTTCGAGTCTCTTTTGACGCAGTTTTCTGGAGAAAGGAACCAGACAAAAGTGAATAACCCCTACTTTTGCTAAGCCATATTTTATTTTTCAAAAACAATTATCCTAAAAAATTATATGAATTTGTTTTTTTAATCTAAACTCGTTTTGAGAAATAAATCGATATACAAATTTTTTTCATAAAGTATGATATATTATCTTGTAAACTTCCTTATCTGATCAGAAGGGCAACAAAGGGGGATATTTAAGAAAGTTTAGAAAAATTGTTCATGTTTCCAAATTCAGCCCATCCCCACAGGCTCACGTGGAAGGCAAAAAAAAAAAAAAAAAAAAAAAACTTTTTTATCTGATCAGAAGGGCAACAAAGGGGGATATTTAAGAAAGTTTAGAAAAATTGTTCATGTTTCCAAATTCAGCCCATCCTCACAGGCTCACGTAAAAAAAAAAAAAAAAAAAAAAAAACTTTTTAAACACCATAAGTAGTTTTTATAATTAATTATTTGAAATTTAACAAATAAACTGTCGAAACTAAAATCCAATAATATAATATTATAAAAAAAAATCCCAAATAAACACACTTATCAATTGTGCTAAAAAAGACTAAATAATTGAGATTCTTTATTGATTTAGTTTTGATTAAAGATTCACTCTTTCATGGTTTAATTTATGAACCAAGATTTTAGTCTAAATGATTATATGAAAATATTTTATTTTTTCACGGCACTCACCAACCAGCGAATCGTGAGTAAGATTAATTTAAATTCTCTTGGTTTTGGATAATTAAGGCATAATCTTTTCATGTTTGGCAAAAAATATAATCTGAAAATGCTTTTTTTTCTCTCAAGTATATAGGCCCATATACAGCCCATGTAACTGTAAAGAACGAGTTACACCGTTCAAGTACAGAGCCCAATATCGGCCCAATGTTCTTCGGTATATTATATGCTTTTTAGTTTTGATTTGGTTTGGTTCGGTTTACTAAAATGTCTCTCTTTCCCTGCGAAATTCCAAACCAACGCTTGATTAGTAACTTTAGTATGTGTTTATCGACCAATTAGAAATACAATATAACAATAGCGTTTTAGAGAAATAAAATTTGATGACGTAATTTTGTTTTTAATAATTTTCTAAAATATGTTACTTCTGCATTTACTTGTTTCTATTATATATTGGTAAATCGGAAAAGAAAGAAGTCAAAGATCAGAAAAATCAACTGGATCTGTTGTTCTTTTAAAGTTTTCATAACCCTTTATGACCGAATAGATTTTGGTGATTTTATTTTGTATCATACTTTACAGTTTTTTTTTTTAATTGCAAATCACGAAAACATAATTTTTCAAAATTTTTTTACTTTATAATTTTCGATTTAATAACGTTTACAAATTAAAATAACAGCGAACCCAGCAATAACAGAAAAAGAAAAGAAAAGAAAGTTGGCGTCTTGACTAATAAAGCAAGATTGATTATATTATATTATAATATAACTCCGCACCTGTGAATGTGCTTAGGATATGGACGAATGCAGTGGACCGGCAACTCCGGTCAAAGAAGGGCTCCATTCAATTCAAAGGTGGCTCCTGAATCTTCTGAACCTAAATTTGTTCCCAACCTCCCCCCGTTCACGTGTTTATTTCTCCCCACCTACTATTAATGTTTATAATAAACAAATATTAAGGATATATTTTAAATTGATTGAGAACAAATAAATTAATAAAAATATAAGTTTTTGGATAATTTTATAAAATTACAAGTTTTATTAAGATTCCTGGATTGTTTAGGTGTTTTCTTGTGCGTGTGTGTATATATATATAACCTCTTAGACTTTGTTTATCTACATATGTTTTATTGCAAGCAATCGTTTTTCTTTGACTGTTTTCTAAATTCCGTAGAATATCAGAAAAGAACAAAAATCTAAGAGGACAAAATTAAGGGGTGTGGAGAAAATGATGAAAAGCAAATAGGTCGTAGGGAAAAAAAATAGACATTAATTTAACGTTACAATTAATTAAAGCACGTGACGTGTCGGTCCATTCACCCTTCTTTGTTTATTCCATTCAAACATTTTATTCCTTTTTTATTGAATATTCAAAGGAAGAGAACTATATAACACGCATGGGGAAAGACTCTTGACCTTCAGACAATCGTAATACTCACATTAATCCATTCAAAGGAAAAGGAAAGAGAGAGAGAGAGAGAGAGAGAGAGAGAGATGGCTCCTTCGCACACAATGGCCGGCGGCGAGAGTGGAGACAGCTACAGCCAACACTCGACGTATCAGGTTGATTAACTCTGCCGTCTTTATTTTGCTTGCATAATATATATTTTGTTGTTGTTGTTGTTGTTCTTTCTAAGAACTTATATATATATATATATACATATACACACGCATTGGATTTCACGCAAAACATATGTATATGTTGCAGAGAGCGTTGCTTGAAGCTACGAAGGAAAAGATCGACGAAGCCATCACTACAAAACTCGATCTCTACTTCACTTCCAATAGCTTTAGCTTCAACGTAGCGGATTTTGGTTGTTCCACCGGGCCCAACACGTTTGTCGCTGTCCAAAACATAATAGATGCCGTAGGACACAAGTTTCAGGAGCAAACCCTAGAAAACCCTAAAGACGTCGAGTTCCAAGTTTTCTTCAACGACCACTCCAACAACGATTTCAACACTCTCTTCCGGACACTTCCTCCGACCAGAAGTTACTTCGCTACCGCCGTTCCAGGCTCTTTCTTCGGCCGTGTCCTTCCCAAAGACTGTCTCCACGTAGGACACTGTTCTTATTCGCTTCACTGGTTGTCCCGAGTTCCAAGAGGAATCACGGCTCGCGATTCTCCCGCGTGGAATAAGGATATCCATTGCACGGGATTCACGAAAGAGGTCGCGGATGCGTATCTTGATCAGTTCAAGGTCGATTTCGGGGGTTTTCTGAGTGCGAGAGCTCAAGAATTTGTGTCCGGAGGGTTGTTAATGCTTCTTGGGTCGTGTCTACCAGACGGTGTTAAAATGTCGGAAACGATGAAAGGGATACTCTTCGACTGCATTGGATCTTCTCTCAACGATGTAGCTAAACAGGTACTAATTACAGCAACAAAGGTTTAATACATTCTAAGTGTGTGTGTATATATATATACATACATACACATACACGTTTTTCGGTGCTAAATATCAAATGTCTGGTGATGGATCTTGGATACAGGGCCTAATCGATCAAGAAAAGCTGGACTCATTCAACATGCCGATATACGTTGCGCAAGTGGGAGAGATCAAGGATGTGATCGAGGAAAACGGGTGTTTCGAACTGGAGGCGTTCGAGAAAGTGAGCCACGCGAACGACGAGTTCCCGTTGGACGCAAAGTTCTTGGCGACGCTGCACAAAGTTACGTTCGGAGGGCTGTTCGAGTCGCAGTTCGGGAAAGACGCCGTGGAGAAGGCGATGGGATGTTTCGAGGGGAAGGTCCAAGATTCGCTCCAAGAACTGGCCAATGCCAAAGCCGGGATGCAGTTCTTCGTTCTCCTTCGGCGAAAGTGATTGCCGATCATTTGAAACAGAGGAGATTTTTTTTTTTTTTTTTTTTTTTGTACCTGTGATCTACCTGTTGGGTGAATAACTATGGAACATGATGATGTCGTACACCAATCAAAGGGATATCATTGGTGAAAAAACAAAAGTTACGTGTATGAAATGTTTGGGTGAATTACATAAGAAAAAATGTTGGGTGAATGACGGCGCTTTTTAAGAAATTGGAATATAATGTAAGCATTAAATTTATTGGGGTCCAATTGACATTTCAGAAAAACTTAGAACTAACTTGCAGATACCATTAAACAATTTTCTAGTTTTAGATAGGAATACATTCTATTTGTAGTAGTGGCGAGAGACAGTGCACACACACACACACACACACATATATATATATATTAAACGGCATTTCCTATGAGATTGTATATTTTTATATCAAATCATTTTCGAAGTGTATACCTCTAAAATGGATATAACATGTTATTCGATTGTCACTGTTTTTGACTGATTTTTTTACGTGATATACGTAATTAATTATATATATTAGACCCATGATTTTATATTACAAGTCTGTAAATTGTAACACATGTTAAAATTCCAACATAAAAAAAAAGCCCTTACAAATTCAATCGACAATTCGCTGAAGCGAGATAAAGAATTGCATATCCTTTTGGCATTCCTTAAAATCAATAGGGCATTGGGCGAGTTTCCTAGAGAATCGATCGAACAATTCATCCATCACTCCATCTCCGAAGTGTTCTTCTATGACTCCATGGAAGATGGCTCGGTACTTGGAAACGATGAAGCCGATGCTCAATGTCATCTCCTCCATAGGATGTTTTACTTCTTCCATGATCTCAACACTAAAGCATCTATTTTGTTCGATCACCCCCTTCAATTCACTAAAATATGGAAAATATATCGGTAAATTGAAGGACTCTGCCTTTTCCACGCTTGTTATTCCCTAACAAGACAAAAAATAATAATTTGTGAGCTATACGCAACTTAGACTTTTCTGTTTTTCATTTTGGACCGTTTGAAAATCAAGTATAGGATAAAGGTTCAAACTTTCACTTAGGAATTGTTGAAATTTCTAAGGCTTTACCAACTACACATCACTCTCAACGCCGAAGGATCATCACTTGATATTAAGAAAAACCCTGTTTAGAATTCGGTTATCTCGGTTTGTTTTCGGTTTTGGTATAATTTTTGGACCGATTTAGCTAGTCTAATGTCAAGATTGAGCAGAGAGAACAGTTTGAAGCGTTCTTACCGATTTGGCCATGTCGACCAAACAATCTCCGATCATGTCGGTGACTACACCTTTCCACGTCCGAATCATCGGTACATCATCGGGCAAACACTGTCCCAAGATGATCATCAAGCCACCGGGCACAAGTTCTTGTGCTCTAGCTTCAAGAAAAGCTCCAATATCTTTCTTGAACTGTTGATAGTAAGCGTCGGTCACTTCTTCCACCAAATTAGTGCATTGGATGCTGTTCTTGTTCCAAGCCGGGGAGTTTCTGTTGGAAACATCTTCGGGAGCCCTTGACAGCCAATGGAGCGTGTAAGAAGTGTGCCCGACGTGAAGGCTGTTTCTCGGGAATAGTCGGGAATAGAAAGAACCAGGAACTGCGCACGAGAAAACTCCATGGTCGTGGTAATGGTGAGGTAGGGTTTTGAAGAGGGTATTGAAATCATTGTCGGGTTGGTCATTGAAGAAAACATGAAATTCCAACTCCAAGCGTTTATGATTGTTTCCTCCTTTGGTTCCTTCTCGTTGGTGTTTGAGTTTGATGGCTTCCACAACGTTTTGGATCACATCGAACGTGTTTGGTCCGACCGAACACCCGAAATCCGCGATTTTGTAAACGTTTAGATCGGGTTTTGGATTCGGGTTTTCGAGATCGAGTTTCTCTAAAATGGCTTCTTTGATCTTTGCTTTAGCACTTTCTAAAGCTGCTTTCTGTAATAAAAGAGGCGGAGATTTGGCATATGAATACATAGCACATGCGTCTCTAATCACATATTCTAATTATAGATCAAAGTGTCATCATGAAATGCAGACCAAGATGATTTAATGTTTAATAATAAAAAAAAAATACTTACTTGGTATGAAGAATTACGAGTGTAACTATGTGGACCGTCGCCGCCGCTCATGGGATAAGATTGAGATAATGTGGGGATTCCGTTCTCCATTTCTCTCCTCCAAACTTTCTTTTGAGAATTTATTTTTTTATTTAAAGTTTGTTTTCAATTTATAGACGAATTCATTAGATAACCGGATACCGGTCATTACGGGTCAAAAGGGAATATAATGGACAAATGAAACAACAACATGTAATGGGTTCATTATTATTATTTGACCCCATTATTGCATCTTTAATTTTATATGATAATTTTCTTCGTAGTTGGTGGAGTTGGTACGTGTCGTCACGTTGACAAGTTCATTTCATCCGACGTGTGTTTTCCTCTCGAGATAAATCTTATAAATCCATAAAACTAGAGTTTATTATAATAAAATATATACATATGGTATATCTCTATAAATTTGTCTACGTATACTATAACAAAACGAAAAATTAACACATAATACTACTGTTCGATTTAGTTAACTTTTCAAAGATGTTGTAAATATCGTTTTTTATGATAATTACAATTTTTATGTTGTACGATTTTATTATCTTTCGATGGAAATACGATACTCAAAATTTTTCATTTCTGAAAACACACATAAAATTTATTTATTTAGTTATTTATTTCAGTAAATTCATAAATATTATAATTGGTTTAATTTGGTTTAAACGGAACCGAACCGGTTTGGTGTTTTGTTTACTAGATTTTTTCCCTTCATTTTCTCGATGGAATCTCTCAGTTTTCTCGCATTTTCCCGCTGGCCAAACAGAAGGGAAAAAAAAGGCCAACTCCAAGTCGCCGTTTTGGCGCCAATTCGTCTTCCCTCAAAAATCTTCGTATAAAAGCCTCGCGAAAAGTTTCGTCTCCTCATGGCGTCTGAGTCCTCCACAACCATACCGTTCGCCGGAATCTCCGGAACCCCCGCAACCTCCGGCGAAAGCCCAAGCGGCGAGAACACTGTAACCCTAACCCTAAACTCGTCGGAGCTCTTCCTCTCCGCCGTCTCATCCGTTTCTCCGCCAATTCAGACATCGAAACCGCGGTTCCCTTCTCCTTTGGTCCCTGCGTCGAAGCGGATACCCAAAACCACCTTTGTTGTCGATTTCTTCCGCTTCCCACCATCCTCCGATTCGTCCACCACCGCAGCTTTCTTCCTCTCGCACTTCCACTCCGACCACTACTCCGGTCTCTCTGCTTCTTGGTCTCAAGGAATTATATTCTGCTCCGACACGACGGCTCGGCTTGTGAGGGATGTCCTTCAAGTTCCCTCACAATTTGTCTTCGCTTTGCCTTTGCAGCAAACAGTAGTGATCGATGGATGCGATGTGATACTGATTGATGCCAACCACTGCCCCGGTGCCGTGCAGTTTTTGTTCAAGCTCAAGCTCGAGAACGGCGGTTTCGAGAGGTACGTTCATACTGGCGATTTCAGATTCTGTGAATCGATGAAATTGGACCCTTTCCTTTGTGAATTTGTTGGTTGTGATGGGATTTTCTTGGACACAACTTATTGCAACAAAAAATTCGTTTTTCCGACTCAAGAGGAGTCTGTGGATTATGTGGCTAGCGTGGTAGATAAGATTGGCGGGGAGTTTGTGGAGGGGAAGAAAAGGGTTTTGTTTCTTGTTGCCACTTATGTTGTTGGGAAAGAGAAGATTTTGGTTGAGATTGCGAGGAGATGCAAGAGGAAAATCTTCGTGGACACGAGAAAAATGTCGATTTTGCGTGTCTTGGGATTTGGAGAGATTGGGATATTTACAGAGGATGAGAATGAGAGCGATGTTCATGTTGTGGGGTGGAGTGTACTGGGTGAGACGTGGCCATACTTTCGACCAAATTTTGCGAGGATGAAAGAGATCATGAATGAGAAAGGGTATGATAAGGTCGTAGGTTTTGTACCTACTGGGTGGACTTATGAAGTGAAACGCAATAAATTTGCTGTAAGATCTAAGGATTCCATGGAGATACATCTTGTTCCATATAGTGAACACTCAAACTATGAAGAGCTTAGGGAGTATGTAAAGTTCTTGAAGCCTAAACGAGTTGTTCCTACGGTTGGAATTGATATTGAGAAGCTAGACAGCAAGCAGGTTAGTAAAATGCAGAAGCATTTTTCTGGACTGGTTGATGAAATGGCTAACAAAAAAGAGTTTTTAATGGGTTTCTATCGCGGGTCTTGCCAGAAGAATGAGAAAATAGAAATAGATGTCGGGTTAAGCTTGAACAGAAAGCATGGAAAAGATGAGAAGGCAGATATAGCCTGCGAAAATAATGTTCCATGTGGGATATCAAATGCTTTACTTTCATCTGGAGAGCCTCTATTACAGGGTTCAGTGACAGGAATCCATTCTTCAGACACTGAGAAATTGTTGATAGAACTGCGTGATTGTTTGCCTGCATGGGTCTCTGGAGAACAGATGTTGGATCTCATTAGCAGGTCAGAAAACAATGCTGTAGAAATAATTAATAGCTTTTATGAACTGGAAACAGAGCTTTATAAGCAAGCCTCTCTTTCTGCATCTAATTCGCAAGGCCAAGCCATTGTGTTTGATGACAGCGTACCCCTTTCACAGAAATGTTATGTTGACAGCACTCCACCAGAGGTTTACACGAGTCAAAAAGGCTTTGAGGTACCAAGTAATGTGGTTTTAATGAAGAGTACCATTTCTCCTGGGAAAAGGAAGAAAAACATAGGCAGCAAATTAAACAAAAAGGCCAAGAAAGATCCAAAACTGGAACCATTGGGTCCAAGGCAGTCAACCATAACTAAGTTCTTCAATAAGGTCTTGGATAATGGACCTGATTTTGTTGGTCAGCCTTCAGAGACTGAGGAATGCACAACAGTTGGAAATAAGGTCCTGAATGATGCTAGTAGAGGGTACAAAGAAACGGTAGATCAGTTTATCAATATCGTAAATGGTTCAGAATCTTTAAGAGATTATGCTGCATCCATTATTGAGAAGGCTAAGGGAGATATAAATAGGGCATTGGATATCTATTATAGCAATCCCAAGGAAATACTTGGTGATGTATGTCGGGGAGGAATGTCTAGTAATTTAATTCAGTTTATGCATGTTCCACAAGATTGTCCCTCTCACGAGGACAAAAAGGCTTCAGAGAAACCAGGACAGACAATTAAGTTATCTGAGGAGACATCACTAGAAGCAAACACGGAATCAGACTATGTATCATTGCCTCCAGAAAAATACGAACCCGTAGAGCATGGTTGGTATATTTTTATGTATAAGTTAAATAAATTTTCATATCATGTGCTTTTCGTTTCAAATTTGTAACTGAGGTATCACTAACCCTCGTACCAAATAGCCTACTGGGAGATGGGCAATCTTTAGTTCACATACTGCATTGATTCTGTGCATTCACGCCGCTGTATGGTCACTTGTGTTTTCTGATCTACCCTACATGTTGTAGCATGCTGGAGGGATGGACAGCCTGCTCCATATATCCACCTTGTCCGAACCTTTACATTAGTGGAAGGTGAAAGGGGCAAGATCAAAGCTATGTCTATGCTGTGCAACATGTTTAGAAGGTTTATTTCTGTAGAGATATCTTAAATGCCTTTTCTCTTTTCTAGTTTTCCCACCCTAGTTGAATGATTAAGCTGCAACACCACCAAATGATTGGCACTTATTGTTCTGTTATACTACATCAATCAGCTTGTTGGCCCTGTCGCCTGAAGATGTGCTGCCTGCTGTTTATCTGTGCACGAATAAGATTGCTGCAGATCATGAAAACATTGTCAGTATCTTGTATATTCTTTTTCTCGTCTTCCACAGAACTCTGGGAAGACTTTTCTCATGATGTAGCAATTACATAGGATCTCAATATTGGTGGAAGTTTGATCACATCTGCCTTGGAAGAGGCATGTGGAACAAGTCGGTCTACCATGAGGGAGATGTATAATAGCCTGGGTGATCTTGGTAAACAAAGATGCATGCTTTTATATTAACCTGTGTGACTTGGTTTTGCTATTCCTTCTGCATGACTGCTAACATATGTAATGATCAAAACCCAGGGGATGTCGCTCAGCTATGTCGTCAGACACAAAAGCTACTTATTCCTCCTCCTCCACTTCTAGTGAGAGATGTTTTTTCAACTCTGCGAAAGATAAGGTATAGGACTTCTTCATTGGCTGTTTGTTAAGTAGATGATTCTTTTCTGATACCTGATTTGTACAGCTTTTGTCAGAACTAAAGTTATTTTTGTCATTATTGGGTCAACTATGAGGATCTCATTTATCTAGCCACAGAAATTTTCTAATGTATTGGTCATTCCACCAAGCTCATCCTCCTAGTAATAGCATTCTTCAGTGCGCAAACAGGTACTGGAAGTACTAGGCAGAAGAAAAACCTCATTGTGAAGCTAATGCGCTCTTGTAGAGAGAAAGAGATTAAGTTTCTTGTTAGAACATTGGTAAGATTTAACAAAATAATTTTTCCCAGCAATCATTCCATAATGGTGATTGAGTTTCTCAAGCTATATTTCAGGTCCGTAATCTGAGAATTGGTGCCATGTTGAGAACTGTTCTGCCTGCACTGGCCCAAGCTATAATAATGAATTCTTTCCGAGTTTTACATAATGGAGAAATATCAGACAATTGTTTCAGAGAGAAAATTGAGGTTTGACTTTTAAATTTTTTTAGACTTTCAAAAATTGTCTCCCCGTCACTTAGTGGTTTGGATCTAGTAGCTCAAGGAAGAAATAATTATCTATAATCTTTTATAATGATAAGAGAAACTCAGACATGTTGCTTATCTTGTCTTGCCTCCGTTTTGAAATGTTTAGGTTCTTTCTGGTGCAGTGGTTGAGGCATACAACATACTTCCTTCTTTGGTGAGCATTTTATGTCAATTTTTCGGTTCCATTGTTACTGCTGCTACTTTTCTTGCAGTATTTCGGTGGAAATGGCTTCTTGTTAAATCTCAAACTCAAGTTATTTCAAATTTTTAAGTGTAATTTAATCGAGATTTTGTGTTGCTTTTCAATTGTTTTTACACAACTTTGAAATTCCCATCTGCTTACAACTTTTCTTCAAATCCTTGTATTTTACCCGTCATTATTGTATCCTATTGTTATGTGATCTATAATGGAGAGGATATTGTCATAGTTATGAATATTGAGGAATGATTTTTTGGATAGATTTGTTTGACGAGGGTAGTATAGCAGATGGATACGTTTTGTTTTCTTCTCCTTATAGAGTTAGTTGTCTCTTGAAATGCTGCTGATCGCAGCAAACACCTTCCAACCAAAAGAACTTTTTACTGGGATCTTTTTTTCTCTAGGGTATAGTATCCAATCGGTCAAGTCAGACATCCTTTTTTTCTTTATCTCTTTCAACCGAGGCACCGACGTGAACGTATCGTTTTTTTTACAGGATGTTGTTGTTCCTTCTCTCATGGAAAAAGGCATTGAGTTTTCATCATCAACTCTTTCAATGCTCCCAGGGATACCTATTAAACCGATGCTTGCAAAGTAAATTATACATCTTTTATAGTGGGTGATGCTATCTTTGTGCAAGGACCAGAACTGTTGATACTGTGTGCCTCTGTTTTGTGCTGTTTGTTTTTCCATGGCAGAATTTCTAACGGGGTTCAAGAATGTGTAAAGCTTTTCCAAGACAAGGCGTTTACATGTGAATACAAGTCAGTTTGTCTCAGAAACTTCTCCTGAACTAGTTAAATGTGTTAAGATTTTCCTGAATATCGAATGGAAAATGAATCACATTTCCTTTTTATTGAATTTCCGTGAATCTTCTGTGCACTCTGTTGATTTCTCATCTAACTATTAGTGGGTTGTCTGATTTTACTTCTCAGGATATGGTGTGATCATCCGAAGCATTACTAGTCTTCTTTGGCATGCTAATTACTTTTTGAATTGAACTTTCAGATATGATGGTCAGCGTGCCCAGATCCATAAGCTTCTTGATGGTACTGTGCGTATCTTCTCTCGAAATGGGGATGAAACGACCTCGAGGTTTCCTGATTTAATCGATATAATTAAACAATTTTCAAGCCCTGCTGCTGAGACATTCATGTTGGATGCTGAGGTAATGGGACTCTACTTGTAACTCCCACTGTACCTCTCTGTCACATTCCCATAATCTTCTCTAAAACCACACTTAGGAAAAACCGAGGAAGAAGCATCTGCAACTTGTAAGAAATGAGCCATGAATCTTTAATCGAGATTCAAGAAGTTTCTGGGTCATAACAGGCATATCGCTTCTCTGGTTTCAGGTGGTAGCAACTGACAGGAAGAATGGGAATAAGCTCATGTCATTCCAAGAACTATCCACCAGAGAGAGAGGGGGCAAAGATTCTTTAGTAACTCTTGACCGTATCAAGGTACTTTATATAATCTCTTGCCAGTCAGTGCTTCTATGAACTTGAGAAGTCAAAAAGACTCTACTAAATTAATCCTAGTTGCATATTAAACTTTAGTTAACTAGTAATCAACATGGGCAGCAGAAAATGAATTTGTTTTTCTGGGGGACTGACTGCTTTTTTCGGTTTAATTTATCGTTTGCTCGAGGTTCTCTCTGTACCTTGTTGCATATCGATCGAAGATACGTTATTTGTCCATTATTTTCTCATTTTATTTCTCTTTTTGCAGGTTGATATCTGCGTTTTTGTGTTTGATATCATGTTCATCAATGGAGAACAGTATGAGCCTTATACTCCGATTTTTTTTAAATTTCCCGTTCCTAACAATAAAATGGATCATCTTGTGAATTTGATTTTCCTTGGTGCGTGACGGAAATTTAGAGAAAGCTAACTAGATTCTGTAACAGGCTTTTGGCTATTCCACTCCATGAAAGACGAGAACGTAATCCCTCTTTCTTTCCTTCTCGTCTTTTTTTCAGTTGTCGCATGCATATATTTGTCTTCAGTTTCTAATTTTTGATGGCTTCGAAGTTCTAATTGGTTGTGCTTGAACTTTAAGGTCTGAAAGAGGTCTTCCCTGAGACCCGTCCGGGCTATTTAGACTATGCCAAGGAAATCACTGTAAGTTTTATAGTTCTTCCTTTATAAGAATTCGTAAAAGTGATGCCTTGTAAGTACTATGGTAACCCGTTTCGTGATTTATAAGGTGGAAGCAGAAGTCGCCTCGCTGAACAATGAAGACACTTTGGGCAGAATAAGTGCTTTTCTAGAAGAATCATTTCAGTCGTCATGTGAAGGGATCATGGTTAAATCTCTACATTCTGATTCCGGATACTTTCCCTCAAAGCGCTCTGATTCATGGCTCAAGGTTTGATGTCTGATATCATCCTTGCTTAATGACATCCAAAATGCAGAAAACTGATACCGGTATTGTGGTCGCAGGTCAAGCGAGATTATGTCGAAGGATTGAACGACACACTGGATTTAGTTCCTATCGGTGCTTGGCATGGAAATGGGAGAAAAGCAGGATGGTACTCAAAAACTTAATTCCTATACAAACCAAATGTTTGATTTGAGTTTGGAACTTGACGCATCACTGAAAAAACCCAATTAGAGACAATCCTGGTATTGTCCGAAATGCATTCTCATGATTTATCGTTGTGTAGGTATAGTCCATTCCTCATGGCGTGCTTCGACCCCGAAACAGAGGAGTTCCAGAGTGTCTGCCGTGTCATGTCTGGGTTCTCCGACGCTTTTTACATCGAGGTAACTGGTGAAACTATTCTTGTAAGGGAACGCCATTACAATGTCCTCTTCTCCATAAATGCATCTTTTTTTCCAAGGATGAAACAAAATTATCATCGGAATCTCTTTTCTGTTTTCGGAAGATGAAAGAATTCTACTCTGGGGATAAGATCCTTGCCAAAAAGCCACCTTACTACAGAACTGCAGAGACGCCCGACATGTGGTTCTCACCAGAGCTCGTGTGGGAAATCAGAGGTGCGGATTTCACAGTCTCACCCGTTCATCACGCGGCTATAGGCATCGTCCATCCATCCCGAGGCATCTCCATCAGGTTCCCGAGATTCATCCGCAAAGTTACGGATCGAAACCCAGAGGAATGCATCACATCTGCAGATATTGCAGAGATGTTCCATTCTCAGACCCGGAAAATGAACATCGCTGCTTCTCATCACTAAAATTTCCTGTCCCTGAATCTGATCATCAGGTAAAATTTCCTTTTGGTGTCCCATGGAACTTTTTGTGATCTCGTAAGCAATGTAACGTACATCTGCCATGAACTCCTGTAAATATTTTCGTGTCTATATATATATATATCTGTTGATGTATATCCCTTACATTTTACAAATCGGATGGTTTCTTCTCTTGATCATTCTTAAAAATGGAACTTTGACAAAAAAAGAAAAAAATCGATAGTTACCCTCTTCTGCCTTTTTCTGTGGGGTTTATATACTGTCCCGCCCATTTGTCTCACGACCCAGTTTCCCTAACCTTCCCCCTGAACCCTTGAGGAGTCTGTTGTTGTTTGTTTCCCGAGAAAATGGAAACCCTTGTTTTCTGGGTTGGTTTGGCTTTGGATCTCTTAGGAGTTCGATGAAGCTTCTGGAATCTAGGGTTCTATATGAAGCCAATTCGAAGGAGGCGGCGAGCTCTGGCGTTTGCTGATCACCATCACCGACGTGACTGCGTTGGGTAATCCAGCTCCGTTTCTTACGAGTGCAAAGACGGTACTCTCTCTTTCTCCCTCCGACTGTTTACCATTTGACCACGGGGTCGGATACCGTGATTTCGGAGATGATTGATTTTGGATTTAATAAGTTTAAATTTCATCCAAAAAAAAGTTTAAATTTCATATTTGCGTGTTTGTCTCTGTTTAAATTTTAATTTATTATGGGCTGTCATTCCATCGTTAATTTAAATTACACGATTGTTATTACTACTATTATTATTATTATTATATTCACGATGGCAGAATAGAATTTAATGACGGACTTCCCAAATATTTTTTGTTATCCTTGTAATTAATGTTGTCGTTTATATATATATATATATATATATATATAAGGTTTGAATTGCCGTAAACCTAACCCAACCTACCCCATAAAAAGATTTTCAATTACTGAAATATGGTCACATTAACTTAATTCGATTATTATATTACGCATTCAAATTTTGATTACATACATTAGATTATAAATTAATTATACTACCCAAGTTCATGGGGAATACAGAACAATACGGGCTTGTCTAGATGTAAAGTGTGTTTTCCAATAAAATAAAATTTAATCTGTAACACCTGGAAATTTTGCCATTTGTTCTTAACCTCAATACATAGTGTGCGGAAAATATTCCCAAAATATTAAATAAAAATGTATTCCTCGTGGTCCGTATAGAAACAGTCGTGAACTCCACCTGAGCTGTTGGGGGGGGAGAGAGAGAGGAGACAATGGAAGCTCCACTGTTAACGACGTCGAAGAGAACAGAGGAGGAAGAAGAAGAAGAAGAAGAAGAGAGGAAAAAAAGATGGGAGAAGCTGAAGAAGGTGGCTTCAATGGCGGCTCCAATGGTTGCAGTGAACATATCACAGTACCTTCTTCAGGGGACTTCGACGATGATCGTCGGCCACCGGAGTGAGCTTTCACTCGCCGGAATCTCCCTCGGTGCCTCCTTCGCTAACGTCACCGGCTTCGGTCTCCTCGTAATCTCTCTCTCTCTCTCTCTCTCTCTCTCTCTCTCTCTCTCTCTCTCTCTCTCTCTCGTTTTAGTCAAAAAGGTTACAGCTTTTTGTTTCATAACTTTGATTTCTGGGTGTTCATAAAGATAATGTTCATCTGATTGACCAAAGATTTGCATAGAAGTCTTCTTCTTCTTCTTCTTCTCCTTCTTCAATGTTTCGACACACAATCTGTTTCATTTTTTCAAGTCCTTCATTCTCTGGCATTTCATTTGTCCTGTTATTTAACAGTGTGGATTGGCTGCTGCATTGGAAACTCTATGCGGCCAAGCGTATGGAGCGAAACAGTATCATAAACTCGGATCCTATACTTGCACTTCCATCTTCGTTCTTCTCCTCGTGTGTCTCCCGGTTTCTCTCCTCTGGATTTTCGTGAAGCAGCTGCTGATATTGTTCCACCAAGACCCGGAGATATCTGAGATAGCTTCTACGTTCTGCATTTGGCTCATACCGTCTTTATTCGGTTACTCCATTCTACAATCGCTGGTTCGATACTTCCAGTCCCAAGGGTTGATCCTTCCTATGGTTTTGAGCTCTTTCACCGCTCTGTGTTTCCACTTACCGCTTTGCTGGTTTCTGGTTTACACCCTCGGGTTTGGAGTCAAGGGTGCAGCCATTTCGATCAGCGTTTCTCATTGGTTCAACGCTGTTTTTCTCTGGTTCTTCATGAAACGCTCCCGAAAATGTGAAGGAGCTCGAGTTCACATATCGGATGAAGGGTTTGCCCACGTGAAGATTTTCTTCCAGTTCGCTGTTCCTTCTGCTGTAATGATCTGGTAACATGTCACTTTTTGTGTTTCCCTTAGATGGTTCTTAACGTTTCTTAATGAACCATGTTACAAAACTTTTCTCAGTTGTTTTCTCTTACAGCGTCGAATGGCTGGCTTTCGAGGTTATCACTTTACTGTCTGGTCTTCTACCAAACGCGAAACTAGAGACTTCGGTCATTTCTGTATGGTAATGCCTCGAACACAATTATACCGATCTTATACTAACCTTTTGATCCGATGCTTAGCCTTTCAACGAACGGATCTGAGTTGTGTTCTATATGATCAACAGCCTCACAACCTCATCTCTGCACTACAACGTGGTGAATGGCATCGGTGCCGCTGCAAGGTTCGGTACCAAACCTCTTGTTCTATCTCTGTCTCACATCAATATTCGTCTCTTCCAATCTCAAACCAGCCTTTTGTTAATTTTGAGTTGCGGGTTTTGAGTTTTGCAGTACCAATGTGGCTAACGAACTAGGAGCCGGGAATCCATCGGGAGCTCGAGCTTCAGCGTTTGCTGCAGTTATGATTGGAGCAGCTGAGTCGGCAGTCATAAGCGTCGGTCTCTTCTTCTCTCGCCATGTTTGGGGCTATGCGTTCAGCAACGTGGAGGAAGTTATCCGTTATGCTTCTGAGATAACTCCGGTTCTTTGCATTTCCGTTGTCATGGATAGCTTCTTAGCCGTTCTTTCCGGTGAGCATCTTCCATATTCCCACGAACAGAACCGTGCTTAAATCTTGAGCAGTGACGCGATCTTACTGACACAAATTGGAAAACCTCGAATCTTTGTCTACATTGTCATGTTCTTGCCCATGTTCAGTGGTTTGTAAGAGGATCTTTAGGCGAAAACCCGGTCAAAATCTTGAGCATCGAAACAAGTTTTTTTAAGTAATTAGACGATCTTTCTGAGATGTTACGCATTGCTGAAAAGAAAATTTTCCGTCTTTTTCATGTTGTTGTTTCTTGATTCTTGATTCTTGTTCGTATGCGCACAGGGGTTGTAAGAGGGACAGGATGGCAGAAGATGGGGGCGTATCTGAACATCGCTTCGTATTACCTTGTCGGAATCCCGAGTGGGCTTCTCCTGTGTTTCGTTCTTCACGTCCAAGGCAAGGGACTTTGGATTGGTCTGCTCTCGGGATCCACTCTTCAGAGTCTAATCCTTTTTCTTATCATTGGATTCACCAATTGGACCAAAGAGGTATGGTATGAGTCGTATGACATGACATGGTATGGTATGGTATGGTATGATGATCATGCATGAGATCTTTGTTGCAGGCGATCAAGGCTAGGGAGAGAATATTTGAGAAGACGGTTATTAGGGCACCGTGACTCATTTGGTTGTTTGAGGAAGAAGAAAGAAACGATGATAGCTTTACAAAGCCCTATTTCTTTTTAAATTTTGAAGTAACCAAGGTGATTTTATTTTAATTTATTTTATTATTGTTGTTAAGCCACGACTAAGTTTATTATTGCACAATCGTGTACTCAAATATCAAAAAGCTGCAAGGGAAAGAAAATATTCATATAATTAGCCCGATCCAGACAAATCTTCAAGGAAGGAGAAGGATGCATCAATGGCGGCTCCAACGGTGGTCGTAAACATCTCTCAGTTCCTTTCTTCAAGCGATGATCGTCGGCCGCCGGAGCGAGCTTTCCCTCGCGAGCTCCTTCTCTAGTCTCACGGGTTTCGGTCTTACTCGTAAGAGCCTCCAATCCCTTCTCTTCCTTCGATCCAGCTGGTCAGAGTTATTGGGTCGTATCGTTGTGGCCCTAGACCCTGTTTTTTCTTCCCGACAGCCATGAATGGTCGGCGTTCGAGATTCTGATTTTGCTCTCTGGACTTGTCCCGAGTCAACTCTCGTAAGCACGAATCGTTTTTCTTCGGCAATATAAGGTATTTTCTTCATGATCATTTTGGTGTGTATATATATATATACACACACCAACATGATCCCATATCAAATTTATCAGATCCCATATCAAATTTAAAACAGAAAAATCTTTGAAGTGAAATCATATAGCTACAAACACTTGTCAAAACCACGTTTATTAAGCAGAGAGATTCGAAGAATTGTTATTTTCATTGGCTGTAACTAAAAGTACAGAAAATAAGATTCACAACTTGTATCAATTTTGTTATGATTCGACATTATACAATATACTATATTTGCTGTTAAACATCTACATACCCATACGCATTGAGTTGCGTCAATATAAAAAAAAATTAAAAAATTCTATCAGATTAATAAAAATAACTAGGTGTTAAGAGAAGGAATATGCAATTATTCAAGTTTCAAAGAGTTGAACGATGAGATTAATATAATGTAACAGTCGTTGAATATCATCATTAAGTATGAATATATATGGTTTTATTAAGATTTGTGAAATATTTATTCAGATATCCTATTATTCAATCGTCTTCATACATATAATAAAACTGAAAAAAGAATTAAATATGAATAAAAATCTATAAAAGGAGAGTTGTCCCCTTGTATAATAAGTGTAATGGGTAGAAATACAATCCTGCTATAAGAGATAGTCTAGGATTTGGTTATGAAACTTAACAAATATATTCGCTAAAATTATTTAAAATTTATGTTATACTGATAATATTCTAGAAAATTGCGATTTCGAATGTTTTTTTTAATTAAGATCTAAATATTGTTTTATTAACATATTCGTCGTGCTTCTTGCGTCTCACACTTCACATTCCAAGTGGAGCCCACAGATCCGTGATTGATCTCGTTTACCAAGAGCCTCTCTCTCTCTCTCTCTCTCTCTCTCTCTCTCTGACCCTCCAATGGCGTTTCTGTCTTCCACACAGTGAGACAGAGCAAAACTTCCATCACATACTTGAAGTTGAAGAGAGAGAAGAGCGAGCCGGCAAATAACAATATGGAGGCTCCACTGCTAGTCAAAGCCGAAGAGGAAGAGAAGAATATAAGGTGGGAGAAGCTAAAGAAGGTAGCTTCAATGGCGGCTCCAATGGTGGCTGTAAACTTGTCTCAGTATCTTCTCCAGGCCACTTCGACGATGATCGTCGGCCACCAGAGCGAAGTTTCCCTCGCCGGAATCGCTCTCGCCAGCTCCTTCGCTAACGTCACCGGATTCAGTCTCCTTGTAAGAGCTTGTTTTCTTCGTCCCTGAAATAGAAATGAACTGATAAGATTGCGTTTAGAGAAAGGTCGCAGCTTTTTGTCTTCGAAACTGAAAAGTCGTCAACTTTCTCTATTCCGACGTGTCTCGTCAATCAAAACATCCATTTCATCAGAAAAAAAAAACTCACTTTATCATCTGATTGACGAAAGATTGCATGAAAACTTGGAACCAAGAAATCGTTCTGCTCTGTTTCTGCGTCCGGCTTCTGATCTGGTCGCCTTTTGTGTGCCCTTAACAGTTTGGACTTTCGGGTGCGTTGGAAACGCTATGCGGACAAGCATTTGGAGCAAAACAGCATCAGAAACTGGGTTCCTACACTTTCACTTCCATAGTTTCTCTTCTCATTGTCTGTTTCCCAGTCTCTCTCCTTTGGATCTTCATCAAGAAGATCCTGTTATCGTTTCATCAAGACCCTCAAGTGTCAGAGATTGCTTCCGTTTATTGTCTTTGGCTTATACCTGCATTGTTCGGATACTCTGTTCTACAGTCTCTGGTTCGGTATTTGCAGTCACAAAGACTGATATTTCCTATGGTTTTGAGCTCTTTAACCGCCCTATGTATCCACATACCGGTTTGTTGGGTCTTGGTTTACTCTCTAGGGTTTGGAGCCAAAGGTGCGGCCATATCTATCAGCCTTTCGCATTGTCTTAACGCGGTTTCCCTCTGGGTTTTCGCCAAACGCTCTCGAGCTTGTGAAGAAACTCGAATCCAAATATCGAAAGAAGCCTTTGGTCACATGAAAGCTTTCTTTAAATTGGCAGTACCTTCTGCTCTGATGATCTGGTAACTCCTCCAAGTTTCCTTACCGGATTTATAATGGTAACTCCTTGATGAAATTCTCTTCCTTTTTTGTCCCCGACAGCCTCGAATGGTCGGCGTTCGAGATTCTAATCCTGCTTTCGGGGCTTCTACCGAATGCAAAACTCGAGACATCCGTGATCTCTATGATGTAATACTTCTATTACACCCTTAATCCCAACACTTGGCAGGAACGATCACTGTGTCTGTATTCACTCACCTCTAACCTTTCCGTAATCAAACAGATTTACAACCTCGTCTTTGCACTACAATTTGGCAAGTGCAGTGGGTGCTGCGGCCAGGTACGGTGGAACATCATCTCTTGTTAGTTCGTTAATCGCCATTTAACCCTTCGTGTCGGATAGAAACTATACAGGTTTCCAAAATGTGCAGTACCAATGTAGCAAACGAGCTCGGGGCTGGAAATCCCGTGGCTGCTTCCGCGTCTGCGTTTCTCGCGATTACAATCGCAGCCTCCGAGTCGAGTATCGTCAGCATTGCACTCTTCTTCTTACGCGGTGTTTGGGGCTATGCCTACAGCGATGTGGAGGAAGTGACTCGCTATGCCGCGGAGATTACTCCCATTCTCTGCGTTTCGATAGTCATGGACAGCGTTTCAGCCGCTCTAACGGGTAAAAGATCATCGATCATCGATCTAAATGAATGCGAATATGTATATATGCACTCAAGGGTTCTTCTTTCTTTAACTACGTTTGTTTCCAGGTATCATAAGAGGAGCAGGAAGGCAAGGGATTGGAGCTTACGTGAACATAGGGGCATTTTATCTGGTGGGGATTCCGGTGGCCATTCTCTTGTGTTTCGTCCTTCACTTGAACGCGAAAGGACTTTGGATCGGCATCTTCTCAGGCTGTACGCTGCAGACTGTAACCCTCCTTCTGGTTACAGCATTCACCAGTTGGTCCGAAGAGGTATTTTATTCGATCAATCAACGAGGAAACCGGTAAAAGAAGCGTTTGTGTGATATCTGTTTTGGGTTCATGGGATTTGCAGGCGATGAAGGCGAGAGAGAATCTTTGAAAGCGAAACCTCCGAGGAATGACCAATCGGCAGCCCAAAAGGTGGCAACCTGAAAGGCTTAGGCCCAATCGGAGATGGGCCCCGATATTTGAAGGGTGGCGGGCCGGGTGGCCCAAACTGAGGTGGGCCTCGTCGAGGTCCGTGACTAAAATGCGCGTAATGGGAACGCGTAAAGTTGACGGGTCTACTCACAAACGCGTAGAATAATGGACTGAAGTCAATAATAATATTAATTACGCAGACTCGCCCATATATTAATATTAGTACTAAGGTATTCAGTCACATAAACAATGACTATATTTAATGCATATTTTACGAAGGTTTTTATTTTTACATTAAAGATAGAACACATATGCAATGTAATCAGGTGTGATTGACGATGAGGACTGGACAATAGAAACCTAATAAATATAATCTCTAATTGATTTTTTTTTTGTAAGACCGCAACAAAAAATAAAATATTAATTATAATCAAAGTCGTGATTGGGATAAGGTTTTGTAGTCATCTAGATCCTAAACTAACAAAAAGAGAATTCATTTTTTCAATATATATATATATATATATATATATATATAGTTGGTAAAATTGATACTTACTCTCACGCAAATTTAAATCTCAATTATAAGCAATTTATTTTTATTCTCGTAAAATTGATACTTTAGATTTTTTTTTTTAAAAAGGAGAAATCTAAATCTTCACAGTAGCAACTAAATTCAATTATAATTTTTTTTAAAAAAAGAACTAAAACGAAAATGAGAAAGCACCGTAAATAAGTACAAAAATGTTTTCATAACTATGATGTTATTAATTTCACGAGATAAAAACTATAACATATTTTTACAGCAAAAGCAGAATGCCCTGTGAATGGGAAATGCCATACTAAATGGCATAAATTTTATTTTTGTAGACATATTTAATTATCGTCTAGTCATTATAGCAACGAAAACAAAGATCAAACCCTTTTATTTAAATTACGCAATACATCAGACTGGAGAAAATCCGTCAGTAAAGCGGTGGGTCTGAACGAGATCTTGGGCCTGGGCCAGGAGTAGGCCCAGTAGGAGGCTTCGCTTCATCAGATGGGCCTGAGTCGGGCTTCTGAGGTTTTGGACCAGGATTAGGCCCTGTCGGTGGCTTCACTTCATCGTCCGGTTTAGGGAGATCGGGTTTCGGTTTAACGTCGGGTTTTGGTTTAGGATCAGGCTTCGGTTTATTGTCGGGTTTTGGTTTAGGATCAGGGTTCGGTTTTTCTTGGTTTGGCGGTGACCATCCCGGTGGCCAATACGGCGGTGGCGGAGGAGGCGGTGGTCCATCACAACCCGGCCAAAACGGCGGCGGTGGTGGCCCGAATGGAGGAGCTCCACGTGGCCCGAACGGTGGCGGACCGGGTGGCCCGAACGGTGGCGGACCAGGTGGCCCGAACGGAGGTGGACCCCAGGACCCGAACGGCGGCGGTCCACGGCCGCCAGGAGGACCCCTGCAACCCCACGGAGGCATAATTTGCTAAAGCGGTTTGATGAATTTGAACGATGGTTTAGATGTTTGGATTTCAGATGAATTGTATTTGGGAAGTATATGTTTTTTTGTTTGTTTCCACACACTATGAAGGATATAGTGTGTGTGTATATATACATGGCGTCAAATGTGAACGCGTGAAGTAATAATTTAGGCACGACGATGAACCGTGACAAAGCGGAGAATCATATGCTGAAGGCCCACATTCACAGGTTACGATAATTGTGGAAATTTTATTTTATTTTGGAGATAACGGATATGGAAATTGGGGGGGAAAACGACACGTGAATCACATATGGGTGTTTTAAAAATAATTCTATGCAATGGAAGACAAACGAAACAATTGTGTCTGTATCGAACATTTACAATATTACGTTACAACTGTTACAAATGATACTGCTTTCTTGTCCTAAACGTGAATGGCTATATACGTTAACTAAATTAAATGTCGACGTATGATAATAACACATAAAGTAGTGATGAAAAATTGATTATGAAAACAAGGTATATGAATATTTTCTAAGCGTGGTTGTAACAAATCCTTAAATTGTTGAAATCTATTGCGTTTCAAGACCGCATATGTACCGACGGTGACTGTGGCCGACCAATGCTTACAGAACCGGATTCTGCTTAAAATATGAGTATAAATTCCACGTCAGCTTCATCATCTCATACCCTCCCCGAATATAACGTATCCCATGCTCCATTTGTCCTCTTCTTTTCGGGTCGGATAGCTTCGTTTTGATTTTGGTTGGATTTGTTTCCGTTCGGAACATTTTTTTTCAATTTTGTTTTCATTTGGATCGATTCAAATTTGATCAATTCAGTTTATTTAATTCGGACTCGATTTGTTTTGATTCATTCATTTCAATTCGGATTCTATTTGTTTGGATTCGTATCATTCGTTTTGATTTAGATCGAATCCGTTTTGATTCCAATTCAATTTGTATTAATAAAATTTTGGAACAAACCCACAAAAAACTTTCAAGTTTGCTAATTATACAAAAAAAAAACACTTCTATTTAAAATTCATCATAAAAAAACCATCAACTATTAATTTTGAACAAAAAACATTAACTATACAAATGATTTAAAAACAATATTTTACTTTAAACTTATTATAAGAAATTATCAATAATTAATTTTAATAAAAAAAATCATCAATTATTAAAATATAAAAAATATATATTAATATTTGAAAGATTGTAAATTGAGTATATTTTATTAGTTATAAATATTTTATTTAAAATTTTATTTTATATTATTATTTTAGAGATTTCAAATTATCTATTAAATTTTTTCATAGATTTATATGATAATTTTAATAAAAATAAATAAATTATTTGAAATTCTCAAAATACATTTTATTTTAACTATAGAAATCTATAATCAATTAAATATACTCAATTTTCAACCTATCAAATATTGACATAAAGTTTTAAAAAAAATATTTATAACCAATAAAATATACTGAATTTTAAATGTAAATTTTGTGTACAAATTTATCATAAATATTGATATTCATAAATATTTATATAAATTTAAAATATTAAATATATTAAATTTAAATAAATATTATGTTTTTTTTTGTGATTTTTAGGATTATATAATTTATATATGTTTTTTATTCAAATTTTATAGATTTTATAGTGAATTTAAAACCAAATATTTTTTTAGTAACGTAGATAGGTGATTTATTTTTATTAAATTAATAGTTATGATTTTTTTATAACAAATTTAAAGTAAAAGATTATTTTTAAATAATTTATATAGTTAATATTTTTTGCTCAAAATTAATATTTATGGTTCTTTATGATGAAATTTAAATAGATTTTATTTTGTATAATTAGCAACTTGAATGTTTTTTTTTTATTTGTGCCTAAAATATTTATTTAAAAAATGGTTATTTTTATATAAGTTTCTGATTCAAAATTGTTGTTTCTAAAAAAATAATAATTTATATCGAATTCTTTGGTTTTTAATTAAATTGGTTATCTTATAAATTGAAGTTGTTATCTAATTAAGATTTATCATATTAGATCACTCGTCTTAATGGATTGAACGGAGAAAATACATTTTTAATTAAAATTGCCTAAATAAATAACTCAAATAGAATTGGGTTGGGCCATTTAATATATGTGCGGGCCCAATTGGGCCATTTAACATCTCTACAGGGCCCAAATCTTCAAATGTTTTTAATTCGTGTCCCGTGATGAGTTCACGAGTGATTAGTGTAATCTATTAGCTCGTCTGTGATAATTAGCACTCAATAAAACAAATATTTTGGAAAGATTAATTCGTGTTCGCCTGTAGTAATTACTTGAACAAAGTATACATACATGCATACCTACATACACATACAGACTATGTGATATTATAATGTCGTCGATCCAAATTCAAGATCTAGGCTTGTATATACCTTACGTACACCCTCCAAAGAAGTGGGAAAGCTTACTATGCTACAAGTTCAAAACTTTTATATTTTCATATAGGTTGTATAGGTACACCGTATATTTATATTTCATATCCAATTAATAACTGCAACTCCAAAATCCAAAATGTGCGTTCCATAAAACGTTTTTTATAGCTTGTATATTTCAAGACCTAATCATATTTTGTATATCTTATCTCTAATGTGTAAAGAGACCAGCCAAATGGAATCTAGACTACTTGTTGACAGCGGATTAGTCCGAGTTAGTATTATTGTGTATCATAATATATGTATATATATATATAGGACAGATTCAAGAAAAAAACCTTATTATATGTATATATATAAACAATAAAAAGGGATAAATAACACACAAAAAAAAACCGTATATAGATATATAAGTAAAAAGGGAAAGAAGATGAGAGAAGGCAAAGGTGATGACAGAAGACTAGAGAGCACAAAGGAGAGAGATGGAAGTTGCATCTCATCATCTGTGCTCTCTATCTTCTGTCAACAACACCGTTCTCTCTTAATCACCGTTTACTTTTTGTTATTTCAAATCATGCAGTCTATGAATTGGATTAATATATAAAAGAGAAAGATACAAAATTAAAATGATTTATTTCCTTACACTTACCATGTAATATTAGGATCATATATATATGACTGTAGCTTATTGTATCATGTAGAGTTATATGTAGGGTTATATATATGAAAAGCAGAGAAGAGAAGAAAAAGGGATGCTGAAGGGGATGATGATGATGATGATGAGGCAGACTTGTTGAAGCCTTATTTATAGGCACATGGCAATGTGAATGCGAAGTATTTGTCTGCTTCTCTCTTGATTTTATTATTTATTTATTTATTTTGACAAGGATTTGGAATAATGTGCAATTAATTGGTTTCTATGGTACATCCGACTAGTAAGTTTTTTTTTTTTTATAATCCGGAAGTTCACCGTGCCTTTGGCCCAACTACATCTTCCAGAGGATCGGGACAGCCCATGTGAAAACCCCTCACAACCAGGAATCGAACCGCCAACCTCTGAGTGCTTTGCATTCACCTGCTGATCATTCGCCCACAACCTGTTGGGTATCCGACTAGTAAGTTATGCGTAAATGTACACCCAAAAAGATAAATTCTCCCAATATTTAGGCATAACATTTTTTTATTTTACATTGAATAAACGATGTAACTTCCTTTCTTCTCTTTTTGTGTATAAATATTTTAAATGTGATAACGCGATCTATTATAAATATATCGTATCAAAGTTTGAATTAATGAATAATACAAGTATGGAGCACATTTTTAGGGTTTTTGGTTTCTCTTTTTCATTTTTATTGGCCGGTTGCATCACGGATGATGTATGTAACCAATAAAAACCAAAAATGGAACAAAGAATCCATAATAAACAGTACCCATATCCTATACTTTCTTTTTCGGGAAAGCATAATCTTGTTGTCGCTCCCCCGTAGCTTCTTCATTATTCTTTTTTTTAAAATTTATTTTATTTCGATATCTCCTTTATCTTTTTAAATTTGACTGAATAATGCATACTCAATCATTTTTCTATGGTTATTTATTTGTTCGACATTGCATAATGGGGCACATGTTCCCAAACCCTAAATCTTCTATTTATGCGTTCGCATTGATCAAGATTTGTTCAGTATATTAAGGATTTAGTCTCTTATTTGATTGAAAAACAGTAATATCTCTAGATTACTTCGCATATATATATCCCATTGATAATAATTATTAAAAAAAATTAATTAGCGGAATATGGTTTTGAAGGCTCTAGTAGGGTTCCCACGTGAAATTGTTCATTCGCTTTGAAAGGGATAAGAGTAAAAAAATCTGAATAAATAAATATGTTGGGCTTGTAACGTTGATGAAGGTGTGTTCGAATCAGATTCTTCGAGAGGATCCCTTTAATTATTGTTTTTGACGAAGTTCAAAGATCTATATGTTAGTGATAATTTTCTTGAATTTTTTTAGTTTATATATGAATCAGACAGAATTCCCAAAAATGTCTACCCAAGTTTGGAGAACAATATATACACATGCAGAAATATAAGAAGAATTGGCGACCCATGCATTTCAAGTAGTCTAATTACAGGACAGTTGGTGGCCCAATATATGAGATATGATAAAGTCATCCTCAAATTCATGGTTTCAATTTCACTTGTGGGAAGAAGTGACGTGATTAATTGTATAACTAAAGATTGATTTCGGACCCAAGAGATTAAGTGGTCCGAAGACCTAGTGAATCACTGATTATAAAAAAAAATACAGGAGGAATAATAACAGCCTAATTAATTTCTGGTTAGGTCAATTATATAATTTTATTTAATTGTGTTTAGAACGGATGTTGATTTAATTGGTGTTGAGTTGTATAAATACCTAATGTTATAACAAAGAAGTTTCGAGATGGTTTCATAGTAAAACTTGTCTCTGATGAGATCTAATCTATTTGATTCATCGTTTATATTATAGGGTCTATATAATGTATATTACATTTACTCACGTTACAAAAACCAAATAATTAATGTGTTTGAGCTCCTCGAACAAGAAAGAGTAGCACCATATATATACATTCATGTTCTGTAACGTCAAGCTTTTGATTTGTCGGCTCCACATCTTGTCCTCTGTGATTGTATCGAATAGAGGATTTTTGTACATTTCTCCAAAGAAGTCTCGAGCCATCAAATTTGGAATTTTGGACCGACCTCTCCCTTCAACTTTATTCCCAATTTTGGTGGGCATATATGTCTCCTAGTGCTTTCCCCTAAAGATTTTATCATTTTTCTCCTTTATTTTTTTTTATAAAAAAAACCCTAACCACATACGTACTATATCGCCTTCTATTCCGAATTTTTTTTTTACGGTATATATATATATATATATATATATAAAATATTATTTATTTATTGCATAAAAAGAAAAGAAAAAAGCAATTCTCCCAACCGTAGAAATTCAATCTCGTAACCTTTTAGGGTAGTCATGATATGTAACGTTCGCATTTATTGAAGTCTACATTTGGCAAGCAATCACGTTGAAAATTATCACATTTGTTTGTTTTTGAAATAATGATATAATTTACTATAAAAAAAAATATCGATTTCCTTAAAAGATTTTATCTGTACTAAAATTGAATTTAGATTTAAAAAATATTATTATTTATGTATTATATATGGTATCGAAAACTAAATTTTACACTTGGTATGCTTTAGTGAGATTCTTCATAAATGTTTCATTTTATAATTTGAATAACAAAACCGAAAATTATACGCAAAATAACAGAGGCCACATTCTACTCCCAAAACAAGAAAATTATTAGATATATCGAAATCACAGAAGAAACCAGCATATCTAACAGAAAACACATAAAAAAAAACGCTTAGTTTAATATAATATCAGAAATGATGGACCGACACATACATTGTTGGTCCAATTTATTCTGCAACATATGAAATTAAGTTTTCTATAAAACTTCCTTCCATTCGAACAACATGGTTTCCGGGAACGCTTCTTCCAATTTCTCCTCCTCCCACAGCCACGGGCAAGGTCCATTGTTCACTGCAGAATCAAAACCACGTATATAACAATTCATAATTTCAAACCAAATGAACCGGTTTGGTTTGCAACCGGTTTACTCAAACCCGATTTCCGACCAAATACCCGAGACTCAGTACGGCTAACATGTCTGAGTCCCTCTTTGTAAACAAACCAGATTGAGTCCATTGATGATCCTCTAATTGCACAGAGCTAGAACAATTGGCATTCTTTACAATGGCTGCCAAATTCATCAATGCAAAGATACATCAACCTAAAACTTAGATGATACATCGAAATTTGCGAGGATTTGCTTATAGAAATCCAGGAAGGATGACAAAATGCCTTTCAGAGCCGATGCTTTAATGACAAAAAACATATCAGCATTTCAAAATCTAGCATTCCATATACCATCTTAGTACATATCCAATCTATATATACATATATATATATGTTCCATGTGCATGCAAAAGGTCTGAGGTGGTACCGGGAGGGCGAAGTTGAGATCAAGTGGCTCATGGGCAACAAAGGAATCGGCCATAACCTCGGGAGGAACCTCCGGGTTCTGGCATGAACAAGAACTCTGCTTAGCAATGGCATTCACCCGAGAAACCGTTTTGGTTTAAATCATAAATGGTTAAACCTGTTCGGTCTGGTTGAGGTTGGCCGAGACATTAATGTCCGGCAATGCAAAAACAGGTTGATGAACAGCACTCGGTCCGACTTGCACAGCATTTGGATACGTACCCTAAACAAAACACCGAAGAAATAAAAACATAAAAAGTCATCATCAAAACCAAATGAAGCATATTTAGAGTACCAGATTCAGAAGATCATAGGAGAAGAGAAAGCTACCATATGGTGGATACAGTGAGGCCGAAAAGGAAAAACATCAATCAGGAAGTCATAAATATCTGAACCCCTTAAGGCCTCAGCGATATCAGCCCGCTGGATAGTGCGGCGGTTGCATGATTCGGTATGAATCCAGGCTCGGAGAGTCATCTCCAGAATGAAGATCTCACATGCCTTTGCAAATACAGGAGCAGTATCCGCACTGATCATCTGATAATCAAAAAACGTTATCTCGGAAATTCACACAATACCGTTTTCTCTTCCACCCCTTTTAACGTTATTGCAAATCATGCCCGTCACCGCCAATATATGATTAAATTCAAGTAGAATCAATGTTTTAGCATCGCAGGTATCATACATTACGCGAATTCATAACCTCAGAACTCGGGATAATGGGACTCGAAGAACGATTCGGCCATATTTTCATACCTTGACATCAGGATCGGATTTCATAATCTTTTTTACCCTAGCCAGTGGCAAAGGATTTGGACCCTTGAACCCTGCAAACAAAATGAAATTAATAATTATCAATATTGACAAACACGGGGATATTAATCTCAATAATTCTTATTCGGATTGCTCTAAACAGCTCTGAAACCAGTTACCTGTGAAATTATTCATCTCATCCAGCTGCTGATGCCAAAAGAGCTTCAGGTTTTGCACCATCCTCTGCGTTAATTCCTCGTCAATCTATTCAATCGAAAAATCATTATACGTTTAGACAATCAACACATCCTACATGTTTACGAGGAAACACGCACAGCAGAAAGAATTCAAGCGTACAAAGAGACAAGAACTTAATTAATCAACTCACCTCTCCGGTAGCTGAATAATATGGAAACACAGGGTCAGGCATAGGCATTGTGGTATATATCCCATGGAGAGGATGTTGAAACCACATATGAGATGATTTCGCCGATGCATTCAAATCTGTCGTCGGATCAATAAGAACAGACCTTTCCATGCTTTTCGATTCTTGATAAGCAAATGAAAATGCGTCGGTAAGGTAGAGGGGTGAAGAGAATACAGAGACGAGTAGGTCTATATATACAGAGAGATTCGACAAGAGAGCAATAATTGTCGCCTAAAATATGAACTAATGATCATTAAAACCAGAGTAAATTCACTATCTAGATTAGGAAAGGGAATCCACAAAAAAAAAGGAATGCGACAAATGTGATATATGCGAAAGCTATAGCTCGTGATGCTCGTGAGTCCTCCACGTGGAAGAAACAGTCACGAGCGCGTGAAATTCACGCGCTTCAATTTCACGCGCTTCAGTTGGCCAACAAGACAACAAAAAGAAATAGCTATGATCTCTAGTGCACCTGAATCACATACACATCGTCTAAACTCTACAGATGATATGATCTCTAGTGTTGGTAAGAAAACATGGGACTCAGGAAGAACAGAGTTACAAACCGAGAGAATCCAAGGAAATGTAATAATTCTTTGGATTCTGAATTAGAGTAGCAAAATCCTCATAAATTTCTGGTGCGTGTTTACCATACATTTCAATTTATAGTTATATATTATCTAATAATTTCTCATATCTCATCGTACAAGGACCATTTTAATCGGAGGCAAAGGCAAAACATTAGCTCAGCCCCCTTTTAAAGCAAAACTCTTCCCCGAGTTATGTAATACATATCTAGATAGCGAATTTACTCAAGTATGAATGCTTATTAGTTCATTTCTTAAATGATAGTTATTGTTCATTCGAATGCTCTTTTCAACCTCTACCTTATCCTTTTCATTTACTCGTCAAGAATTGACGAGCATGAAAAGGTTTATTCTTATTGATCCAACGTCACATTTGAATGCATCGGCCAAATCATCCTGTGTGTGGTTGAATCCTTTCCATGGGATATATAACAGAGTGCAAATGCCTGGATAACATATCAAAGTCTCGCATCTGGATGCATTGTCCGGAAAAGGATGCACTGTCTTGCAAAGTCTCGCATCTGGATGCATTGTCCGGCAAAGGATGCACTGTCTTGCAAAGTCTCGCACCTGGATGCATAACAGAGAGCATATTGTGTTAGATGCTGCCAAAAGAGGAAAAAAAAATATAGCATTTCACAATTATAGCAGCAAAAATCCTCACAAACATCTTATGGCTGTTCAATTGATAGACAGAGCATATCAAGTTAGATGCAAAGATCTGCAACGCATCCTCGCACAAAGAAACATTCTCATCTTACACCACGGCAAAACATAAGTCATCTCAAACAGGAAGCGGTTTTCTGAAGTCAGGGATGGCCAATCAGTCACATGTTTATAAAAGCCTTGTTTGTAATGAACGATTCTCTCTTTCTCTCTCTTTCTCGCACATGTCCAAACACAGCCAGTCTAATAATGTTGTCAAATACTGAATCAATCATGTTGCTCTCTTAAACCTTAAGTTGTAGATTTGGTTCCAACTAGTAGGTAATTCTAGAATTTTCGATAAGAGTTTAGAACTTCAGTGGAAAAACCAAAAACACAGAAGCCGATATTCTCAAAAGGAAGCCATTCTGTTCATCAAATTGAATAACCAACCAACCAGCACACACACACACACAACAAACATGAACGGGACAAGACAAACACTGAAAGCCTATACCAACTCAAAGAGTTTTTCTACTTCTGCAAGTGGTATTAATCCAGCAGAAACTTTATAAACACATCGGGCGAAAACAATGTGTAGGTGATAAACAACGGAGTTCACACACAATCAAACAGCTATCAAATAATAATGTTTCGAGAGATTGTTGCATAGTTCTCCAGAAGAAAAATCTTTCATCATTACAAAAAGAAAAAAATCAAGTTTCGTTGGATCTTATCCCTGAGTCTTCATATTTATCATCCATCAACAACACCGGAAATACAAGCAACATTACCGCAGAATTAACATCCCAAACAGAAAAAGTGATCGGACAGAATCCTGCCTTCTCCTTTCACCAATCATCAACCCTAACCCTAATTATTCATATAATCGTACCACTTATTGACACCGATTGAAATTCTTATGAATGATTCTCCAGGAATTTACGATATTTAGGGTATCGATCTGTACAAAACACTAATTACCCATTCTTTTCTGGCCTTCGATCAGCGAGGGAGAAGCAGCCTCTCTTGCTCGGTGAGGGAGTGACGGAAATGGCATCGGTGGCCGTAAGGACACGTAGATCCGGTGACGATCATGCGGCAGACCTCGGTCTTGTAGCGAGGGTGGCGAATCACGGGACGAAGCTCGTCGATGCCGTGAGCGAATTGGCAGTTATCGCCGTAAGGGCACGCGCCGGTCTCTTGCCATTTGTTGCAGAGCTCCGTCTTCAACATCCCTTGACGGTAGACCTCCAATTCCACCGCCTCTTTCTCTCCTTTACCACTCGTTGGCACACAGACTTTCTGAGGAATCTACACACAGAGGCAGATCATTTCCCTTAAATGGTGTTTGTAACGCGTTGTCTTGATATTTTTTTTGATGAGCTGTTAAAACTTAAAAAGGAAAATGGGGATTACCAAGTTTATATTAAAATTAAGAATGATTACGCAATAATTACGTAAGAAGTGAATTTTTTTTCGATATTACCGAGTCGGAGCCGAGTTGACTCGTGAACCTGTGCAGATTCGCCTGTCGACCCGCACCCCCATACCCATGGCTTCTCTGGTTCATTCTGAGGTAACCGCTCGATCGGACGGAGATGCTCTTCGGCAATACGGTTCTCTCCACATTGTTCCTCCTTGCAGGGCGGCTGTGCTCGAGACTTCCTCCTTGGCGACCGAAATCTGAGATCTGTTGGCGGTTGGGAAGGTTGGGGACGTGTGGTTGAGAAACGGGGGCGGCGGCGGTGGAGGAGGAGGAAGTGGTGGTTGTGGTGTTGGAAAGGTGGATTAGCCGGAGGAGTTCGGTGTTTTCCAGGCAGAGAGCGGCGTTTTCCTGGCGAAGAGACTCGAGCTCCGTCGTGAGGGACTGGAGGCGGACGAGGCAGAGGTCGTAGTTCTTGTTTAGTTCATTGTACTCGAGAATTAGCCGCGCCTGGTGGAGGCGGTACTCAGTGGTGGCATCAGCAGGAGCCGCGGGAGAGGAGGAAGACGGAGGAGAAGGAGACAAGGACAGAGAGCTCGGGAACTGCGATTCCGGCGAGAAAATGGACTGGTAAAGCGATGCGAAGTTGGCGGCGAACTCTTCCTGATGTTTGTGACTGCTTTTATCGGATTGCGGAGACAGTGGAGGCGGCGGTGAGTTCAGCGTCGTGACACTCGTCGGATCTGATCCCATAGAGGCGTCTTTCTCCATGAGCGATGTCCAAAATCTTCCTGATGGCGAATCAAAGAAAAAAGAAAAAAGAAATTACCAAATCGATCCTAAAACCTTATCAGAATATAGCAAAAATGTTCCCCGATCAGATTTTCTTCCAAAACAATGAATCTCACAACGACAATCACGATTTTGGCAAGTTAATTCAGATTTATCAGCTTATGTACACCAACAAAGGCCTAATTGAATCGATCAGATCTCATAACGTTCCAGAAAACCAGAGGCCTAAACTAAACTTCCTTCAAAACGATCTAATCAGACGATCAATTCAACAATGGATGAAAATTTTCACATGCGATACGCTTAGAATTCTGAGGAAGACAAAGTACAACAACACATCCGAGCGGTAACAGAAGAGAAACGAAGAAGCAGAGCGGAGGGGAGAGAGAGAGAGAGAGAGAGAGAGAGAGAGAGAGGGGGGGAGAGAAAGAGAGTACCTGAAGATTGTTGAACTGGAGATTGCAGGGAAATGAAGAGAAAGAGCAGCGAAATAAAGATGAACAATGATGTGTATATATATACAAACTGCATAACCACCGTGGGGAAGACGAACAAGTTAGATCACCTGCGGCACAACCACGGTGGACTTAGATTCTTTAATTAATCGAAACCGTACAAAATATCGTACATACGATCTCAGCGATTCCATTGACACGTGGATCTATTTCACCGGCTAATCTCACGTTCCTTCAGTGGTAGTAAAGCACGGGAAACAATCCTAGCCACTTCGCTTCCCGCCAACCTCAGTACCGTTAGAGGATGCTCTAACAGAATATTATTATTTTTAATCAATTTAATTTTATTGAGAAATATGTACGTAACTTCAACAACAAAATTAGTCTTACCATAGACAATTAAATTATTTTTACGTGAATGCGAATTTAATATATGGAAATATAAATATTTATCATATACTATTGTTTTTCTTGTAATCTGGAACTTGCATTTCACGTTTAAATAGCATATAAATACGATTAAGACTAAGTTAGTTATACGACGTTCATGTATGCATAAACTAATAGTACATATTAGGAATATGCATATTTCCGTTCGGTTTTTGAATTGATCAAGATGTAAAAATCAGTAAGATATTTTTTAAATCAAATTAATGAAATCAAATATAAACTAAAATACTGAATTATTTTTAAGACTATCTTTTTAATAAACCAATTATAGTTATAATGAAATTAAGATTAATATAAAAACTGAATGAATATATGTGAATTTTATAAAATAAAAAATGAATAATTAACTAAAATATATATCATCAATACTTGAAAACATATTATCCAGTTATTTTTCAAAGTTAGATGGAAACAATGGATTAGTTAGAGGAAAGTTTTTGCTTGTCATTAAAGGATTTGGTGTTTGGAGGAGATAGAATTGAAACGTATGTGGAAAAAAAAAACAGGAGAATTTGCTATTTAAAAAAAAAAGTTTGGTTGGTCCAATCATGAACAGGAGAATAAGCTATATATATATATAATATGTATGTATATATATTGTATTGTTGGGTTGAAAAAGATTGTGGTAAGGTGGAATTTTTCGTGGTTTGCTTCAACAGCACAGCTTTAACTAACTATGGTCCCCCTATTTCATGCATATACCTTCAATCAAAATCTTCTTGTGCCAAGGCTTGGATGTCTTGTTCCTTTTTTAACAAACGACGAACCAAATTTACATTTTTGCCCTTTGGTGTCCTTTTTGTGTTATTTGGTGGTGCTCTTAGCAAATCAATCATTCCTCATCTTCTAAGTAGAACCGTACGATGCGTGGATTTATTTTATCCGCTAATTCATTTGTTTAATTAGTTTTTATTATGTGTGTGTGTATATATATATATATTAGTTTATGGATCGATGATGCTGATAATTTAGCAGATGATTATGTGACAACTTTGTATAGTTCTTGTTGATTGGATCTCAATCGTTGTTGGGTCTTGATTGGGCTTTTGCCAAACCCAAACTTTTATGGGTATTAGTTGACAAATGTCGGTCCAAATTAAAGTGTTTGACATTGACTCGCTAATTTGGTTCAATTCAGTCAAATATGGGGGCATTAATGTCATATATCTTCGAAGTGTATATTCCAATTCCAATGCATAGCGTCATAATGTAATGTAAGCCACGATATGGGAAATGTAGGAAATTTTGATATTATCACATAATGATACGTTACATTATAATTATTGAAATGTTTTTCTTATATTAAAAAATAAATATATTTATTCAAACGTCCTACGCTAAGTTCTCAAGGCTCTCAAGAACATTTCTCATAGATGGTCTTCGATCTGGGCTCTTGTTCACACAAGCCATACCGATCTCGATCACTTCAACCACGCTTTCTTCCATTCCACTGTACCGGACCAAAACCGGGTCAAGAACATACCGAATCGGTTTACTTCTCTCAACCGCCAATCGAACCCACATAACCGAATCCGTCTCTGAACCGTCGGTTTTCAGAACCGGTGATTTTCCGGTTACCATTTCGAGTACCACCAAGCCGAACGAGTACACGTCCCATTTCTGAGACGGTTTAGTGATCTTTGAAGCTTCAGGAGCCTGGTAATGGCATTTTCTTGAGATTATTGGTGAATCAGACGAATCGTACGGAGAGCTTTGATCCGATTGAACACGTCCCAAACCGAAACCGGAGATTTTCGGTTCTAGGTTTTCTCCGAGAAGTATGTTCGCAGAGCACAGATGTCCATGAACGTATCTTTTGGGACTGGACCTGTGGATATAGGCCAATCCTCTTGCGATTCCCCTCATGATGGTTAACCTAACCGGCCAAGAAAGTTGCTTGCTCGGAAAGCTACCGCTTCTTCCTGCACCGAAAGTTGCAAATTACATCGATAGATCCGGATATATAGACTTGATTGAGATAGAACAATTATAATTACCGTGAATCGCGGAGGCAAGATCACCATTCGGAATGTAATCATAGATAAGTAACTTCTCTTCAGGAGACCAGCAACAAGCTCTGAGATTCACGAGATTCGGGTGCTTGATCTTCCCCATTGCTTCCACTTCTGCAAGAAAATCTTTAAGCCTCTGTGAACTATGATCTTCTAATCTTCTGACAGCCAGGGTTAGCCCGGTCTCAAGAACAACCTTGTACACGATCCCGATACCGTTCTTTCCCAGAAGAAAAGCCGAGGCTTTCAGAAGCTGGTCTAGGTTAAAATCGATTTCTGGGTCCATCCCCACAAAAACATGTTTCTGATTCATGCCTTCTTGTAATGAAGCCTCAGATTCAAAGTCCTTGCTCTTGAAGCAGATGAACTCCTTTACCTTCAGTTTCTCTTCAAGACAACATGGCCGAGTACCGTTTCGTTGTCTGCCTTTGCGGAGATAGCAAGCGAGTAGCAGAGAAAGAAGACTGATTCCCGCAGCTGTACCTATGGTTGCCGCGATGATGATGCGTACTCTAGAATGATGATGAACTTTTCTTGAATTTAGTTCAGAAGGGATTACCGGGATGTTTCTTTCAGCGCAAGAAATCTTCAAAGGTAATCCACAGAGCCGAGGATTCCCCTCAAAAGCATTCGGTCCGGCGTTTAACAGAACTTCGATTTTTGGTATTGGTCCGCTGAGATTGTTGTAAGAAAGATCTATGTACACTATCTCCGGGAGATTCACAAGGCTTTTTGGGATCTCACCTGAGAAGAAGTTATGAGAAAGATCAAGAACACCTCTCAGATTCATCAGATTGCCGATGTCTTCTGGGATCAAACCAGTCAATCCATTGAAAGAAAGATTGAGTGTCTGAAGATTAACCAAACTGGACCCAACCCCATATCCAAGATCTCCGGAGAAGCTGTTTCGGCTTAGGACAAGCGTCTTCAGCCTCTTGCACTGCATCAACGGCAAAGGGATCGAACCCTTGAGAGAATTCTCCGAAAAATCCAGAGATTGCAGACTCTTTAACCTCCCTATCTCGTTTGGAACAAACCCAGAAAACGAATTCCCTGAAAGCACCAGACTTTTCAGCCGTTCCGCTTCGAACAGCTCAACAGGTAACGTCCCATGGAACAGGTTGTTTCTGAGGTTGACGCGACGAAGAGACAAGAGAGTTCCGATGGAAGGATGAAGCGAACCAGAAAGCCGTTTGTTCGGAAGGCTAAGGGAAACAACTCTCAGTTCATTGTTACACGAAACTCCTTTCCAAGAACAAGGGTCTGAATCTGATGAGTTCCAATCAGTGAGGACACTGTCTGAATGGTTTTCAAGGGATTTCTTGAAGGAGAGAAGGGCAATGCCTTCTTGGTTAATAGAAGAAGCCATGGAAATGAAATGGCAAAAGGCCAAGGAGATGGTGAAGAGTAATTGAGCCATTTCTACAGGAAACGATAATGAAGACACTTTTGTTCCTAATGGCTCAGACCGAAAGCATAAAAAGGAAATGTCTTTAACCAATGCATCTGGTTCCAAGTCAACAGTCCATTACAATTCATATGCAGAATTTGGGAAACAAATTTATGGAGATTGTAAAATTGGAAAAAGAAGGTCCAATATTTCTTCTTCTTCTTCTTTGGAATAAAATCTAAGGTATGTTTTTTTTTATTATTGAAATAGTAGTTGAAAGTCAACAGATTGATTTTCTTATGTAAAATACAAAAATGTGGAAAGACGAGAGGAATTAGCGGCGATGATTGGAGCACTAAGGCACAAAATGAGGAAAAGCTATTTTCAAATGTAGTTGACTAGTTGGTTGTTAGGAAATGCATTTGCATATTCGGGAAATTATCTCAAAATTAAAACTATACCCGTTTCATAGTTGTCTGGGTGGTGTAGTCGGTTATCACGCTAGTCTCACACACTAGAGGTCCCCGGTTCGAACCCGGGCTCAGACATTAACAATTTTTTTAAAAAAATATTGGGCCCAAGAGCCGATAATATGCCCAATATAGGATTATAGGGCCCAATATAAACCACAGCGAATAATAATGAGGTCCAATTTTATTTTTTTTGATAAAATAATGAAGGTCCAATTAGTGTGCATTTCCTAGTAATCATCGAACAAACCCCCCACTTATATTAAATAATTATACATTGGGGTAGCGAATGGCTACACATGTGACAATGTCTCTGGGTCGCGTAATGTGCATGGCGTCCAAATGCGAGGACGTCGTGACCAAACCAAGACACATGCAACGCGTGAACTCACCACTTGTCCCTAGCCTGTTCGTCCTTTTTTTATTCATTCCATTTTCTACAAATGAAATTATAAATTCGACCGTTACCAAACTGCTCAACCCCATCTCTCTATATATTTCAACCAACAAAAATTACACAATACACAAAAATCTCAAGCAACCAGAACCAGAAAAAAAAAACAAAAACAAAGTTTCCAAAAGCAATGAAGAACACAACCAAACTGTTCGTGGCTTTCGCAACGCTGTTGCTGCTGCTCGAAACGGCGCCGTTTTCAACGGCGGAGGGGGATGTGACGTGTGTGGTGACGGAGCTGAGGCCGTGTCTGCCGGCGATAACCACCGGGGGAGCTCCGTCGGCGGAATGCTGCGGTAAGCTGAAGGAGCAGCAGCCATGCCTTTGCGGCTACATCAAGAATCCGGCGCTTAGTCAGTACGTTTCGTCTCCTAATGCTCGTAAAGTCCTCTCTGCTTGCGGTGTTCCTTACCCGAGTTGCTGAATTCCTGTAAGCTTATAATATATTCGAAAGCAATTATCATTATTATATGTAATGGTGATCTAATGGAATGTATAATTTCGTTGATGATTGAATAAAATTATGTGTGCCTTCTTTTAAAGCATTGATCCCACGAGTAGTCTCTTAGTTTTATATTTAGATATAACGGTTTGCAAGTAAAATTGGTTAGAACTCAAATTTGATGATATAGTGGTAAGATAACATACAAAGTATGTTATCTTAAGTATGTTCTTAGTTAGACCAAATGTCCGGTGAATTTATAGATTATAAAAAAAATATTCATTAGATATTTTTTTTAAAAAAAATTAGTTTTGTAAATTAGTTTTTTTTTTTATTTGGATTGAAAGTATGGCAAATTTTATTGTTTGCAATTGCGCTTTGGAATTTCTGACATTGTCTGGTGAATATATGGGAAATTGATCTAAATATGGTAAAATATCACGCGAACAAAAAAAAAAATGTGTTGAAAACTTCAGTAATTCATGTATGTACGTATGTATGTATGTATAATTTTTTATATTTTTGTTGACATGGTGCTGACCTGAAATCGGAGGGGGGGTCAAGTTTACAAGTTGATGCCATTTAAAAACTATTTTTTTTTATTAGAAACGTGCAAGCTGCGCAATTTTTCAACGTTTTTAAATTTCAATAAATTTTATAGTTTTTTTGGTTTTGTTTTTGAGACATATTTTCCATCATTAAAAACTATTGGGCCCAAAACCCCATAATAGGTCGGTTTTTGTTTTTTTTATTATTATTGGATACTGTCTCAGATAATAATAATAACAAGGCTCAATTAATGTGCCGGTAATCATTTGCAGAAAAGAAAAACACTTAACTGTACACCAAAAAAGGAACAATGTCGACATATCTTTGCGTACATAGAATTTATACACATTCCCACCACTAAAAAGGGAAAAAAATCCACGATAATTGTACTCCAAAAGGGAAAAATATCGAAATATTTTTTGTGCGCACACATTTTAATTCAATACACATTCCCATTTCCCACCAAAAAGGGAAAAAAATACACGATAATTTCACATGCATGCACGTCATATATAGAACTTCTCATATTTTTTCCAAAAGAAAAAAAAAACTTCTCTTATTGGACCGTCACCAAACTCCTCAACCTCCATCTTTATGTATATATATATATACACACATTTTCACACCCAAAAAAAATATATAATAAACAAAACCTCAACACAATAGATCAAAATAAAAATTATAGATATGAAGACCACTGCCATAATGTTCATTGCATTGGCAACGCTATTGCTGATCAAGACTGCGCCGTTAACGGAAGCGGCGTGCGTAGTGGCGGAGCTGGCGCCGTGTCTACCGGCGATAACCACCGGAGGAAACCCGTCGGCGGAATGTTGCGGTAAGCTGAAGGAGCAGGAGTCATGCCTTTGCGGTTACATCAAGAATCCGGCGTTTGCTCAGTACGTTTCATCTCCTAATGCTCGTAAAGTCCTCTCTGCCTGCGGTGTTCCTTATCCGAGCTGCTGAATTCTTGTCCACTTCTAATACATTCAAAATAAATTATCATTAATTATATGTAATGATGATCTAACGGAATGTATTTCGTTGATGATTGAATAAAATTATGTGTCCCTTCTTTTTAAAACATTAGTCGCACAAGTAGTCTCTTTGTTATTATATTTAGATATCACAATTTGCAATAATTTTACAATATAATTTTAAAACATAAATATATATAGTTTTGTAATTTGATTTTTTTTGGTTGAAAATATCGCAATTTTGTTTTTATTTACAATTGTGCTTTGGAATTTCTGTCACCATCTGGCGAATGTGTAAGAAATTGATCTAGATATGGTAAAATATCACACAAACAAGAAAAAAATAAATGTGTTGAAAATATCAGTAATTCCTGTACGTATGTACATATATATATATATCTATATCTATATATATGTATGTATATATATGTGTACGTATGTATAGTATTTTATATTTTGGTTGACTTGGTAAAATCGGAGGAGGAGTCATGTTTACAAGTTTATTCCATTTAAAAATTAATGTTTTTATTAGAAATGTGCAAGCTGGACATTTTTTCAACATTTTTTAATTTCAATATATTTTATAGATTTGTTTTGTTTTTGGAACATTTTTTTCCATCATCAAAGACTATTGGGCCCAAAAGTCCATAATACATCTGTTTTTGTTTTTTACTATTGGGCCTATACTGTACCGCATCAGATAATAATAAGGTTCAATTAATGTAATCATTTGCAGAAAAAAACCACGATAACTGTACACCAAAAAAAGGAACAATGCGACATTTTGCGCATATAGATTTTATACACATTTCCACCATCAAAAGGGACAAAAAAATCCACGATAATTGTACACCAAAAGGGAAAAATATGGGCATATTTTTTGTGCACACACATATTAATTCAATACACATTCCCAGTTCCTACAAAAAAAGGGGGGGGGGGGGGAAA